TATACCTATTAGGGAACCCCTAAGGGGATCGTATCCGATCGTAGATCGATACTAATATCTTACTATTGGAGCGAGATTTGCTTGCAGCTGAGACTGGGGCATCGGCTATTAACAGCCTTCTATCTATAGACTAACGGTTAAACAGAGAGGCAGAATGCTACCCTATAGTAGTACCTACGTAGTTACATTAATAAGAACCCCGAGGACTAGGTCAACCTCCTATAACTAGCTGAATTCGTGTACAATAATAGTATCCACTTATCTACTAAGGTCTCCCCTTATTTTGCTATAATAGGCTAGAACGCTGCCTTACTACAAGACCTATTTACCTCGCTCGAGGCCGAGCGTAAGGAAAGGGAAGCGCGTCAAGTACCCGAAACACTAGCGGCTATTAAGAGGGTTTAGAAGATGCGAGAAATCTATACTAAGATAGCCGAGAAGTTAACAAAGGCTTAAGAGTACTAAAAGACCTACTACGATAAGTACTATACGCCGATAACCTTTAAATAAGGCGATATAGTTATGCTAAGTACTAAGAACCTCCGTATCCGCAAGCACCTATTACCTAACGGCAAAACAAGGCCTAAGCTCGTACTAAGATACATTAGCCTATTCCGCATTCGAGAAGTTAAGGGCTCCTCCGTATAGGCCTATTAGTTGTAGCTTCCTCCCTATTATACTATCTATAACACCTTCTATATATCCCTCCTTAAGCTATATTACCTACGCGAGGGGGATAAAGCACCTACTAAATACGAAGACATACTAGCGGATAGGGAAGAGCTATAGTCTATAGAACGTATCCTGTAGCACCGGACTAGGAAAGGCAAGAAGGAGTACCTATTAAGATAGCAAGGCTATTTACCTAAATAGGACTTATAGGAAGCTAAAGGTTCCTTTAAGGACATAACCGAGTTGTTGGATAAGTATTAGACTAGCGTAAAGAACAAGAAGAAGGCTAAAAGCTTATAATATTACTATTAAGGCCTAGGATTAATGCTACCCCCGGGGTGCTATTAGCTAACTAATTAGAGGCAAGCAATTGTTAGCAATAAGAGACAATAAGACTATACTACTATAGTAAACGCGCACCGAGTGTTAATAAGCGCGCTACGACGCGTTAATTAGTTACTGCTCTTTTAAAGACTCTACCTCTTGTTCCTTTATCCTACCGAGGCCTCGAGGCCTAGGCAATCGACGAGAATGCGCGCGCGCGCGTACGAATAACGGTGTGTTAGAAGATAGCTAGCGCGGCTATGTTAGTAACAGTGTTGCGGAGTATGTTACTATTTAAGAAAGGAAGGATACCGCTATATTAGTAACAGTGTTGCCGAGTTGTTGTTAGTCGAAGAAGGAAATTAAAAGCAAGGTAAAGTTAGCGCTAAGACGACTAGCGCCGCTATTATCGATATTACTTGCTATTATTACTACGCCTATAGACACAACCTTACCTATACTACGAGCCTAAGGCACCTTAATCAAACTTTAATTAAAACTTTAAGGCTAAGTTAAAACTTTAAGCCGCCTAAAAGATTAAGCGACTAATAGACTAACTAAGGGCAAAACTATAGAGCTAAGCTAGCTAGGGTCGATCTTACGGACAATAGGTTACTCCTCGATCTTTCTAACCCTTTAAGCGAGGCGAACCTTAACTACTATACTTACAATAGCCTTTACCTATAGAAACTAGACGAGCTATGTTTTTTCTAAAAAGTAAATAATAGCCCTCGTAACAATAAGAACAAACCCTCGGAAGCGGACAACCCTCGGAAGCGGATATTGCTAGGTCTTTTAAGAGTAGACGCAAAGAACTCGGTACGACATTACTTAGAACGGAGGCAGTGCTGCAATACCTCGTACGTCTACCTATTATAGCAGGGAAGACGCGCTCGTATTATAATTAGTCGAAGGACTTCAATTCTTATAGATATATATTACTTCCTAGTTTATTGTATATAGAGATAGCGTAGTTAGAGTTGTACATTGTATTGTTTAGAGGTAAGGTTTGATATAGTTATATAATTAGGTAGTTAAGTGTTTAATTTAGCGCGGACTAAGAAGGTTGCTAGACCTACTAAGTTAGTAGCGATAGAGGTTGAGAATAGAACATAGACCGGCTACGAGGGCGCGGCCTTTGGAAGGGAAGCGTATATTAGGACCAAAGAGGTTACACGTAATTGGCATATAACTAGGCTCGAGTGAAGCTAGGGTCTTAATGCCTCAGGTAGGGCTTAGCGCTTAGCGTTAGGCCAACTAGCCTGCCTTCCTCCCTCTCCTCTTAGATCTCTATCGAATACTACCTATACCTACCACTACCCTATCTACCTGCTAACAGACCCTTCTTACACTAAAAACTAAATATATTCGACTTATAGTTAAATAGAAACTTAGTATAGCGAGTAGGAAGGGTACTAACCCGTTTAGTATTTACTTCTTCCTATTATCCCTTAAAGCTTCCTAGATACTTTATTCCTACTAATAGTAGACTACTAGGCCTGTTTAAGATTAAGATACTTATACTAAATGTCTAGGACTAGCAAATTAGTAGACTACGTAGTAGTTTAGTCTAGTTTAGTTTAGTTTGCTAAGCCGAAATTCTAGTTTAGTTTAGTTTAGTTTAGTTTACTAAGAGACTATAGGAGTAGTAGGTTCGAGCTATAGAATTTATCGGTTTCTAAGAAGTATAAGAATATATACGTAACTTAAAGCAAGCCCTTTATAAGACTAGTACTAATAGAATTTTTAAAGACTTTAATTCCGTACGCCTAATAAAGTATTTTATACTATATATATATATATACCTAGAGAGTATTTAGAGCGCGCTATATAGCGGTATATTTTGTATATAGAAACGCTTATAGACTTCTCTATAATTGTAACGCGCTTCGCGTAGATAGCTATAGGGTTAATAGCTAAAATCGTATTAGTATAGTTTAAAAGGAGGTAGAAGAGAAATATATATTTAAAGATACAAACTAGATAGGCTTCTATAGCCTCCTAAAGGACGGAGATTATAGAGTATTAAAAGCGGTAGTCGATTATAGTACCTTAGGTAATTTTACGAATAAGTCGATTAAAAGGAGCTCTAGGAATAAGGAGTTTAGTATCCTTCTAATACTTTTAAATCTTACGAAGGGCTACGGCTAAAGAAGGATTAGTAAAAAGAAGCAAAAATGCCGGCTACGCTACTAGCTACGCTACCGGCTATAGATAAAACTTACTTCCTAGACGCTATCGATACTTACTACGATTATTACTACTAGTAGTAGAAGCCTAAGCGCTAGTCGTTATCTTACGCGGAGCCTTACTCGTAACGCCCTTTAAAGTACTAGGCTAGTTGCTTTATAAGTATAATAAAGAGAATAAAGCCTAGAAAGCGGAATAAGTAAAGCTAGCGCTAAGGCGCGCTAACTACCGGCTATTACCGATTATTAATATTACCTAGTATTACTATTATTACTAAAACCTTACTACTAGTAGCGACCCTTGCTACTACTAACCTTACGTGCCTACGTACCCTACTAGCGTTCCGCTAAGGCATACCGCCGCTATATTAGGCCTTACGTAATATAAATAGTTCTTATTACTAAGGGAATAGGATAAGACCTCGAGAGACTAATAACTAAGCGTAAAGGGATTACTATAACTCTCTATACCTAGTTATAGCTAGGTACGCGTATCGCTATTAGTTAAGGCTACTACGTTATAATAGTATTAATATACCCTTACTACGGGATTAATAGTAATAGCTTAGTTAGAAGAGTAGTTGTGTAATAGGCATTAAAGAAAGGTTTAATAATAAGACTAATAGTAACGTAATTAGCTAGTTAAGCGTTCGATTTAGTACGTAAGAAGCGCGGCTAATTAGACTACTAACCTAGCGAGGGGATAATAAGAATAGCTATAAGGGCGTAGCGTTTAGAAGGGAAGCCTGTATTAGAGAGTATATAAAAGGTATATAACTAGCTAAGTAAAGCTAGGGTCTTAATGCCTTAGGTAGGGCTTAGGGCTTAGCGCTAGACTAACTAACTAACCTTCCTCTCCCTCCTTTATAGACCTTATCGAATACTATACGCTTTGAACTATACTATCTGCCTGCTTACCTAACCTGTATTGTGTGTTAATATTCTTATTAAAGGAAGTAATTAGTATTGGTTACTCGTTACTAGTGTTGAAGCAGTATGTGGAAGTTTAGGTACTAGTAGCAAAAGCAGTTTCCTCTATAGTTATTATACCTACTTCTAATTACGAGTAATTAGGGACTTGTATAGTACTATCTAGTATACGGTCTAAGGATATATATAGTAAGTGTGATAAGCTAGAATACTACTAATCTAATAGGAAATTACTAGGCAATATGGGAAGTTGTAAAGTAAAGCAGAGGATAGATAGCTTGGTGTGTAAAGTAAACTAGTCTATATAGTAATTACTATAGTAGCTTTAAGCTTTAGGGAAATTGTGTATAGTATCCCTATAAAATCCTAAGGAAGCTACTCTACTCTAATTAGATAAGGACTATAGAACGGCCCGCTAGTATATACTTAGATTGCAATCTAGCAATCTAAGCTAAGCTGTAGTAGTTAGCTTATAACTTAAAGCTAATCTAATCTAGTACCTTAGGAGACAATCTAAGCTAGGCTAATCTAAAGGTTCTAGTAAGCTAATCTGATCTAGACCCCCTGGCTTAGCTTAGATTGCTTATAGACTGCACTAAGGACACTAGCTTGGCAGAAAATGGCCGGATTGGCTTGGCTTGAAGCTGGCTACACTGGGCTCAAGACGTTGTAGGCCTAGGATAATCGCGCGTATAGGGACCTCCATCTCGACAGTGAGTCGACACACCAATGCTTGCAAGCCCTAACGCGGACTGCGGCGGACAGGAGAATCTCCCGCGACCGGTCACCGAGGAAGCAAAACATCCATACCATAGCCACGAGTATAAGTGTGGCTTCATGACCGCAGCCTGGTGCGTCCGAGCAGTGAGCTTCGTGCCCTTTTGATCCATTCCATCATGCCCTCGAAAGGTCTGGTTTATGCATTCTTGGCCCTGGTAGCCACAGCTTCAGCGGCCACTCTCGAAAAACGGTCTGTGACATGTCTTACCGTCGGCTCAACAGCTACAGCCAGGTGGACGAACGCGGCAGGTCAGACCTGTACCTGGACTGGGACTGTCGGAAGCAACTTTGGCACTAACTCGGTCAACGGCGGAGAGTGAGTACGGATGCGTCAGTCTTGATCAGTCATTAACGCAAAGACACTTTAGCTACGGCTGCAATGGGCGATGTGGCGCTGGATGCTCTGGAACAGCGGTCGGTAACGCATACACGCAAGACTGCTTCTCCCATGACATTTGCTCGTGGTTCAATAACGCAAGCGGTGGTTCAAGGTAAACAGTGTTGCCGAAGCATGCAGAGCCCCCATTTCTATGCTAAAGTTGCCGTGCAGTGATCCGAATTGCGGCAAAGCATACGATGCAGCAGTCGATGACACCCTTACGGGCGCAGCTAGAGGATGTGGGCAGAAAAACCCGTCTAATGCTGCACGGGCTCCAAATGGACTTCCTTCGTGTTCATAAGGAAACGCTGGATAGAGTCCGAGCAAGACATGAAGTGTACGAAATGCTCACTTCTTTCCAGCTTCAGAAAGACCCAAGTACGTCAAGGGCATGGCGATCTGTGCTGGATGGATATCGCAGCTCCTGAGCCTTTGTACCAGAATGCAGAACAGATCAAGAGACAAGAAGTGTGGAAATTTGAATCCCGATGCAGTGCCTTCTGAGATTTTTGATCTGGGAGACGGGCACCCGCTATATCGATATGTCACACACTGTAGACATGGGCCCAGAAGCTCCGACATTCGCCCTCAGCTCTTTGATGTCGGACACGAGCAGTCTCTCGTTCCAAGCTTGCCTTTAGCGCAAAAAGGTCCAGAAACCGAAGAAAGCTTGTGAGTGAAGCAGTATCTTTGTGCACTGACTTTGACAGAATGATCTCATATGTTAAAGTCTTCCTCTCATGCAAAGCAGCAAACTTACTATGGACCATATAAGCAGAGAACTTCACGCAACGTTTCATTCAATTTCAAAAGCAAAACGCGACCTGTCAGCAGACCGAGCAAAATGTCAATTTTCGCCGGCGTCAAACTGCCAGCTGAACCTGACTTCGACATCGATCCTTGGCTGCAACTCATCAAAGACAGACTGATCCCTGCTCTCGCTACACCAGAGCAGCACGGCTCGGAGTACGAACGTATTCTTGCCGAAGTCAACGACTTTCTCTACGACTGTAATGAGTATGAGCCCGAACTGGTTGAAGAGTGCCAGGAAATCACGGCCTGTCTGTTTCAAATTCTTGATTACGGAGATCACATACCCGCTAATTACGTCCAAGAGGCTTCCCGTTTGTTGGAGAAGCATGAAGTGGAGCACCGTGACATGGTAGAAAGGCAGCAGGAACAAGATGAAGAAGAGGAGCAAGAGGATGAGAGCAATGAAGACATCGAGCTGGCTACACCTGTCATCGATGATAAAGGGGAGTGGTGCTATCCCCCAGCTACTGATGCTATCTGGGGAGACTCAGGCCGTCTCCGTGGCCTAGCGTTGAGAAAAAGCAAGAAAGGCAAATGGGTACCAGTTGTCGATCAGAACTACAAGAACGAGCAGAGAAACGCCTTCAAGCAAGGTCACGACCACCTTGCTATCACGCCCGGCGATGTCTTTTTCTACCAAATGCAGGCCTTCTTCCACGGCGGGCACGGCGAAACCCAGTCGAATTTCGCCTTCCACGAGCAGAAATCCATGGTCGGCGTCGACGGAGTCTACTCGCTCATCATGTCCAACAGTGCGGATTTCTGGACGTTCAACGAGGACGAGGGTTCTGTCATCTGGTACAGTCCTGAATACAAGAAACACAAAGCTAACGGCCAACCACTCGATGTCTCAGTAACCCGGGCCGTAGCACTTGGCAAGACCCTTGATAAGAAGGGAGTGATCCGCATCTTTCGAGCCTATGGCTGCAGTGAGCATTTTCCGGATTCTGAGAACAGCAAGAAGTACAACGGCTTGCTTCGATATGAAGGTCTTTACTGCATCAGTGAGAAGAGAGAGCAGACTAGGCAGATCCCGTTGAATTTATCAACAAACGGACAAGGGCCTCAAATTCGACAAGTTGACCACAAGTACTATCAATACCGCTTAGAGCGAATGCCTGATGCAATGAACAAGAATGTCTCCTTCGACCAAGTCAAGCAACACCCAACGCAAGAGGAGTTGAGAGACTTCAGAAAGGCCCGGAAGCGCGAGTTTCTGCAGAAATAGAGAGCTTGACTAGAGTTACATCATCTCCTCAGATCAAAACGTCTTCCAATCCACAACCCCCTCCCAAACAGCCCCAACCTTGAAACAATCACTCTCACAAAACTTCTTCCCGACAAATTGTATCCCAATCGGCAATTTGATCCCTTCAGTCTTCCCTTTCTCATCCATCGCATCCACAAATCCCACGGGCACCGTCAAAGCCGGATGGCCAGTGGAATCGAAAGGTGCGGTATTCGTCACCATTCCAAGATTCCTCCCTAACCTCTCCAGCGGTCCTATACTCGCGGGATCCTCGTACAATAGACAGGCGGGGGACGGAAGGGTTGGCATTACGAGAAGGTCTACGTCTTCGAGTGCGGTGTCGTAAGCGTCGTTGATTTTTCGTAGGAGATTGTTCGTTTTGCCGTGGATGGAAGATTTCCAAGCGGGATTGGAGTTAAGATAGAGGTAGCGCATGTAAAGATTTTGAGCTCCTGGGCCGAGTGCATCGAATTGGGATTGCGAGAGAGAGGGAAGAGGGGGACGGTCATTCAAGTACAGCATTTTTCGGCCTTCGGCGAGACCGAGAAGGCCGGTTTTCGCTCCTGAGAGGGGGAGGGAGAGCATCCAGATTTCTGCGGCGTCGTTGTGGAGAGGGATTGAGATTGGTTTGACTTCTGCGCCGAGAGAGGCGAGTTTATGGACTGCACGGTTGCAGAGGGAAGAGACGCTTGACTCCATGCCTGGGAAGTCGAATCCTTCGGATAGAATGCCGAGCTTGATGCCTTGGAGTGGCTTCTCTTTTGGAGATGTTGAGAGGAATTTGTCGAGAGTTGCCGTGTAATTCATGTATGCTGCTGGTAAGAAGTAGGGCTGTCTGTCGTCGATACCATCTTTGCCTGCAATGACATCGAGTAACAATGCTGCGTCTCGGACAGTTTTCGTCATTGGTCCCACATGGTCAATTGTACTCTCAAGTGACAAGATGCCAGTGTATGGGACAAGTCCCCAGGTAGGCTTTAGTCCCACAATGCCGCAGTTTGCAGCGGGAATCTACGGAAGTGATGCGGTTAGTGGACTCCCTCACAAGTCCGCAGTCGTTGTGAACCTACTCGAATGCTTCCTCCTTGATCGCCGCCCAATGCCATATCGACGGCTCCCGAGCCGACGAGTCTTCCACTACCGGAGCTAGACCCGCCACAGGAGTACCCATCCGCATAGGGATTGTGCACTTTCCCAGTGCAAGATGTTTCGGAGACGCCTTCCATGCCTAGTGAAGGAGAAAAGAGTTGGTGATGTGGCTGTCAAGGACAAGAATGATCGATGACTTACAAGCATTCTCGCAAGCAGCTTTTCCTGTCACCAGCCCACCAGCATCAAGAATCCTCGTTGCAACCGTTGCATCGATTTGAGGCGTCCATTCAATCGCCGCCGTACCATTCGTGCACCTGACTCCTGCAAACGCAATATTGTCTTTCAAGGCAATCGTCTTGCCTTCCAGCAATGAAGTTTTCGGCTTCGCAGCCTTGGCTTCGAAGAGAGTTGCCCAGCCGCCTTTATCAGATTCGGTGTCATTGGCTGGGATGCGGATATTTGTTCTAGGATAAGCATTGAGATCGGGTTTAAGAGCATAGTCTTCTGCATTCGAGACTTTATCGATTGTACTGCCCAGGGACGCGAGGAGGAGAGACCAGTCTTTGATGTGAGAGTCTTTGAGACTCAGTCCTGAGTTGGCAGCGAGGGAAGTCACTGCTTCAGACGCTAATGCCGATGAGTCGCTGGAGGGGGACAATATTAGTCGTAGATATGTAGAAGAGGGATTCGGTGTGTGCTACTTACTCTCCCAGTGTCACGACCGACATCTTGTTGGAAAGGTCTGTTTGAATACAGTGAGCAGAGTCGATCAAGTCTACACAGATTTTGAAGGTGAAGTTGGAGGTCTCTGATCTGTGAGCTACCTATCTTCACGATAGCTGCCGTATGTGGCAAGTCGGGCAACTCAATTCGCCGTCGGCTACCCTAGTCTTGATAAGGCACTTCATCTATTTTGTTTGGCTGTGGCTGGCGAATGTGAGTAGTATTATCAAATGAGCAATTCGATCCTGTGATCTTAATGTGCCACACCTGTAACATTGGTGTCTCCAGCCGTGCCATCACCTTTGGGCCCTCTGATAGGAACAGCGACGATCAGGCTGTGTCCATAATTCTCATCATACGTTCAGATATGCCTGAATTTGAGGGTAGCTTTCCGCAACAGCACTTCGAGTTTCTCCTTGGTCCTCTCCATAGCAGCAAGCATCGTCATTATGCCAATATGCATGCTCGCCTGTTTCCAAGTAGCGCCTACAGTTGGCATAACCACAGCATCAGTTACATCAAGTATAGCCTAACGGATGTGGCTCAGAATGACTACGCTAGGTTCATTATTCCAATTGTAAATAACGTTCCAAGACGGACGTCGTGCTTATATCGCGAGTGTTACCGTCCGTTAATATTACACTAAACAAGGCCCTGTTTGATTAAACTAGCTAGTTTTATTAGCATAATTTAAGTAAACAAGCCTTCCTTCGCTAAGGTTTATACTTTAACTAAATATAGCGCTTTTAACTAGATCCTAGGAGTTGTTTAGTTATTATAGGTCCGTATAGAAGTCCGTATTGCTAGTTAATCCGGTTTGTAAGCGCTTGTTACTAAGCTATAGAAGCTATATCCTAGCTTAGTAACTATAATCTATATACTATACTATAATACTATAATTATAGTACCGGTATATACGGAATCGATTATATTTGTCTCGTTACGTATTCTAATGTAGATATTATAATTTATAGGTATATTATTATACTATAATAGACGCTAAAATCTAGTAAGCTAGATCTTCTAGCTATACTAGTTCGACTTTAGCTTCTTCGAAGAGATAGCTTCTCGATAACCCTCTACTACTAACGCTAGTAATAGAGGCCTCGTCTTCCGCGTAATCTCGCTAGATACTACTCGTTTCTATATACAATTAGACCGTAGTATACCTATTCGACCGCTACCGTAGCGACCGAATTAGGCCGTTATTATACCTAGTTTCGAGAGCGACGAAGCGACTTGTATTAATCTATTTCCGCCCTTTATAATACTAGCTTTTTATTATACTTAAAGGATAAGAAGAATAGTAGCAAGGATAAGCTTCTTATAACTCGAGAGCGCTATTTACGGCTACTATAAAAGGTTATATTAGACAATGCGATTATACTAAAAGCGCTTAGATATGATATACTATCGAGGCAAGAATATAACGAGAATATATAGGCTCGTAAGCGCTTTGAATATAATACTAAAGAGGCGCGTTTATATACTATTAAAAAGGGCGGTTCTTCTAAGAAGGTAATCTAAGAATGCGAGATTTAGTATATTCTTACTACCGAGCACTACGCCTTTAGATACGCTCGTTATAGTATAATATAATACCTAGTAAATAAGCGCTTCTATAGTATAACGAAGGCGGATATCTAAGAGGTACTAAAGTATTACTATATATATAATTTAGTAGTAATAAGGCCGAAAATATAGACTAGTAACCTACTCGAACGGATTGTTACTAGCAAGACACTTAGTAGGGTACAAATAGCCCTTATAAGGGCAACTCGGAGGCCTAGGTACCTAGTTTGCTAACAATTTAATAGGTAGACTTCTATAGTAGTCCTAACGGCCCTTACCTTTACCTACTCTACCTTAAAGACTATAAAACCAAGTTCTATTAAGTCTACGCCCTTACTTCTAAGGAGTCCGCCGAGATTGCCTTCTATATATAGGACTTTGCCTATTTCGTAGGCATTATAGTACTATATTAGATAGATAGTAGTAAGGAACTTAAGGGTATTATTAAGCGGCTATTATAAGCCTATAGTAGGAAGATTACTTACGGTACGCTATATTATCCTTAGTCGCAAGGCCTTATTAAACAAGCTAACGGTATTCTTAAACGTAGAATAGCCGCTATTAATTTATAACTTAGTCTTAGGGGCTAGGTTATAGTAGTATATAAGGCGGCTCGGACCTATAACAATATATAGCAGTTAGCAATTAAGATAATACCCTTTAAGGCCTTCTTTAATCGTAACCCTCTAACGTAACCTCGTATTATTTCCGAGTCTCTATCCGCTATAGTAACGGAAGGAGATACTAACATCCTATATATTATTAAAGACCTGCGTCTAGTTAACGAGATTAACAATAATACTACTAGTATCGTTACTAAGGAAGCGGATAGACACAATATTAAATAGTCTAGCAATAGACTACGGTTTAAGCGAGACTAAAGTATACTACTACTTCTAGAACAGCCTCGGCTAGTACCTAAGCATCTAGAACCTATTAGAGTCGACTTAACTACGTAGTATTAGGCTAGCGAACAACGGCGTGCTACCTATATATCGAGAGCTAGCATTTCCGCTAAGATTAACTACTCTTAGAATATTCTTGTAGACTATATTCGAGCCGCTTAAGAGGCTACAAACGCTAAAGACGACCGCCTACGTAAATATAGCAATCTACGTACCTTCTAACCTAGTAATATTATCGGCGTCTAGATACTATAGCGCTATAAGATACTAAATAGACCTAATTCTATTACTTACTAGGCTATCGAGTAATTTAAGGACGAAGAAGGTAACAATAAGCCCCTATCTAAGCTACTAACTCCTTAAGGGCTTCTTAAGTACTACTAGTATATATAGCACTTCTATAAGAAGGACTCTATCTTCTATAACGACTTCTCGGTCTATATAGGCTATAAGAACAAGGTAATAACCGTATTTTATACTACTAGGCGACAAGCTAATATTCCGCTTACTAGCTAATATTCCGCTTACTATATATACCGCTTGTCGCTATACGATTAGCTAATGCCGCACTAGACACTATAATTGCCGTAAGGCTAGTTATCTATATTCTAAAGCCTATTATAGACCTAGTAATACCTATCTTAATATAGACGACTATAGATACGTAACTAATGAAAGATATAACTAGTAGTAGCGAGCAAGAATCTACTACTAAAGATAACCTTTAGAACGACGACGATAACGACGATAATAATACAATTAAAATAAGTAGCGATAACGAGTCTATACTAAAGGCTTCCGCTATACCTAAGACTTCCTTATCGGTTAACTAACCGTTAGATTCTTCTATAAACTCTTAAGAGCCTTCGAGTAATACTATACTACTTAGCGGTAACGATATAATAACACTAAGCTAGGTTAATAATAAGCTATTACTAATACTATTAAAGGCGCTTAGAAAGAGAAAGATTAAGCTAACTAAGATTCTCTAAGAAGGTAAGAATATAGAAGAGCTTAGATAAGATAAAGAAGCGGAAGGTGCCTACTAGCGTCTAGAAGCGACTTAATACGAGGGCCTTATTACGAAGGACTTAATATAGTAGTAGAGGTAGTAAGGTCGAAGAAGGGGATATAGGGAGAACCTAGCGCTTAAACGGAGGACTTAGGGCTGTTTCTTTATACAATATTAGACTAATCTCCTCTTCTATACCTGTCTTTCCTCTAAAAGGTATACTACTGCCTTTAGAAGCCTCTATTCTATAGTTGTTATCCTCTCTCGAATTTTAAATATACCCCCTACTTATATATTTATACTAAGAAAACTAGTATTAGGCTTTCTTTATATAGTCTATACTAGGAAATAAGATAAGAAGTTATCTCTAGATACGATAGCGAGCGTATAGTAACAATAGCGAGCGTATAGTAACAATAGCGACCGTAGTTAACCTACGAGGGTTTATTTAGCAAAAGATAGCCTTTTTAGTTAAATACTAAAAGACTAGGCTTTTGATTAAACTAGCGGAAAAGCTTAATTAAATAAGCTTTGTTTAACTAAAGTAGTAGTACGATAAAAAGGCGCGGATACTAGAAATACAGCCGCGGTTTAGTAGGTCTACGTATACTAGCTAAGAAGTTAAATTTAAAGTAGCTTTAGTATATATCGAGGGTTCTATATACCCCTATAGAGTGCCCTAAACCTACCGAAATTAGAGATCGGGATATTGCAGACACCCCCGATATAACCTAATTACCTCGGATTTCTACTATTCCGAATAGCTATAATCGCTCGAAAATAACTAAGTCTACGCCTATACCTTAGTACTACTACTTCTACCGCTTAGAAGTAATAACTTCTCCTTAGATCCGTCGTTATAGTAGTAGAATTAGTATAGGAGATAGCGTATAAGAGGATTAATCTATCCGGTACGGTTTAGGTAGTATACCTACGTATAACCTTATACGAGCGCGTTTCGAAGATATTATAGGCTTACTAATTAAAGGCTTCTAATAACGAGGGTTATAAGAGCTACCTAATAGCTATAGTAGATTAATTAAAGTGTCCTTACTAGGCGACTATATAGGTAAAGAATATAGAGCTATAGATAGTACTATAGAAGGTAGCTCTACTATAGAAGGTAGCTCTACTATAGAAGGTAGCTCTACTATAGAAGGTAGCTCTACTATAGAAGGTAGCTCTACTATAGAAGGTAGAAACAGCTTACCTAGTAAGGGCAAATCGTCTAGCAAGGACGATAGTAACGGCTACTAGTACCTTAATACCTTATCGCTATTATATTATTTACTTTTACTAGCGTCTTTTAGTAAAGATAGCGGCAATCGACTGCTCTCGAGTCGACTAGCTTTAAGTAGTATAGATTATAGAAGGTCTATATTAGATAGGCCTTATAAGAAGTCCTTATCGCTTATATAAGGCATATTATTATTAGTAAGGTCGGAGAGGCCTATATCGGCGTTATTATTGCTATCTATAACGACTAGAGTAAAGTTAACGTTATTAATAATGCTATACTTATTAGCTAGACCGTAGACAGGTAGCGTACTACTATTAACAATAATAAAAAGCCGCCGCGGAGCCTCGTCGGCGGCTAAAGCAAAGGTACTAGGGTTAAAGGTACTAGAGTTAAAGGTACTAGAGTTAAAGATACTAGAGTTAAAGGTACTAGATTTAAAGGTACTAGAGTTAAAGGCACTAGAATTAGCGGTACTAGGGATTGTTTAAAGACTAGTTATTATAATAGCCTATCGTCGACTACTAAGCGCTACTTAGCTTTACGACGAGGTATTAAATAGGCCTACGGAGCGCCCTTATTAAGCTATTCTTATATATAAATGTCTATTCCTAATTAAGCTATATTACCGTAGTACGTTACCTACTAAAGCAAGGCTTTATACTACTATTTATTATTTAGTTTAGAAGCCTAGCTATTATAGAAGCGGAAGAAGGTCTTTACTATAATCCCTTCTTATATAGAATAGAAGTATCCCTTTACTATATAGAGCTTATAGATACTAGGTCCTTTATTAAGGTCGATAAGCTATCTAGTAGATCGATAGTTATCGTCGTTATAGTAACGGACGGAAACCAATACTACTACTACTACTAGTAGTAATAGTATAGGCAACCGAGGGTAATATAACCTATAACAATATAGGCAGCTATGTTTAGCATAATAGGATAACAAGACCGTTGCTTAGGCTAATAACTAGAGCCCTATAATATAGGCATTATAGAAGTGTAATATAAACAATATGCTATACGAGGTTAGTGCTCTATCTACTATATAGAAGGAGGCCTCTTATATAGGCTTAAAACTTAGCCCTAAGTATGTAGGGCCGGTTACTAGCTAATAATAGTTAAGAATTAGCTTGCTATTATACTAGTCTAGATAGATAAGATTGCTATTAGGTCCTTAGAAGCGACTAATATAGAGCCTATAGCGCTAAGGAGTTAGACGGCTCGTTCTATCGGTATAGAAGCGCTATATATACTTATAAGGAAGGTAATAGCTATACTAGAAGTAGTAGAAGCATTTAGTATAAGTAATCTCGTAATTCTTATCTTTAGTAGATAGGTATATCCGCTATATAGGCTTGCTATTATCGCGTCTCTTATAAGCCTATATAAGCTTATCTGCTATCTTCTTCCACACAGAAAGCGACAAATTCCTAAAAGTTAGATATTATTCTTTCTTCTAAAGCGGAAGCTAGCCCTAACCGTCGATTTAGCTATTTTAAACCGCGCGCTCGTAGATATAGTTATCGAGGCAAACTAGGTATATTACTAAGCCTAGAAACAGCTAGCAAATAGTATAGTTATTAGTAGAAAGAATATAGAGGGAAGATAGCCGACAAGTCTCGAAGCTATTCTAAGGAATAGCTATACTAAGAAATATATTTTTATATAGAATTTAAGTTCTAACTATACTATAAGAATAGGAAGAATACGTACCTCTTAAGCTCTATTAGAGTATCTAACGCTTATCTCGGCGCTTTAGGTATACGTAATAGCCCTCTAGTAGTAATACTATTCGAATTGCTACTAAAAGGGGGTCTCTAAGCTATATCTAAGTCGCCTATCGATTACTCTATAAAGCTAGCTATAGTATTTATAGTTATAAGAGTATAATAATTAGTATTTTTACTAATATATACTTAGTAGAAAAGGGCTCTAAGACTACGATAGTAATATCCTAGCGATTATTTATAAGAATAAGCGATAGTTACGACGACTATATACTAACTATTTATACTCTAGCTTACTAACTTCTAAGTAACGCGTTAATATCTTTAGGCGCTAAATACCTAGAATAATTACTTATACTAGCGATAGTAAGGTTAAAACAAGCGCGATACGTAACCGCGAGGAAAAGGTAGAATAGGTTAATAAATAAAAGGTAGAAATAGCCTCTAGGTAGGGTCTAGTTTAGCTTTATTATAGCTCCTTATTTATAGGCCTATACTATACGATTACAAGGCTTCAAATTAGCTCGAAATTAGGAGCCTATTTAAAGTCCCGTAAGAGCGTCCGAGCGCCTAACCTACTAAGAATAGGCCTAGCCTGCTGTAACGGACTTAGTAAGATATAGAAGTCCGCTCCGTAGTGTGCGTAACTATAGAAAACGTAATCTCGTCGTCGGCGCGCGTCGCTATTACTAGGTCGACCGTATAAGGGTAGTAGTAGTAGTAGTAGTAGTGCGATTTCCGCTCGCATACTAAGTATCGATAGTAAGAGGGCGGAGTAGAGCATTTAATAGCGAATTTGATAAGGTTTGTACTGTTTTAACGACCCTGCAATCTCTGCTTATAGATACTAATTATATTACTAAAAATAAAGCTAAAGTTTATTAGCAAAACAGCGGTATAGTAAAAAGCGAGGTATTGTTAGCGATTATAGCTAATTTAATAACGGTAATATATATTAGAGGGCGGCGGTATATAAGGCATACTACTATAGACCTATATCGCGCTCGGAGGCGCGTATTGCTACCTATTTAGCGCCGGTAGTATCGGTAGAGGCATGTGGAAGCTATTAGTTACTACCGCGACCTATACGACCTACGCGACGGCGGAATTTAAAGGAAAACGCGACGAGAACGCGTCGATACCGCCTAGAACTGCTAACGGCGCTTCTTTACTAAAATTTAGCTAAGCTAGCGCCGCTAGTGTTCGTTCGGGTATACATTCTTATTCTGCCTGTTTCTCTATCTGTTTCTTCGACCGCTTCGGCGGCTTCTTCTTACTCGTAGTATCTACGCTCTTACCCTTCCGCTTCTTACTCGCTATCGCATCTAGCGGCGGCGCCTTCGAGGTATTATAATAACGCGATAGTATATTGCTTAGAAGTAGTAGTTGTAGTAGCTTCGGCGGTTGCGACGGCGTAATATTAGTAGAAGAGTTACTATTCTTAAAGTAAGTTAGTACTAACTATATAAACTCGCGCTTAATATTATTGCCGGACTTATAGAAGACTAATAGTATCTTCGAGATTACCTACGTATACTTCTCGTTGTCTTCTTTAAGGCCTTCTTCGTTATATATACGCTCTAGCTTATAGATTAACTCGTACGCCTCCGTAAGCGTCTCGCGTACGTTAAGTCGATAGGTAGGCGCGTAAGGTGCCGCAGTTATAGTATCTAGATTACCTCCTTAGTAAGGCGCGTCTTCTATCTCGTAGACCTCGAGTGCGCGGCCTTTAAATATACTAATTTAGTGCTGCTAGTGCGAGTCTTTAATAATAGTACGAAGAAGAGTAATATAATAAAACTAGAGGTAGGCGTATAGTATATAATAGCGGCGGAAGAATTTGCAGTCGCAGGTAAGGAAAGCGCGGTCCTTACTAAGCGGTCTTAGGTCTTAAAATACCTCTTTATCGAGCGCTCGACTAATTTCCGCGCCGACCTTACGTTAAATAGGCTACGGTAGGCGTAGAAGGTATATTCGAAGCTCGTCGTCGTCGCTACGCGCGAGAGGATACATATTCGCAGCCTAGCGGTACGCTACTACGTCCGACCTAATATCCTTAATCGTTGTCTCTCGAAGTACGTATATAGCTACGCCTTTAAGTATAAAGTCCGCTACTATCGGCGCTTTATTGCTATCTATTTTAAAACAAGCGTAGAAGCTCTCGTTTATATTTATAGTTGTATTTTGTTAGACAATTGTAGGTACGCCGCTATACCGAAAGTAGAAGGCCTAAAGGCGGATATCTTTGCCTATCTCTTACTAAAGGTAGGTCTTATTTAACGCGTAATCGGTATTTAAAGGCAGGCTATCGATAGCGGCGGAGAGTAACTATTACGCGCCTTCGAAGGAGCGGCGGTAAATAATAGCGGCTCGAAGGTATCGACGCGTCCTATTATAGGCCTTGCTACCGAAACGACGAGCGACTATCCGTTAAACGTATACGTAGTAAAGAAGGTATATTGTACGGTTTCTAAATGCTATACGAACTGCGCGTCGTTCTACCGCCGAGTCGTCTATTAATATAAATTTAGGTACCTAAATTCTATCTGTCTACGCGCTTATCTTTAATAAGAAGATAGACACAATATCGCCGTCGTTAGTAGGTAATAGTATATACGCAACCGTACGCGAAATGCCGTATTTGTCCTTTACTATAATAGTATAAAGGAACTAACTAAGATAATTAGTCTTATACGTCGCGTCTATAAATGCGATCGTACGATAGGTTTTTAGCAGTTCTATGCCGGTTTTAGTCGCCTAAACGACGCTATATATAGTTTCGCTATCGGTCTCGCGTACCGCTAATATATTATCGCAAAAGAGCCCTTCTATAGTAATATATTAGTAGTTGTTATAATAGAAAACCAAGAATGTAAACAAAGGAATTCTAAAGTTTAGGATGCGGCCTACTAAGGTAAGCTAGAAGCCGGACCGAGGTGTTACCGTAGGTCCTAAATTATCTTATTAGCTCGAAGCCGAGGCTCTACGGCGCTTCCGCTTTAAGCGAAGAACTTTAGAATCTCGAGATTCTACTACTCGAATCTAGTATTTATAGGCAATCGAGTCTAATATCTTCCTCTATCGATTTCTATCGATTTAATAAGTTAGACGAGGCTCCGTATCGATCTATTAGTTAATCGGAGTCCGGATCGGCGGAAAGCGTCGGCCTACTACGCTTTTTCTAACTTTAGATAGCAATAGTAAACAATACAATACTTACCTTCTCGACACTAGTTAAATAAGTCTTCCTTCTATTACTGCTATATAAGCGACGCGCCGCCGAGTTTGCTATTCCTATATACCTTCCGAAAGGCTCGCCCTAAGTTATAGACATCGTATTTCTATATCTATCGACCTCCGGCGGCATTAAATAGCTTATACGCTACTAGGTCGTATTCCGCCTTTAGCGCCCTCTATATAGTACTTAGTATATAGCCTTAATAGACCTACCGACTAGCGGTAGTTAAGAGAGCGCTATAGCGACGAAACACGTCGAAGTTGTCTAGTTAGTAGTAATCGCTATAGTCGTCGCGACTTATACGCTATATTTAATACGCGATAATCTCCTTACTACTACTACTTTCTTTACTATTCTTATTACTTTCCTTATTTAGCGCGTCGCTCGGACTATAAACAGCGATAACCTTTATTAATATAGTATAATCCTAAGCGCGCTCTATCTTCTTATAGTCTCTCCTTACTCCGCGGCTCTTCGTCCTATTACTCTTCTAGTACGGTTGTTTATAGAAGCGATATATATAACGCGTAGTTTCTAGGCCGCTCTTCTCGATATAGTTATAGTTCTTTACCTATATATTATTAATATATAGCTATAGCGTATACTATACTTTTACTAATGCTTTAATAGAGTTATCGAAGCCTAGAAGGATTAGTCGTTCTTACTACTTACGGAGGTTATCGACGTACGGTAACTACGCGTATTTATCGCTTAGCTTAACGAGAACTCGAGACTTTCGAGAGCGACGATAATCGGAGGACTCGGACGCGTCTAACGCGTTATCTTTACTAGAATAGACTAATTCGTCCTCCGCCGGTCGTTTTATCGAGAAGTTAGTAATTCTAAGCTACTACCGGGCGTAATCTGCCTCTATACTATTATATTCTAACGCGAAGTCGCCCTAAGCCTCCGAGGTAAGTATACTACTACTTCTACTATCTCCGATAAGGTTACTAATTAATATAGTATTAGAAGAGATTAAAGGTATAATTTAATTAATAAAGCGCTATCGAAAGAGATAGAATCTACTTATTATAGAGGGCGGAGCGGAGCGATAGCGAGGTTAGAAGGAGTAGTAGGGGTATAGAAAATAAGAACCTAAACAAACCGGAGCGCGTCGATGCGCTAGAGCGGAAGCGTATATAATCTATACCGACCGCTACTCGCTAAGGTCTATAGAGCCTATTCTCGGTAGGTTAGGCGCTCGGACGCTCTTACGGGACTTTAAATACCTACGAAATTAGACCTCTTAGCGGTCTATATATAGCCTATAAACAACTATATAGCCTCTTCTCGTATCGGAGTAAAAGATCGACGAGACAACCTTGTTAGTCCTAACTTAGAGGCACTTCCGGCACTACTAATTGCAGTGTTCTATACTAAATTAAGGTGTCGCTTCCGAGGCTAATAAGGGAGGCTTAGCTATCGGTATCTACTATAGGCCTCCGCAACTAGCTAGCTTCAAATTACGTATAGAGACTAACTAGGGTCAAATACTACCGTCTTTTAGTAGATGCAATAATATATTACTTTTATAGGACTTCTTATAGGTAAAGGAAAGGAAGAAGAAGCAGTTATAAAGGGCGGAAGGGGGTTTTGTTGTTTGATTAGGTGTAGGTCTGCTACTAGATTAAACTCGCTAGATTATAGGTAGGAGGACTCGAGAGTGATTATAGAGTCGCTATAGAGAGGCCGGAGGGCATATAGGGTCGTTTTATATAGGCAAAATAGTCTCTAAAGGTGTCCGCTCCCCTACTGCTTCTCTTCTACTTCTCTTTAATGCCTTATATATATACCGACGCGCACTACGCGCAGTTCGGACGGCGTCGTAGTTGCTTAGGTTATATCCGGACTCGTAGTGCACTACCTCTTCGAGACTAACGATATACTAACCTGCTAGAGGTTTATCGTCTACTAGACTAGCGTAGACTAGTATTAATTAAGCGTCTCGAGTAGGGTAAGGATAAGAGGGCGTAGTTGAGGCTGTTATTAGACCTAGTAGCGAGTAATCGTAGTAGAAGTCCTATACTAACACTTCGGTTAGTTAGTTTAACTCTAGCATTCGATCTAGCACCTCTGCTATTTAGATTAGGCTCTCTAATACTAAGCAGGGTTAGTTTAGCTGCTATAAGGCGTCTATTAATGCTCCTACTACTGCCTAATATTAATCCCCCTCGCCTAACTAGTCTATTCTTTCTATAGTAGCGTAATCGTATACTAGAGGTCGCTCCGCCGGTTTACGACCGTCCGCCGGACTATAATAAGTTAGAAATGCAGCTCGAAGAACAACGAGAGCTTAAGAGGCAACTAGAAGGCTAAATACGTCGACCGTAGGTTAAAGTTATCGATTTAACTAAGGAAGAGTCTAGATCTTTAGATAATAACTTAGCCTCGGTTCGGATTACCCCGCGTGCCCGGCGATTCCTATTAGATCGGAGTTAGTTAACCGAAACGCCGACTACCGATTCTTAAACTTTATCCCTAGATATAGAGTAACTCTCTTAATCGATATAATATACTAATTTATTACACCTAACACTGCCTGCTACACTACTTGCAAACCGGCCTGCTAGACAGATAATACTACTATCTTTAAGCTCCCTTCTTTTTAGAGACCTAGGTCTACTACTAACGTACGAAATTGCGATATAATAGACCCCCGAATAGCGACTTCTTCGCCGAGTCGTTTTGCTATATAAACTGCGTACTACTATTAAACAACTGCACTGTATCGTATAGTAGCTAATTAAACGCATTTCTTAATAGTCTCGAAGGGCCCTTTCGACCGTCTATAAGATCGTAAATAAGCCCTTTATACTACGGCGCTATAGATACTATAAAGTAGATACCGAGGACTTAATCTACGTCCGAGAGGTCGTACTTGTTAACCTACTAACTCGACGACGAGGGCGTACCCTCTATATATACGTATAAGAGCGACAGATTATCGCCTTTATTACTTAGAATGCTATAACTCGTCGTATAACCTTCCGCTAGGTGCGAGATGCTCTTAGTTTAACCTGTAGTCTATAGACAATCTCTCGTATCTATAGAAGGTATAGATACTGCCGCTACGTCGCTCGCCCTCGTCCCTTCTATAACGACCGTATTCGACGCCTAAGGCTCGAATAGGCTACATTCTACCTTAACTAGACACTCTCTAACTAGGCTAACGTTCTATAGAGTAACGAGAGTGCTATTCGTAATAGCTTACACGAGAGGCTGTTTGTAACTCGCCGTATTAGTAAGCGCAACTAAGACGTATATTTAAGACTACGCTTTTAACGACTTCCTTATTAGATAGTTTAGGCCTATATTAGTAGTATAGGAGGCAAAGGGCTACTTCTTCTATAGAACAACAAGGATTAGGGTAATATTAATCGATATAGCTATTCTTCGAAGGTCTTACTAATCGTTTAAGAAGAAGTCTCGAGAATAAATAGTCTAATTGCTAACTAGTAATACCCTTTCGGATTTAAGCCTGCCTTATACTAAAGAACAGCGCTCTTCTAGCAAGACTCGGCTCTAGTATATATAGCTAACTTTACACTTAACTAACTAATAGCTCGGCGCATCGTTATTATAGATAACTAGCCTCCTTCCTTACCTAATTTAAACCCTATTAAGAACCTCTAGCGATATATAAAGTAAGCGATTAAGAGCCGCCGAGATAGGCCTACTAGACGCGTACTAAGCCTCGCTATTATCGAAGAATACTATAAGGTAACTATAGAATAGGTGTAATACTAGATTAATAGTATACTAGCTCGCTACTAGGCAGTTGTCGACGCTAAGGGTAGACATATATAGTAGTAAAGTATATTAGATAGCGCATTCTTGGTTGTCTATAGTCTATAGTACTTAGTCTTTAAACCTGCCTTCTATACGGCTTCTAAAACACCCTCCTTCTTAACCCTTATCGTTACTACCTCTAGTTAAAGATATGCGGTTCTAGGCAATCGCACTAATTGGCTTCTAACACCAGGTCTCACTATACTTTAGATAGTTAGCGGTGCCACTAAGCAAGGGGTGTAATACCCTGGAACCTGCAAGCGCAGTTTCACTCCGATGCGAGAAGAGGCTGTAGAGGTAGACAAGCCGCCGCTGCAAACCTAGCCGCCGTGGCGGTTCACTACCCTCGCATTCTTGGTCGGTATACATAGACCTCGCGGTTCTAGCGGTCCATTCCGTTTGCCAAGAGTGATTCGCCGTACGGTACGTAGACCTCTGAAGTTGGAAACGCAGTCGCAATCACGCGGGAAGGGGCATTCTGCATGTTCTTTCGCCAGCCTGAGAGGTGGAAGTGAAGTCGATGGAGTGACGCGGCGGAGAGAGTTGAGTCCGAGCGGGCAGGGCTGGGCTGTCTGGGACAAGGGTTCATGCCAGCTCAGCTCAGCTCGTCGTCGTCGTCGTCGTCGTCGTGGACAAACCTCAGCATCTGGAAGGCTGCGAAAGAAGACCTGTGCCCGAGACGCATTGGACAAGATGTCCTCGCCAACGCTGGTCGAACAATTCTCACACTACGTGCTCGACGGCTTCTGGCAACTGGGCAACTGCTTCAACTGCTTCCCCTCCACGCCCTCGCTCAAGATCAACGGCCGATCGTTCAAGATCTTGCGACTGCTTGGAGAAGGTGGCTTCAGCTATGTCTATCTGGTGCAATCACCCGGCGACCCGACCCTCTATGCGCTCAAGAAGATACGATGTCCCTTTGGGCAGGAATCGGTGGCGCAAGCACTGAAAGAAGTCGAAGCATACAGTCTCTTCACACCTCACCCGAACATAATTCATGCCATCGACCACAGCGTCGAAAGCGAACGCGGCGATCCCGCCAACAAGACTGTTTATATACTCCTCCCATACTACCGCCGAGGCAATCTGCAGGATGCCATCAATGCGAACCTTGTCAATCGCGCGCGCTTTCCCGAACGACGACTGATGGTACTCTTTCGCGGTGTGTGTCGCGCGCTCAAAGCCATGCACCAATATCGGGTCAAGGGCGGCGTACCTGGAGGAGAGGCGAGTCGCAAGAAGGCAAAGAAGGTGCGACAAGAAGCAGCTCGCGCCGACGCGGAAGCAGAGGAGGAAGTTGTGCATGCGAATCAGAGTCGAAGACGATCGCAAAAAGAGGATGACGATGAGGATGACGCTCAAGCACCATTGATGGACGGAGAAGTCGTGGCTGCACAGGATGGGGTGCCAGAAGGCGGCATGAGAAGCTATGCACATCGGGATATCAAGCCTGGCAACATTATGATATCCGACACCGGCACACAGCCTATTTTGATGGATCTTGGTTCGCTGGCGCCTTCGCCGACCCCCATCACGAGTCGAGCGCTCGCATTACAGGTGCAAGATCAGGCGGCGGAGCACAGCACGATGCCGTATCGGGCGCCAGAGCTATTCGACGTCAAGACTGGAACGGTGATCGACACGAAGGTGGACATATGGAGTCTCGGGTGCACTTTGTACGCGTGCTTGGTGGGCAAATCACCATTCGAAGCTCGAAGCGAGGAGACGGGTGGTTCACTGTCACTTTGCGTTCTGGGCGGTGACTGGAGGTTTCCTGACGAAGGTCCCGCTGAGGCCAAGCGAGGCAAGCAGCGTGTGAGTGATGTCGCCCCAGCTGCGCCCAAAGAAGATTCAATATCGGAGGCAGTGAAAGAAGTGGTGCGCAAGTGCTTGATGGTGGAGCCAGAGCATCGGCCAGACATCGATCAACTCATATCGATGGTGGAGGAAGTGGTGGCTGCTCTGCCGGATGATGGTGACGCGGCGTTGGACATGGAGTAGAGGCGCCTTTCCGGCAGTTGTAGGATACAGAATCAGATGTGTAATGACACGATCATTGACTGTCCGACCGACCACGAGCCCTGTCCTGTATTCTACTTGCACTTGCCTTTCGCTCGCGCTCAGAGAAGGTTGTAAGTACCTGCATGGATGCCCCGCTTCCCTTCCCGAATCGACACATCAAGGACGCGGCGTTGATGCCGGACACCTGGATGTACATGTACACAGCCCTATCCCTATACCGCGTCACGTTACGGTAGAGCTCAAAGGAATCCGCCCTGTCGGAGCCCTCATTTCTGCTTCTCTCCGCTCCACTCCGCTCCGCCCCGCCCCGCCCCGCCCCAATGGTCAAACGGGCAATGAAGTTCACTCCCAAGGTGCTGCTCTCAGCGCCGCGACGGAGTGCTGGCGTCCCCAGTCCCCACGGCACCCACGTCCTCTACACCCTCAGCACCTACAGCTTCGAATCTCACAGCAAAACCACCGAGCTGAGAGTGCTGACGGTGCAAAGTGGAGACAGCCAGGAGCTGGCCAAAGACGACGACATCTCAGACCTCAACTGGCTCGACGACGACACCTTCGCCTGCCTCCAAGCAGAGAAGGATGGCACAACGAGTCTGTGTATTGCGAGCCTATCGGACGTCGTCAAGAAGCCCACGCGAGGACATGGCCACTATACAGCCGGAAAGATCCCGGGGCCAGCTTCGAATCTCAAAGTGAAGCAGCTGGACGACCACAACTACGCCGTCGTTGTCTCGGCATCCGTCTCGCCGGATGGCTCAATGTACAATCCGGAAAAGGCCCCCAAGACTCATTCCACTGCCAAGCTCTACAGCAGTCTATATGTGAGACATTGGGACAAATGGGCCGCGAAAGAGAAAAATGCACTCTGGTACGGCCAGATCAGCAGGAAGTCCCATGGAGGCAAATTCAAACTGTCCGATCTCTCGAATCCCATCCCTGGGGGATTGGAATGCCCTATACAGCCTTTTGGTGGCACCGACAACTTCGATTTGAGCAAGAATGCCATCATCTTCGTTTCCAAAGATCCACATGTAAACCCGGCCCTGAATACGAAGGTAGGAAAGAAGTCGGGACGACAGGAGAATGTATGCTGACGCCAAATTCCACACATTTAGGAAAATGTGTACATTGTACAAGTCGGCGATTGGGCTAGCAAGAAGACCTCTCTCATGCAGCAGGTCATTGTGCCTGGATTTCAAGGTGCCGCGTCTTCGCCCGTCTTCAGCCAAGACGGCACCAAAGCTGCATTTCTGATGATGAAGACTCGCGGATACGAAGCAGATAAAAATCATATCTGGGTTCTTCCAGATCTCTCAGGCCCGGACTTGACACCGCTGCGAGCATTTGCCGAAACAGAGATGGGTGACTGGGATCGTAGTCCTGGATCCATCGTCTGGAGTTATGATGGGAAACATTTGCTTGCAACCGCAGAGGAATATGGGACTGGAAAGCTCTTCCAGATTTCAGGTGATCTGATACGCCAAGATCCTCGCATCTTGACTCATCGTGGATATATTGGTGACGTGCGACCACTTCCGGACGGTCGCATCTTCGTCACTGGTAGCTCCCTGAGCGACAATTCGTTCTACGCGATTGTCGATCCTCTTATTGCCCCACACCCTGGCCGTCCTCAGACCGATGCGCTCCTTGCCTGGACTCACTCGAACTCTCAAGATGGCAGCAAGTTTGGGCTCAAACGCGGGCAGATCTCTTCCATATGGACTCCCGCAAACAATCCCAGGATAAACGAAGAGGTCCACAGCATAGTTGTTTATCCTAGCGACTATGACAGGACGAAGACCTATCCTGTCGCATACCTGATTCACGGTGGTCCACAGGGCGCTTGGGGCGACAGCTGGTCCACACGCTGGAATCCAGCTGTCTTCGCCGAGCAGGGCTATATTGTGATAGCAATTAATCCTACAGGAAGCACGGGATACGGGCAGGCCTTCACTGATGCTATACGACGGAATTGGGGTGGTGACCCATACCAGGACATTGTCAACGTCTTCAATTGGGCAAAGGCGAACATTCCTGAAGCCGACCATAATCGCGCTGTGGCGCTTGGAGCAAGCTACGGCGGCTACATGATGAATTGGTAAGCTTGAAAATAGCTTGATAACCGCATGGAGATGCTGACTCCTGGCAGGATACAAGGCCATGACCTCGGACGGCAGTTCAAAGCGCTTGTTTGCCACGACGGCATCACCTCTTTCACCGGTGGCATGCTTGCGACAGAAGAGCTCTATTTTCCCTTCTATGATCTCGGTGGCACGCCATGGTACAACCCCGGTTTCAAGCCTGCACCAGGCGAGCCCGAATCTGCTTCTGCGCAAGGCCATACCAACTTCGGTGCCGCTTCCACGTCTGCTTGGCGACAGTGGGACCCATCCGAACACTTTGCCAATTGGTCGACACCTCAGCTCGTCATCCATTCCAGCAAGGACTACCGCCTTACTATCGCAGAAGGTCTGACTGCGTTCAACGTTCTGCAAGCCAGAGGTGTCGAATCGAAGTTCTTGACGTTTCCAGATGAGAACCATTGGGTTCTGAACCCTGAGAACTCCCTCGTGTGGCACAAGGTCGTCTTGAACTGGATCAACCATTACGCTGGTCTTCCACCGTATGCGGAGGAAGATGAGAATAGTGACGAGTTCTTCGGTGGTCTGCGTGAGTCAGAAGAGATCGTGGAGATGGAAGGTAGTGGGATGGTCTCGACTTAGTATGCGAGATGGTCGCGAATGATGATACAAAAGCTACATCAAAAGTCATGCGGGCTCTAATCGAGGTCTAGCGTCTCTTTTACGAATTCTTTCGTGAACTGCTCCACGGCTTCCTCTGATCTCCAAGCGGACCAATTGTGGTTGAACAGGCCCCAAGTCTCATCGGAATCCTGAGTTCCTTCCCGGATGTAGTAACTTCCCGCCAACACCCACTGCATCCACTCTCCCGTACCGCCTGGTAGAGTTGTAAGGTACTCTTGAATACACCTCGGACAAGGCTTCTTGAAATTCGTACTATTCTGCTCATATCCAAACTCGGTCAAAACGACCTTGAAACAGAACAGAAAGAAATCAGCATGTCGTGTGCACTATCGGATATTCTTCTTCTTCTTCTACTCACCGGAGCAAAATTCTTCGCCGCACTGTTCTCCCCAACATCCATAGCATTATACCCTTGACGATAAAGACCAAAACTCGCACACGCTCCCTCATACTCATCATTATAATCATCCAACTCAAAACACGATTTTCTCACGATACGGACACCCTTCTTCAAATCAAAAATACCAACAATCCCTCTCCCGTTGTGAAATCTATCCCTGCCGTCACATTCGCTAGATCCGTATCGAATCCCAACCCCCGAGAGGAAAATTGGAGGATCGGAGTTCTCTTCGTTTGGGGAATTTGCTGCTGCGATTATATTAGTATACTAGTCTCTCTAGCCGTAGAGGCAACGTACTGATGAGGGGGGGTCGGGTTGTCGGAGTTCGTTTCGTAGCGCGAGGGAGACGAAGGCCGGCCAGGAGAAGGCGTGTGAGGACATGTAGGTTAGGCCCCGGATCCAGTTCGTTGTGTTGAAGTTTTTGTCGCCGAACCAGGCGTTGACGTTCATCCCGAGGGATTTGATTTTTGATACGATCGTTGATATTGAAGACCTTCGGGAATCATCACGTCTGCTGCGCCTGGCCAGTTGACTCGGGCGTATACGACTTTGTGACTGACCTCTTGTATCGATGATGTCGCGCCCTGAGGTTTTGAAGGGGGCGTAGGGCCAGACATCTTGTGTTGTTTGGAGATGTGAAAGTCTGGGGCTGGCGTCGACCGCGTCCAGCAGTGGTGTAACGACGACGAGAAGTCGTGATAACATTTTGCGTATACTTTTATCATGCGTTGGGATGCTTGCCGTTCCATATACCTTTCCACCACTTTGGCAACTTCGCTAATAAGCTGGCCTGCGAAGATTGATATGTAGACCGCCACCAATAGTCTCGCAGCGACTGGGATGCAACGTCACGTTCCCATTCGGCTTGCACCACAGTGTGACCACTCTGAAATAATCGAACAGGCACAACAGGCACAATCTCATGGGTGCTAGCAGAAGCCCGAAGTCTATCACTGTATAGCCGGAGCAGTTCCTCCACGTGGCGATGCTCGAGAACTCTGGCGGAAGCCCCTGACAACCAGCCCAACACTATCGCACTCTTGTCTTCTGCAGTTGAAACATGAAGTCTGTCTCTCGACACTTAGCCTGGTAGTCTTCAGCAATGCCGGGACCACAGGCGCCAGATCCAACGCCGGCTGTAGCCACATCAAGTCGCAGCAGTAGCACATCTTCCTCGATCAGATCGCAAGGATGTTTGGCTCTGTCCAGAGTCTGAGGGGAATAGTATCCTGCGGCCCATGAGAACTTCGCAATTTCGTCCAGTCGTGTCACTCTCAATCCCGCACCATCTTCATCGCTAAATATCACCTTTGACGCGCCCATTCTGTTTCCGCTTTCTTGTGGGACGTCGTAATTTGTAGAAAGATCCGCGATCGTGGAAGTGTAGATGCCCATTCTCTGAGCCGCCTGTTTGTCGGGGTATGATTCTCCTGGCCCGAGACCAACATAATCCGCTTTCATGAGCGTCTTGTTCAAGCGCAGGTCAAGCCCAATCCTAGGGACTGTCTCTGGCTTCTTGCCAGATGGCTCGAGCTTCACACTGACGGTCAGAGTTTCGGAGGCGGTGATGCGATAGGTGATGCTGGCAGTCCAGCCCCAGTCCAATACAGGAGGTGAGAGGAAAGTCGTGCATTGTATTTCTACCTCGCCGGGTCCTAGTCGGTTGACTTGGGCAGAGCGAAGCTGCGAGGTCATTATGTCCAAGCCGAAGCGTTTCCAATATGGTTCGTCTCGAGGGCGATCGTTGTCAATGGGAGCTCGCCAGAAGCCAGGAGTTAGTGCACTGTTTGTTGTACCATCAGAAACCATAAGTGGCTTGCCTTCGGAGATCCACGATTGAAGTTGGCCTCTCGCGCGGTCGAACGTCATCTCGAAAGATGCTGAACGAATCGTCCATCCATTGCGCGATGTGCGGACCTGGAGAGTCTCGCCACTCGCAATTGGTCGAGGCACTATTGTCGAGCCGTTCGCCGTGGACAGCTGATGTTGCGACCATGCCACTTCATGTCCTTGATCGCTCCAAATCGACGTGTCTTTCAGTTGAAGACTTACGGTCAACCAGGTTTCTGAAGTCAAGCTGGTCTTGGAGATTGCTTCTGGCAGTGGTAGTGAGTGCTTCTCGCCAGGCCCAATGTGTGGTAGCACAAGAGTGCCAGACAAGAGGAGTGTAGTCTTGTCGCCGAAGGACTCTACCTTAAATGTTGCGCTCAAGTGATCGAGATTTGCGAAGTCATACAAATTGTGGAATGAAAGGTGTCGGTCCTTCAATTCGATTCTCACAGGCTCGATGACTTTCTTGAATTCTATCAGCCCTGGTGTCGGCGTATGGTCGCTAAAACAAAGGCCGTCCTATGCTCAGTTAATGTCGAAATTGTGACAGGAATTATCTGCCCGATGCATACCATGACAAACGTGGAATCATGAACGACTTCGTCAAAGTCGCCGCCATAGGCATAGTACGATTTACCATCCGCGTCTGACTTCCACAGGCCATGACTACACAAACATGGTCAGCACTTCAACTGGGAGGTATGATCACTATGACCAACTTACTTTGCCCATTCCCAGATGAAACCTCCTTGCAGGCGAGGATGACTGCGGAAGGCATCTTGATAGCCTTGCAGATTGCCGGGTCCGTTTCCCATCGCATGAGCGTATTCGCACAAAACGATAGGCTTGTCGAATTTCCCATCTGTGACACCTTCGGTCTCGCAGAGTTTGATTAGTCTTTCTAGGCTTGGATACATGTAAGAGAACATATCGGCGGAAAGCACTTTTGCATCGCCCTCGTAGTGTACTGGCCGGGTGGGATCGATAGACTTGGTGTATTCGTACATTGCTTGGTGATTTTGTCCGTAGAATGCTTCATTGCCCAAAGACCAGATGATGACGCAAGCATGGTTCTTGTCACGATTCACTACTGCGGCCATGCGATCAATATATTGTGCTTTCCACGCCGGATTGTTGGAAGTGTACTCCGCGGCTTGAGGGAAGGCAAGCTTCTTTCGTTCCTCATAGTCCATCTCCTCTGGGATGTCCAGAGGCCGAGCAACTGCATCGTAAAATCCATGGCATTCCAAGTCAGCCTCGTCCATCACCCAAAAGCCCAGCTCATCACAGAGATCTAGCATGCGAGGGTCTGGCGGATAGTGGCTGCATCGCAGCGCATTGATGTTATGCCTTTTCATCAACAGTAGGTCTTCCCGAATGAAAGATAATGGTACAGCACGACCGAAGCGTGGATGATGGTCGTGTCTATTGACACCTTGCAGCAGTATCGGTTGGCCATTGACAGTGAGCAGGCCATCTTTGATCTCGACTTGTCTGAAACCCACTCGATGTTCTATAGCCTGGATGACATGACGGCTACCGCGAGGTAGCAGCGAGATTTCCAGATCATACAGCTCAGGATTTTCAGCGGTCCATTTCCTGGGCCTTGTGACGTGCAAGGTGTGAGAGACGGTGCTAGAAGCAGCACTTGGTGTGAACACAGCGTGTTGTACGACACGTCTTCCGTCCTTCGGGTCTCGCAGTGCCAACGATACGTCAACTTCACAATCCAGTGTAAGCGCAAGTTTGACGTCAAGCAATACGTCTCGGTATTCATTGTCTAGCCTTGTCTGTACGAAGAAGTCTTCAATCCTGGAAGAGGGCAATGCGAGGAGGTATACATCGCGAAAGATTCCAGACAGCCACCATTGATCTTGATCCTCAATGTAAGAGCCGTCGCACCATTGATAGACACGGACAAAGAGCGCATTCTCGCGATCAGACCTGACGAGAGTTGAGATGTCGAATTCGCTCGCGTTTCGGCTTCCTTGATGGTACCCAACAGAAGTTCCATTCAACCAAATGTGGAATGCACTATCCACCCCCTCGAAGCGCAGTCTGAGATTCGACGATGTCGGCCACGATTTGGGAAGATGGAAAGTGCGCTTGTATGTTCCGGTAGGGTTCTCCGTGGGCACATGAGGAGGGTTCACGGGGAATGGGTACTGGACATTTGTGTATTGCGGTGCACCGTAACCTTGCAATTGCCAGTGCCCAGGTACATTGATCTTGGTCCATTCGACCGGTGGAAGCGCGTCAATGGTATCCAGACTGGCGTGAAGCGTAGCATCGGACGCAGTAGGAACATCGGGGCTCGGCGCATGCTGAGCTGTGGGAGCTAGATGAAAGTCCCAGGGACCGCTCAGCAGCAAAGTCTCCGGAGGCAAATGGTATGCACGCGAAGGCAGTCGATTTCGTTGGAAAACATGCTCGTTGGCGTAGTCAGGGAGCTCTCCCGTTCCTGCTGTCGTCGACGCCATTTGGAGATGGCGAGCAATTCTGCAGCAGACGACTCGGATACAGCATGGACCTGGAGATGGAGAAATGAAGTCGCTCAAGACAAGAATCTCTCCGGCCCGAGACGGACTTGACAAGGTGTAGGTGGAGGAGCCATGCTAGGGAGGCCTCAGGGTGGAATAAGGGACTCGTGACAGCGCCATTCTTGGAGCCGATATGTGGTCGACAGCCTGTTCCATGCGCGGACATGCGAATGGCATGTGCAAAGCTTGGATCGTGCAGGTGATGATGCCGATGAGAGACGTGGTTGGTGGATTTTCTTCTGTTCGCTTGACTTTGGCCCTCGAAACGTGGACTGAGTGTCTCGCTCCGAAACGGACCGACACCTTACGGTGGTACTTCAGTGTCTAGAGTGTAACTATCTTTTTTTAGGATTTGGATTTGATTGTAGGCGGGTAGACGCTTTCTAGCTACTTTGGGTATAGATACGCGCCTATATAATGCTATCCTATTTAGAAAAAAGGTGCTAGTCTAACTATATCTAGATAGATAGATTAGTATACTATATTATATAAAGAACTTTAAAAAAGAGATAGCAACTTCTCGGTTTTAATTTCGAATAGAGATATCGACGTATATAATTAAGGCAAAAAGAGAGTAGCTAGAGTAGAATTCGACCCTATATATATAACAAAAAGGCGCTATAAGGAGGTATAAAGCAAATTTACCGATCTCTATAAAGTAGATATAGTAAGTTTACCTAACGTATCTACTATAGCCCCTTTTCGTCGACGTATATAACTACTATACTATCTAGCCGAGAAGATATATAACACGAAATGCCTAAATTTAATTAAATAGCCCTTATTATAAATAGTATATAATACCTACTAAGAGTATAAAGAACTTTAAAAAAGAGATAGTAACTTATTAGGTTTGATTTTAAATAAGGATATTAACGTATATAATTAAGGTAGAAAGAGAGTAGCTAGAGTAGGATTCGAACCTACGTACGCGATAGAAAGGCTCTATAGCTTATAGAGAGATATCGGATAAACTTACCGATCTCTATAAAGTAGATACGGTAAGTTTATCTAACGTATCTACTATAGGGACTTTCTATTAACGTAACTACTATACTATCTAGCTATAAAGATATATAATACAGAATGCCTTAATTTAATTAGATAGCCTTCGTTATAAATAATATATAATACCTACTAAGAGTATAAAGAATTTTAAAAAAGAGACAGCAACTTCTTAGTTTTAATTTTAGATAAGGATATCGGCCTATATAGTTAAAGCAAAAAGAGAGTAACTAGAGTAGGATTCGAACCTATATATACGATAAGAAATCGCTATAAAAAGGTATAGAGTAAGCTTCCCGATCTCTATAAAGTAGATATAGTAAGTTTGCCTAACGTATCTGCTATACCGCCTTTTCGTCGACGTATATAACTACTATACTATCTAGCTATAAAGATATCTAACCGTTTCTAACGCGAAATGCCTAGATTGAATTAGATAGCCCTCGTTATTAATAATATATAACACTTGCTAACAGTTATATAAAAGTCTTTCGTAATCGTATCTATCTATATAATTAAGATAAAAAGCAAACGAACTTTTGTTTAAGCTATAATAGGGATTATAAATAAGTAGTATTCTTAGTTATCTATATCTTTCTCTAGTCTAGATAATCCTTATTCCTTAGCTAAGCTATTACTATACTTGCTCCGCGCGCGTATAATATATACCGGACTATCGGTAAAAATATCCGAAGGTTCTTTAGACCGGTCGTTATCCTATTAAGTTCTTAGAGATATAGCGTCTACCTAAGAGAGGTATCGTCTATATATTAACTAGACAGGCGTACTAAGCCGCTATAAAATAATTAGAACTATAGAAACGGACTAAACAGTATTATACAAATATAGATTAATCCTAATTCTTAGAAATCGTAGGATCTACTAGTTCCTAGGCTAAGATAGGAGCCTAACTTTAAAACTCTATCTTCTCTACTAGCTTTATCTTAATATTCGGCTCGGACTTAATATTTAGCTTAGACTTGATTTTTAGCTCGGTTTAAACCTATATTCTAGTTAGAATGTATTATATATAATAGGGTAAGGAGAAAATCTCCTACCTTTATATCTATTTCCTTTTTAGCCTTCTTCTATTCCTTTATCTTTAGAGCGTACTTCCCGGGGAAGGGTAGAGGTTTAGGTAGCGTTAGCTCCTCGTACTTTCCCTATTAAGATATAAGTATAACTAGTTTCCGGTTTAGGAAGATACTACCTAGAAGTAAATATCTTTAGGATTTGTAAAATAGTAGGAAAGGAAGGCGTCCCTAATCGTAGTTACTTCTTTAATTTTATAATTAGTAACGTATTATATAAGGTACCAATATTAAGACTATATTTAAAATTACAGATCTCGATTTTCTTACTAGATCTTAGAAAGCTAGAAATAGATTATCCTAGAAGACAATAAAGGTAATTTTTGTTCTAGCTAAACTAGAGAGTTCTAATTTATAGGGGAGTTGTCTTTAGGTTTTAGCTATTATATAGATATAGATTTATAGTATCCTTGCCCTTGCTTCTTAGAATTACAACTTTTTATTAGTCTTGTCTCCTCTCCTTCTTACTTCTAACCTTTCTTACTACCCTTTTTCTTTTAACTATCTATCTTTAGCGGCGTCTTCGGTACGAATTATATATTTACCCCCTCTCTAATAGTCTTTAATTCGTCGTTCTTTACCTTATACTATTTATAGGTAGGCTTCTTACCGTTCTAGACGTAGTCCTTATATACTCTACCTATATAGAAGTCCTAAGATATATATTTCTAGTTCCTAGAGTTAGTATTACCTATTATATATATATTCCTAGCTCTCTATAGTAACTTACTAGGAAAGGAGCTTGCTTTTTAGCTAGTCGCTTATAGATACCTAGGATAGGAGTTCCTCTATAGTATATATACTCCTTCTTCTTATTCTCCTTACTACTTTCTAAGTTAGCTCCGTTCCTAGGACTTAAAATATATTATATATACCGACTCTAAACTAGTAGTATATTAATATAATTGTCTCGGTACGAAATTAGTCCTATCGTCTTTACCTCTTTACTATCTCTATATTTATACCCTCTTAAATCTTCGGCTCTTCCTTTTCTATAAATTCCTACTAAACTATAGTTAAAGGAAACCCTTATTCTTAAAGCTAATTTATATACGTTAGTAATTGTATTTATATCGCTTATTCTACTCTTACTTTATTAAACTGCTATACTAGCGCGCCCGTTTACTACTAGTATTATATAGCGATAAAAGATTAGAAGTTTCTACGCTTAATTAGTATAGATCTTAGGTGCACTTATAGGCAAAGGTTGGCTACGTGCTTAGTACTAAGCCTCCTTAGCTTCCGCCTTATATACTTACGATATCGCCTGTTATATTAAGCTATAGAGGTACGCCTAGAATACTAGTATATAGATATTTGTTTATATTAATTTTGTTAGAGGCTATAGCTTAAGGTATAGAAATCGTATTATACGTATAAGGATAGTATTATATAGCTTAGAATAGCTAGGAATAGTTAGTATTTAAAATATTAAAGTCGGTATCTAGTAGAAGTCTCGAAATAAAATTACGTATCCTAAAATAGGCCTACGGCTTACTTTCGCTTTACGGAACTCGTAGCCCCTATATAAACAATTATATTAGATTTAAAAAAGCCGGCGAATTGCCTTTAGCCTATAGGTTATAACTATTCTTACAATCGAGTATAGTACTCTCTAGGTTTAGGTAATCTTTAGATTAAATGCCTTAGGCGCGTTAAAATGTATATACAATGCGATATCTATCTACGTTATACTAAGGAAGGCGCTACCGTTCTAATCCTGAAAGAAGATAGTTGCACTCTAGACACTAAAGTACTACCGTAGACACCTCTAACCTCCCACTTCCCCGCAACCAGACTTCACTTCTTCACAAGCCACATGTGTGCAAGCATGTGCGCTCCCGGCAGATTGGACTCTGGAGGGACATCTGGGGTGCATAAAGACAACGATGATCGACGCGCTGGAGAACGAGGCAGCGGCTCCATTCTTCTTCACACGCATCGCATCTCCTACGACCTGCGCCCTTCCCGACCTCTGGCACTACCAACATGGATCCGGCACCTGAGAAGCACGACGTCGTAGTTTCCGAGAAGAACGAGGTTGTCGAACAAGTTACAACGAAAGTCGATGAGGTCGTCAACCTTGTGCATGATGAAAGTCAGCAGCGATACTCCCCATGGACTTGGTCCATGTGGAGGCTTTATGGCTGCCTCTGGATAGCTTATCTTTGTGGCTGCTTGAATGGCTTTGATGGCAGCCTTATGGGAGGTGTCAATGCAATGGAAAGCTACCAGAAGTATTTCGAACTGTAGGTGCATACATAACCATCAAGACATGTCCGAGGCTAATCTGTGGATCTAGTGGACAAGCAAGCTCCGGTACAGGACTGTGAGTGTGCCAGAAGGAGCACGCCGAGAGAGTACATACTTACTGTTCGCAGCGTCTTCGCCATGTATAACATCGGCAGCATACCCGCAGTCTTTTGTACAGGTAAGGGCCCACGTAACTCGCCCCATTGTCTGTTCTGAGCGCTGACTGATGTCACGCTGCTATGCAGGTCCGGTAAACGACTTGTTTGGCAGACGGTGGGGTATGTTCACTGGAGCGCTTGTCATCATTGTCGGAACGTGCGTACAGGCGACATCGCACAATATGGGTCAATTTCTGGCTGGCCGCTTTATCCTCGGATTCGGAGTGTCATTCTGCTGCGTCTCGGCCCCATGCTATGTGTCTGAGTTAGCGCATCCACACTGGCGAGGCACACTTACCGGATTCTACAATTGTACGTGGTACATCGGTTCCATCGTCGCCGGATGGGTCATCGTTGGCTGCGAGTACATGTCATCGACATACGCCTTTCGCGTTCCAATTTGGTGCCAACTGATCAGCTCAGTCTTCGTGGCCGTTGGTGTATGGTTCATTCCAGAAAGTACGCGAATTCTCCCATTCATTCTTCGGTGGAGAATGCTGATTGTGCTTCAGGCCCTCGCTGGTTGATGGCGAACGACCGATATGAAGAGGCTATGAATATATTGGCCAGATATCATGGCGAAGGCAGCACTTCGCACCCAGTCGTAGAGATGCAGCTCAAAGAGATGGCACACCAGATCAGTACTGATGCGTCCGACAAGAAGTGGTGGGACTACCGGGAGCTTTTTAACACGCACTCCGCTAGACGGCGTCTAATTTGTGTAATCGGTATGGCGATGTTTGGTCAGCTCAGTGGGAACTCAGCAACTGGTTATTATCTACCAGTAATGGCCAAGAATGCTGGTAATTAGTGTGCTTGCTTCACAGATATATATGCTCATGTTTTGCCTTAGGAATCGACGACGCCCACACGCAGCTCATCCTCAACGCCATTTACCCAATCATCTGCTTCTTTGCGGCAACAGCAGGCGCTCGGTGCTGCGACGTTGTCGGCAGAAGGCCCCTGCTGCTGTACAGCATAGTCTTCTGCTCGGCTTCGTTCCTTGTCATTTTCGGGACGAGCAAACTAGTCAACGATGATCCGAGCAACACAAGCGCTGCAAACGCCTCAATAGCGTTCATCTACGTCTTTGGGATAGTATTCAGCTTCGGTTGGACACCATTACAATCGATGTACATCGCAGAGACGCTCCCAACAGCAACAAGAGCAAAGGGCACAGCGCTGGGCAACCTTGCCTCAAACGCCGCTGGTGCCATCTCGAACTACGGCATTGGTCCTGGCCTGAATGCCATTGGATACTACTTCTACTTGGTTTTCGTGGGGTGGGACTTGATCGAGTGGGCAGTCATGTATCTCTACTTTCCGGAAACCAAAGATCGAACCCTTGAGGAGCTTAGTGAGGTATTTGAGGCGAAGAATCCGGTCAAGAAGTCGTTGGAGAAGCGAGGCACGAACACAGTACTCAGCACCATGGGCTTGCAGGCAGAGCCCGTGCCCGGAACAGCATGAAGATCATAGCAAGGTGTGGAAGAGAGGAGATGGAGTTTCAATAGTAGTCTACGTACGGTAGAGCGTCGGCTCAGATTTCCGTGCCTTGGCACAATGACGAGAAGCTTTTTCACATCTGCATCAACACCGTACTCGTGCATCAAAGGTGATCAATGAATGTATACTGATACTGCGGGAAGGGAAGAATACCCACTCTCCCGCCCGAGCCGAGACGAGATCGTGGGGACAGACGCGGGGAGATGGTGCTTCTTTTCGTCCACTTCCAACGGCAATACCTTTTTGATTTCTCATACTGTGCCAACGCAGCCACTGCCATGACTACACGCGTAGTCTTGGACTACCGGACGAAGAAGCGAAAGCGAGGGCCGCATGCGGTAGGTCCCGTGTCACAAGCACGCCTCCATTCACTCACGGCAGTTGACGGTACGCTGAAACGAGAAGTGTGCTACATGTAGAGCACGCAAGGTCAAGTGCGATGGCAATCAGCCGTGTGCCCACTGCGCGTTGGCCGACACCGAGTGTGTCTACGGCTCCGAGCCGCTCACCAAAGCTAAGAGTGACGCGATCCTGGAGACGGTGCTCAGATTAGAGGACCGATTATCCCATATCTCAGCGCAGCTGGTCAGTTGATCAAGTCTCCACTTGAGTGAGGAACATCAAGAGCTCACATGGTGCTTGCAAGGCCAGCCACCCGTCTCTGCGCTCGCCTCCAAGCCCCGACACCGTTCCGCCAGCAACACGATCTCCACAGACAGTGACTACCGATCGGCAGCCTTCTTCTATCACTGGAGCCCGTCAGCTTGTTCAAGATGTACGGCACACGCGAAACGAGAGCCTGGACAACGCTGTCCTTTCAGCGGAGCACACGTCAACAACTGAAAGTGTTCTCGCTTGGCCTTATTTCGATATCTGCCACAGTCTGAGGAGCCAGTATCAGCCTATATTTGCTCTTGAGCAACAGAGATCCAAGTTCAGCCCGGCCGCTGCCCACCAATTACCTTTTCTGGACCCTAGCGAGGCGCACACCATTATAAAGGCCTTCCAAGATGTCGTCAACTTTTCTTATCCGACAGTGCTCGCCAGCATCCTAAACGATGTGGAGCATCGCACGTTGAAGGGACCAAACGACGACAGCGTCGAGGCATGTCTAGCTCTCTTGATCATGGCGCTGGGTTGCGCCTGTCGAGTTGTACAGTTTCTCAACCCTGATGTGATCCCGTCAAACAGTCCAGACCAGCAGGTCATCCGAAGTAGGCTGCTTGCACAGACGTACTTCGACTTATACCTTCAACGACTCAGTGTGGTCCACTTGGAGGTGTCAACCACATCTACGCAGTGTGTCTTCTTCACTGCGCTGTTCTTTGCATACCTACAGAGGCCGCTCCAGGCATGGGCTTACATAAGCATGACCGCTGCGAAGTGCCGGCTTCTGCTGTCATACTCATCCGCTGATGCGGGTGTCGATACTGAGTGTCTTCGAAGGATATTCTGGTCGTGCTTCATCCTAGAATCAGACTACATCGCCGAACTGGCTGCGCTTCCCCAAACTGGGGTCAGCGACATGGAGTCGTTGGTACCGTACCCAGCCCTCTATCAGACATCAGAGGATCACATCGAGCGGGAGCATTCGAGCCTCTACTTTCTAGCATGTGTCTCAATGCGGCGCCTGCTCAATCGCGTCCACGATCTGCTCTACGCGCCTGAAACAGGCGTTGCTTTTGACGATGCTCGCTTCCCTCATGTTGTGACCGAGCTCGATCATCAGCTCGAAGAATGGAGAGAATGTTTGCCCCCGTTCTTTCACTTCACGGTTGATGAGTCAAAGACTGAGACACAACATGGAGGTTTCTTGCGGCAAAGATACCTGACGTGTCGAGCGGTGATATATCGCCCTTTCCTGAATCAGGTCCTGTCACAGACTTCTCATGGGGAGCTTGTTGGCTCAAACGTGCTTGACAAGAGTGAGATTTGTCTGAGGATGTGCCTGTTGCACATACTCAATCTTCGGGCTTATAGTCAGACCGTGTTGGTCGACACATGGATCTGCTCTCTCTCCATGGCTAGCACAATGCTTTTGTTGCTTGCGGCGAGTAGGATTCCTGACTTGAAAGCACGCCTTACCGATGATGTTCTGTCGGTCGGAAACCACCTCTGTGAGCTCATTGAGCCTTGGATGAGCGTGCATGGTGATCAGAAGTCGCCAAGCGTCAGACAGAGTCTCTGGATGATTAGCGAGATCGATGGACTACTACACCGAGTGTTAGAGAAGGGCGAGTGATGTTGCAGCCCACCGCTTCTGGCTGTCAGTATGCCTTTGCTCAATCATGTCAGAACTATTGTACCAGGCATTCACCCGACACAGGCTGAATGACCCCAGACAACCATGCCCAGGCCACCGATTGTGGAGTCTCCGCATCGCATTCGCTGTGGCGTCCAGACCAAGACCACGCTCATAGGACCGCTCATCTCTTGCGACTTGGCAGCAAGCTGTGCGACCCAGCCGTAGAATACTCACCACCAATCGATTTTTGAGAACATTTGCCTGCCGCTTGCGAGGCCCGAGTAGTTCTACCCTGGAAACGATCGTCCTTCCGTCTTGGCTCTGCATGGCAGCAGGCATTAGAATATTCTCAAAGCCGAATCTGCAGACTTTCTGTCTCGATTGCCTTACACATCCCTCGCCATCGGGACAGTCTTTTGTTGTCATGAAACTCACCTCACAGGCCCAAGGAGCGGATCCCGTCCTCACTCGTGCTGTTGCAGAGGACAAGGCTCGATGGTGGCAAAAACCCAACTTGCGATATCTGTACCTGTTTCTCTTTCCGACATGTATGGGCATCGAAATCACCAGTGGCTTCGACAGCCAAATCATCAATGCAGTTCAGATAGTGAAGCCATGGCAGGAATATTTCAACCACCCCAAAGGAGCTCTCCAGGGCATTATCGCTGCGATGTATAGCCTTGGGGCCATCTGCTCGCTGCCCTTGATTCCCGCGATCACTCAAAGGTTCGGACGACGATGGTCGATTTTCCTGGGCAGTTGGGTTATGGTAGCTGGGTCAATCCTGCAATGCGCATCGGTGCATGTGGGAATGTATCTCGCCGCACGTTGGCTTCTTGGCTTTGGCATTCCTATGTGAGACCAACGCCTTCACGACAGGTAACGGGTCTAAGCCGTACACTGACCGTGCGGTCCTCGTCTTCTACAGTTGTATCATCAATGGAGCAGCTATGCTCGGCGAGCTCGGCTACCCAAAAGAGCGACCGATCTTGACATCATTATTCAACTCCTCCTACTTTATTGGCGCCATCCTCGCTGCCGGGTGAGATCTGAGCCCGTTCAGAGCATCGGGCTATCACTGATCATGTTGCCAGTATCACATTCGGTACGCAATCTCTTGCGCCATCTGACTGGTCGTGGCGATGCCCTTCCCTCCTTCAAGCAATGCCATCATTGGTACAAGTTTCTCTAATATTGTGAGACGTACTGTCTTCAAACCAAGAGAATTAAATCTAATACCAGCCTAGCTTTGTCCCGGAGTCACCGCGTTGGCTCATCAGCCAGGATCGTCGAGATGAAGCGTACGAAATCTTGGTGAGATACCATGCTGAAGGCGATCGCAGCTCGAGTCTCGTAGCCGCAGAAATGGCACAAATTGAAAACACGATCAAGATGGAACTTGACAGCTCCAAACAAACGTGGATGGATCTGCTTCGAACTGCTGGAATGCGAAAACGTTTGCTCATCGGATCTCTTCTGGGCCTCTTTACCCAATGGTCGGGCAACACGCTCATCAGCTACTATCTGAACGACATTCTCGAATCTATTGGCATCACAGACTCGAGCTTCAAGGCAAAGTTGAATATTGGACTCAATTGCTGGGCTCTGGTGAATGCTTCTTGTGCGGCTCTGGTCGTGCGCAGATTCCCTCGCCGCAAGATGTACTTGACCTGCGCGTCTTCTTTGCTGGTTGTCTATTGTGGTTGGACTATCGCTCAAGAACGTTACTTGTCGACAGGTGTGCTCGCCGCTGTAAGTATCGACCAATTCCCAAACACTCAAAGTTCTCTCGATCCAATGCTGACTTGCTGCCTTTCTCCTCAGGGCCACGCCGTCATCTTCTTCATGTTCCTGTACTCGCCATGCTACAACATCGGCTACAACGCCTTGACATATAGTGAGCTGCTTTCGGTTACATTTGACAGCACTTCAGCTGACATCGAAATTAGCATTCCTGGTCGAACTTTTCCCATTCGCAGTCCGTACCCGAGGTATGGCTGTGTTCCAGTTCTTCGGGCGTGGCGCTGGCTTCTTCAGCACATTTGTCAATCCAATCGGTCTTCAAAACGCCAAGTGGAAGTACCTGATCATGTACTGCGTTTGGCTTGGGTTCGAGATCATATGCATCTACTTCCTCTGGCCAGAGACTTACGGACGCACGTTGGAGGAGTTGGCATTCTGTAAGTCTGTTCCACCTGGTAAAAGACTGTGCTGACTGGTATTGTAGTATTTGAAGACGATGCCTTGAAGGAGCATCAGGAGAAGGTCACAAAACAGGAACTTGACAAAACTGACGCTACCACGACAACGATCGAAATTGTTGAGGACAAGGCTTGAAATTATCCTAAGCTGGCTGCGTGTACTCCAGTGCTCGCTCGTCGATCAGGTTTTGTTTGGGTTTGTCAGTCTGAACGCCATTCGCTTATGGCTTGAACCAGAAGTTCTCAATACTCGCATAACCATCTCACTTTTCTTCGCTTCGAGTCACAGTTCTCCTCTTTCGGATCTTGACATGCGTCGAACATGTCTGCGGGCGAATCCTTAAATGCCAGTCCGATCACCCAGTGCACCAGGTCTGACGAAGAGGTCACATTATGTATGGGTCTAGGTCCGCGATTGATCACAATGTGATTGCCGCCTCTGTATTATGTGGTGTTCCGGCAGCGGCGGTAGTGCGATTGCTGAAGCTTGCTTTGCCTGTGACGAAGAATCCGAGGGAAAATTTGTCGCAATTATGCCACACATATTCCACCGCAGCCTTCCGATTCGCGTCAACTGCATCTTCCTCAGGAGGAGGTGTGGGCTTGTTTCGAAAATCCGCCTAGGCCAAGGCATCCATTTAAGGAAACAATTGTGTCGAGAAAATCGACAGTCGTTGAAACGCGCACTGGTTTCACAGCCGAGCAGTACTGTCCTTCCGCCCAAAACCTGGATTCACTTGTTTGCAAACCCACTTGCAGCTGGATTGTGCCGTTATTAGATGTGTCTACGACTACAGCTCATCATGTTGCAGCAAACCATCTCTTTCTTCACCTACGACATCTGCTCCAGATCTAGAGACTCGAGCCGACTTGGGTAGCGTCTCTCGCAGCCATGCTTCCGTGGTGTCGGCAGAAAGCTTCTGTGAATAATGCTGGTGTAGGCAGTGGCCCGTATTGGGCGGTACGAAGTAATCGAAGCGGGCAGCATGAGGGAATGCCTTTTTGCCTGTGCGAGCGAGTATCGAATTGTCGTTTTGCATGTAGGACCAGGAACCTCCTAAACCGTTCTTATCGCCACTACCGCAGTCGACATGGCCAGCGCGATAACTAGTAGCGCAGAAGAAATCGTCGTGTTGGCCAGTCACCAGAAGTACTTTGCCTCTGAACGAGGCAGCCGGAACGCCATTTAGCAATGAAGAGGTCAGTAATTCCCCAAATGCCACTGTGCCAACCTGCGTCCACATCTGCTTCGTGATAGCGGTGTCGTAGTGTGCCCCTTCGAAATCCGTCCCAGCACCCCAGAAGTTCATTTGTGTCATGCCTTTCTCACTGCTTGGCTGTAGGTATCCCCAGCCAAGCTTGGTGAATCGTTTTCTGGCATCCGCTAGACGAGCCGGCCAGAACTGTAAGCGGAGCGCAGTGGTTATGGCGGCTTTGTGAACGAATGCAGTCCATCCGTTTAAGACAAGCCTTTCAACTGCTCTTGGGTACTTCGTAGCAAGCCCTTGGCCGAGGATCGAGCCCCAAGAATGTCCGTACCAAATAACCTCTTTTGGGACTTTCCCCAAAGCTCCAGCTCGAATTTTTTCAATGAGAGAATTCATCGCCTCAATTTGAGCGGGAAGATGGACCACGAGGAACGGATTTGGTTTATCCGAGCGACCATTCCCCAGCCGGTCAACAGCAAGCGTGTCGTATCCTTTCGATAGGGCATAATCCACATAGCTGTAGTTCTTGCCGCCAAATGCTTCTATGCCTAGACTTGGTGAATCTAACCCTGAGAAGAAGTGTCTGCTTCCACATATTCCGTGTACCAACAATTGAAGCCTTCCATTATTCTCCGGATCTCGCACAGTGCTGGCGCAATGCGTGGCTCGTATGGTATATTTTCCTTGAGCTGGCAAATTAAAGAGAAACCCCAGCCATAAATGGAGGTAGTTTGATAGCGACGGAAGATCAAATCTCTCTGGCAGTGCTGGGACGTTTGCCCCGACAGTCACAAGCACCTCGACTTCCTTGCAATGCTGTTCGGCTGCAAATGCTGTGCTGGCAGTGCAGGCGAGGAGAGCAGAACATGCCGCAGCGAGTCTCATGTTTGTGGTATATCCAGGCTCCAGTGCTCGGATTGTACGGCGTAGGAGAGCTGTGGATCAGCGGGCAGTTTGGGCATCCAAGATATCAGGAACAGTGTCTTGTTCTTTACGTGTGTTCTCATTACAGGCGCTTCTCATGCTCCAGGGATACTGGGTTTTGCGTTTTACCGTAGAATGCCAAGAATAGAATAGCGGCTCTGTAGCACGGAACCTTATAGTTTGCTAGGGAATATGCTCGGGTAAATGCTCAAATAGTACACATTGGCATAGTAATTACTCGGATAGGACACATTAGCATAGTAAGTAAATATTAGTATAGTAATTACTTAGATAGGAAATATTAGTATAGTAATTACTTAGATAAAGAATTCTAGTACCTTTTACTATATCTATAGGTTTTCTAAATGCTATATCCGTAGGATACGTAGATAGGTATAAAAATTAGTAGAAATTAGACTTATTTATAAGTTTGTTTTTAGTTCCCTTTTTTTATATATATTTTAGTAGCGATACTACTAGCGATATAGCTAGCGATACGACTAGTAGCGGTATAACTAGTTACGATACGACTAGTAGTAATACGATTAGTAGCGATACGACCGATACGACTAGTAGCGATACTATCCTTTACTTTACTACTCTTCGTATATCTAAGCTACAAGCGAAATATAAGTAGGCGAGATAGGAAGAATCCTATTAGACTTATCTAAGTAATTCCTATACTAATGTTTACTATCTAAGTAATAGGAATCCTATATAAGTAATTACTATACTAATATATCCTATATAAGTAATTACTATACTAATATATCCTATTTAAGTATTTACCTAGAATATACTCCTCTTCTACTTTCGTAGACCTTAAAGTATATCCTTATACTACTAAATAGCGATTATTATTAGCCTAATACCCGAGTTAGCGTATATAGTCGCAATCTACGTTACTAGCGACCTCGTACGGTAGTACTTTAAGATACCTAATCGTAGTAGAGCGACGACTTCGTAGACTTTATAGACTCTAGGAATATATAAACTAGTCGATAAGGACCTACCGGACTATAAGAATACTACTAAGTAGCGCGAGTCGCCTATAAAAGGTCGAAAGAAGAATAATATAAAGTCGAAGATAGCGGCGGCGCTAAAGAAAACTTTAAGTTTAGTAAGACTTGTATACTAAATAACGGGTAGATATAGAAGGAGTTTACTAAATAGAATAAAAGCGCCTCGACGGCAGTTAGTAATAATAATAGAGAGGTCGTAGATTTGATAGCTATAGTAGACGCTTCGCTATCGAAGCCTAGCCCTATATTTAATAAGTTAGCGCCGCCGCGAGTAATTAATAGGGTAGAAATTAATAAAGAAAATATCGAGATAGCTTCTTACGATACTTATAACACTTTATAGTATTAAGTATAAACAAGCGTAGCGCCTACTTACTAGTAAGTAAGAGGTCGCTATAAAGAACTACGAGCGTGCTAGCTATTCTACTTAATATTACTACGAAGCCTTCTATTAGATAGTCTCTTAGATATAGAAGAAGAAAGAAGTAGCTCCCTATAGGCGGCTACTTTATAATAGCTTCTATATAGGTAATTAGTAAGAGTAACTAGTTTAGGTAGTTTAAAGTTAATAACTATAAAAGAAGAAGGTGGGGTTGCTCTGGCTATATCTATCGCTCCTATCTTATATAAATACTAATCTCTCGAAGGGGACGATTATCGTATAGTACTCGCTACTATACTTAAGTCTAAGCGTAATAGAAAGGACGAGATTAAAGTAGATCTCGAGTTTAAGACAGCGGTAAAGGATACTAGACCTACGGCTATCAAATTCCACAAGTTAAAGCCAAATAACCAGTAGACTATCGACAGAATTACCCACACCACCAAATAAAGATAGGTTAGTATATCGCTAAGATTAAAGCTAACAATTAGTATAGCAACGAATCTTATAAGAACTATAACTAGTACTACTATAGTAGATACTACTAGACGATCTACCTAATATTAAAGATAACTATCTCTAGATTAGCAGTAATAATACTAGGCTCTAGTCTATAGCCCTTACTACTAACAAACCTAGCGTTATAATAAAGAAGCCGCCTAAGAATATTACTACTAAAACAGCTTAATTTACTAATAATGTAAGAGATAAGATAAAGTAGAGAAGGGCAAAGAAGACTCTATATTCTTAGGTACTATATATACTATATAACTATAGTAAGTCTACGCCTATAACTTATATTAATTATAAGGGAGTATTTAAGGCCGCTTTCTAAGCTATTAATAGTATTCTTTAGCCTAGCAGCTCTCGTACTATTCCGGCTTAGTAATAATCTTAATTAGAGCTATAATAAGTATAGTATAACTCGCCTATTCTACTACGAGTTGCTAAGCAAATTAGTACGCCTATCTTAAGCCTTATAAGATAGTTCTTTTAATAGGCTATTAGAGGTTATACGTAATTGGCATGTAACTAGACTAAGTAAAGCTAGGGTCCTAATGCCTTAGGCAGGGCTTAGCGCTTAGCGTTAGGCTAACTAGCCTGCCTTCCTCCCTCTCCTCTTAGACCTCTATCGAATACTATACTAATTCACTACTACCCTATCTACCTGCTAACATAACCCTTCTTATACAGTATTCGATTACCCTTTAAGGGTAGCAGCTAGATAGTCCTTATTTTAAGCTTTTAGCGGTATAGCTACGAAAACTATCGATTTAACTATATTGCGCCTAAAGAGCGGGACCTATACGTACTATTCTATTAGAATAACCGTACCAATTATCAAGTAAGGCCTTCTATACGGCCTATTATACTAAGTTAATTGCACTAGACCGATACTCGCTAATTCCGCTATATCTATACTATAGGGGCCTATAATATATTATTAGTGTTACCCCTTATTATAATAGCCGGCTTATTACGAAGCAACAACAATAACCGCGGCGCCGCTAGCAGCGCTAGCAATAACAACGCTAGTAGCATAGTTCCTACTAAAGTGCCTACTAAAGAGCCTACCGGAGGGCCTACTAAAGAACCTATAGTCGAAGGGGATAACCTATCGTTGCCCGTTAACGACATTCTTAATAACATTATTAACCGTCGATATAACTAACTAGCCTTCGGCCCCTAGCTAGTAGCGAGACTTTAAGAAGCTACTTAGAATAGGCTTACTGCCTTACGTTAAGAACAATAGCTAGAGGATAATCTCCTCGAGATTCGCCGCCTATAGGAGTCCCTAATAACTAATGCTAAACTAGTAGTAGTGCCTTCCTTACTACCCGTCTAAAAGAAGGATGCTAAGCTTAAGGACTGCACCGTATTTAACGGCTCTAGTCGCAAGCAGTATAATAATCATATACGTAATTGTAAGCTTAACTAGCGTAATATACTAAGGGCTCTCCTAAACGACTACTTATTAGTCGTCTATGCTATACAATATATTAATAGCGACCCGAAGCGTACCTAGGATAACCATTTTAACTCCCTTAATAACTAAACTACTATTTAGTAGCAAACCTATAAGACAATTATACTAGACACCCTCGGAAACCCGATACTAAGACAATAGTATACTTAGGACTAGTACCTTCGAGCTAAGCAAAAGACTAATTAAACGGCTCGCTTATTCGAGGCCTACTTAAAGACCCTTAAAGATAATCTTCCGGCTAAGACCGATTCTATATAGATCTCGGAAATACGCCCTAAATTAAGATAGGAATTAGTCCTTAAATTGGACCGCCGCCGTATGTTCGAACAGGCTAATCTAATACGCATTTAATTTATAGTCGAAGTAGAAACAGCTAAACGAGCTGTTTAGCTTTAGCAACGGCTAGAGTCGAGGATCCGACTAACTAGTACTAACTATAGCAACCGTAGTGCCCGCGGAGGAAACTAAGGTTCCTACTAAAACAATAATGCTAATAATAATAGGAATAGTAACAATAACTATAGAAGAGGCTATAGCCGGCGGCTATATAGAGGAGGCCGTAATAGGGGCTATAGAAGGGGCTCGTATCCCTATAGTACTAACCGCTCTACTAACAATAATAGCTATAGCAACCTCCTAACCGGATTGAAATGCTTCAACTATAATAGTACTAGCTATCTACTAGGCTAATGCGATAAACCTAGGGATTAGGCCCGAGTCGACCGTACTACTACTAAGTACCGAAAAAACCTTTTAGCCGCTAATGCTATCCCTATCGGTCCTTCTAATTAGTCGAAAAAAGAATAAGCGCCGTACTAACCGTTAGCCTCGTATAGCGTAAAACTATCGACATTATGCTAGCTATTATACGTACCTGTCTTATATAGGACACGTATAGAACTAACTATAAGACTAAGGTTACGCTAGATCTAGGAAATTCGGTTAGTGCCCTTATTAGCTATCGCCTAGCTAAGCAATTAGACCTTCGACAATTGCCTAGGACTAACCTACTAACCCTTGCTTAGTTTAATAACGCTCGGCACTTAACTTATAGGGCCTACTATGTTCCTATAGTTCTAAAAGACGACCTCGGCAATAAGCGCCTACTAGACTTTACTGCCTACGTAGTAGATATAGACAACCTATATAGGGGAGCTACTATTGTTATTAGTAACCCTATTCTTAAGCACTATGCTATAACTATAGACTTAGGCCTTTAATAGTAGCGATTTAGAATCGCTAGGAAAGAGGACATTAAGTATATCGACGTTAGCGAGTGCCCTAACGATATTAGGGTCCTATTTATCGGCAACCTAATACCTGCCGTAGCTAACCTAATAGTCGACCTATTAGGTAATAATAATAAGCCTATGCCCCCTAATAGTATAGACCCTAATTAGCTTACTCGTATACTATAGCCTATTCGAGAGACCTGTATTAATATGTTTAAATACTACCTAGCATCGATACTGCCTATATTTAAAGAGACGGACTATAAGATCGATATTATATAGGGTAAGGAGGTTCCTTTTAGGCTACTCTATAACCTTAGTAAACGAGAGCTTACTATATTACGTAAATACCTAGATAAGAACCTAGCTAATAGTCGAATTCGATATAGTAACAGCCCTACTAGTGCGCCTATCCTGTTTGTCCTAAAGAAGGATAGTAGCCTACGCCTATATATCGATTATCGTAGGCTTAATACTGTTACTATTAAGGACCGCTGTCTACTTCTACTTATTAACGAGACCCTCGATCGCCTTTCTAGCGCTTACTACTACACTATATTAGACATTAAGGACGCCTATTACCGCATCTATATTCGTAAGGGCGACGAATAGAAGACGGCCTTCTATACTCGCTATAGCTATTTCGAGTACTTAGTTATACTATTCGGCTTAGCTAATGCCCCTACAATATTCTAGTCCTATATTAATCGGGCTCTTTCGGGCCTATTAGACTATCTCTATATAGTTTACCTAGATAATATCCTAGTTTATACCTATTTACCTAATATTGTAGAATACTAGGCCGTAGTACGTAAGGTCCTCGACCGCCTACGAGCCTATAGACTATATTATAAGCCTTCTAAATGCACCTTTACTACTAAGGAGGTAGCCTTCCTTAGCTTCCTCGTATTAACTAAGGGTATTAAGGCTAATCCTAATCGGATTAAGACTATTACCAAATAGCCAACACCTACTAGCATTAAAGAGCTTTAATTATTCCTAGGTTTTGCTAACTTCTACCGTCGATTTATCGAAGGTTATTCGCGGTATATAATGCTACAAACTAAGCTTACTAAAACTAAGGCTAACCTATCTAGAGAGTTTAAATAGACTAATAGAGCACAAGCCGCTTTTAACGGTTTAAAGTAACGCTTTACCAAAGTCCCCTTATTATACTATTTCGTACTAAGCAAACAGATCCGGATTAAGACTAACGCTTTATAGTTCGCTATATTAGCTATTATATTATAGCAGGCTAATAATACCTATTAGTACCCGATCGCCTTCTTTTCGCGGAAAATAATCGACACTAGGCGTCGCTACGAGACCTGCGAGTAAGAGATCTTAGCAATCGTAGAGGCCTTTAAGCATTAGCGCTATTATCTCGATAGTGCTTAGCACCCTATTTAGGTCTATATAGACTATAACAACCTGCGTAGGATTACTAAGGTCATACGAGTTATAGGTCGATAGGCTAGATAGGCTGTCTACCTCGCCAGGTTTGATTTTAATATATTGTATCGGCTAGGCGTAAGCAACCCTGCTAATAGCCTATCGAGGCGACCTAATTACGATAGCGAGACCTAATATATTAATTCTTTGTTTCTAACCCTATAGTATAAGATTGCTATAGCCCGTATTGTTAATAAGCAAGCGTAGGATAAGCGGCTTACCGGACTCTACGACAGCTTAAAGCATATTAATACTCTTGCTATATTAATAGTACGTATTAAGGATATAGATAGGAGAAGTTATAATAACTCCCTAGTCGATATCGCTATATATAGTAATAGCGATTAAAGCACTACTATAGTTAATCCGGCTACTAGTGCTATTAGATATATATAATACGTACCTCGTTTAATAGTAAGGGTGCTACTAAATAACCTTGCAAATAGGGATAGTTAATCGTTTATAGATAAGCTATTACGTACTTAGTAGAGAGACGCCTTTACTACTAAACGTATCGATAAGCTTATAAGTAGGCGAACGACTCGATCTAGTAAGAGTAACTAGTCGATCGATAATAAGGGTTACTTAAAGTTTAAGGGCAGATACTATATCCCCGCTAAACATTCGATCCGATAAGAACTTCTTTAGCGACACTATAATAGTAAGCTTGCCGGTTACTATAGTATAGAGAGGTTGTACGAGCTACTATTGCATATACACTACTAGCTAAATAGTAAGCGGGATATAAAGGATTACGTTAATACGTATACTATATACTAACGTATTAAGGTACTAAAGCATTAGCCTTTTAGCGAGTTGTCCTTATTACTAATCCCTTACAAGCTATTTGCAGAGCTTATAATAGACTTTATTATAGGTCTTCCCCCTACTAAGCGAAGAGGAAGCAAGGATATCTTTAACGCTATCCTAGTCGTCGTAGACTAGTTTACTAAGGGCGCTCGCTATATCCCCGCTCGGAAGGATTAGACAGCTATTAACCTAGCTAAGTTACTATAGAACAATATCTTCTATAGCTATTAGGGAACCCCTAAGGGGATAGTTTCCGACCGAGGCTCGATATTTATATCTTACTATTAGAGTGAGATATACCTATAGCTAAGACTTAAGTATCGGCTATCTATAGCCTTCTATCTATAGACAGATAGCTAAACCGAGAGATAGAATGCTACTTTGTAGCAGTACCTACGTAGCTATATTAATAAGAACCCTAATAACTAGGTTAACCTCCTATAACCTACTAAATTCGTATATAATAATAGTATCTACTTATTAACTAAGGTCTTACTATATATAGCTATAATAGGCTAGAACCCTGCTTTGCTATAAGAACCATTTACCTCGCTCGAGGCCGAGCGTAAGGAGAGGGAAGCGTATTAAGTATTAACCCCTAAGATACTAGCGGCTATTAAGAGGGTTTAAAGGATGCGAGAAATTCACGCTAAGATAGCTAATAAACTAGCAAAGGCCTAGGCCTATTAGAAGGCCTATTATAACAAACACTATACGCTAATAACCTTTAAGCAAGGCGATATAGTTATACTTAGTACGAAGAACCTCTATATCCGCAAACACCTATCCCCTAATAGTAAAACAAGGCCTAAGCTCGCACTAAGATACATTAGCCTATTCCGTATTCGAGAAGTTAAGGGCTCTTCCGTATAGGCCTATTAGTTATAGCTCCTACTATACTACACTATCTATAATACCTTCTATATCTCCCTCCTTAAACTATATTACTACCGCGGAGACCCTAATAAAGAAGCCCCTACTAAATATAAAGAGGTACTAGCAGATAGTAAAGAGCTATAGTCTATAGAACGTATCCTAAAGCTTGAACTAGGTAAGGTAAGAAGGAATACCTCTTAAGATAGTACGGCTATTTACCTAAATAGGACTCGTAGGAGGCTAAAGACTCCTTCGAGGATATAGCCGAGTTGTTAGATAAGTATTAGACTAGCGTAAAGGACAAGAAGAAGGCTAAAAGGTTATAATGTTACTAAGAGAGACCTAGGATTAATACTACCCCTAGGGTAATATTCGCTAACTAATTAGAGACCGGCAAAGTAGGATAATAAGACTATACCTAGCGCGCTACGACGCGTCGATTAGTTACTACTCTTTTAAGGACTCTACCTCTTATTTATTTATTCTATAAGGCCTTGAGGCCTAGGCGATCGACAAGGGCGGCGCGCGTACGCGAATAGCAATAATAATAATAGCGTCGTAGCACGAGCTAACGGTGTGTTAGAAGACGGCGCGCGCGGCTATATTAGTAACAGTATTACAGAGTATATTGCTAGTTAAAGCGTTGCTAGTTAGAGAAGGAAATAAAGGACAAGGTAAAGTTAGCGCTAAGACGGCTCGCGCCGCTATTATTAACATTACCTACTCGCCGCTATTATTAATATTACTTGCTATTATTACTACGTCGTAGATATAACCTTACCTATACTACGAGCCTAAAGCACTATACTAACTAAGTTAAAAGATTGAACCTGCTAAGGGTTTAATTAAAACTTTAAGCCGCTTAAAAGATTAAGCGACTAATAGACTAACTAAGGGCAAAACTATAGAGCTAAGCTAGCCGGGGTCGATCTTGCGGATAATAGGTTACTCCTCGATCTTTCTAACCCTTTAAGCGAGGCGAACCTTAACTATTATACTTATAATAGCCTTTACTTATAGAAACTAGACGAACTGTGTTTTTTGAAAAGATAAGATAAGATTAACAATTAAAGGCTACTAAACCTAACTAATTAGGGCTAGCGAAACTACGATAGTAAATAATAGTCCTTGTAACAATAAGAACAATCCCTCGGAGCGGACATTTCTAGGTCTTTTAGAGTAGACGTAAAGAACTCGGACAACCTTACTTAGAACGGGGGTAGTGCTATAATACCCCGTATACCTACCTATTATAGTAGGGAAGGTACGCTCGTATTGTAATTAGTTACTAGCCTTTAATTCGTATAGCTATATAACCCCGTATTATTAGTATAGTAGCAGTAATAGCGTAGTTAGAAGTTAGACATTGTCGGAGGTAAGGTTTAATATAGTTATATAATTAGGTAGTTAAGCGTTTAATTTAGCGCGGCTAAATAGCTTAGTTAATCTGCTAAGTTAGCAGTAACGGAGATTAGGTTAGAATATAGACAGGCTACGAGGGCGCGGCCTTTAGAAGGGAAGCGTATATTAGAGGTTATACGTAATTAGCATGTAACTAGACTAAGTGAAGCTAGGGTCCTAATGCCTTAGGCAGGGCTTGGCGCTTGGCGTTAGGCTAACTAGCCTACCTTCCTCCCTCTCCTCTTAGACCTCTATCGAATACTATACTAATTTACTACCACCCTATCTACCTGCTAATATAACCCTTCTTATATAGGCAGGTAAGTAATATAAATATTCTAATTTAGAAAAAGGGGACAACTTCTTAAAAATAGAGTTATACTTCCTTACTAAGAAATAGGACTATAATCGTATAGTACGAGTTAATAAGAAGTTATAGAAGGATAAATTAGGCTTCTTTAAAGGCTATTATAGTCGCCTACTTAGGTACTTAAAGCGCTTTTAGAAGGAGAAGTTAGTTAAGAAGGCAGAGTAAAGTCGGAAGTAATAGTAATAATAACGATATTTGTAATAGAGTAACGGCTATTCTTATTAGTTTAGATTTGTTAGACGATCGCTAAGAATAAACGAATCTACTAGCTTATTAGCTGCTCCGCTATATATATCTATATTATTACTATTACTACGAAGCGCCTCTCTAGCTATATCTTGCGAAGCTCTTAGAGCTCTTAGCGGAGGAAATATATAAAGCCTAGTAATACCTACTAATACCTTATATATTTTGCTATACGCGTAGTACTATAGTAATATATATAAAATTAATAGTAGAGCTTCGTATATATATAATCTCGAGATCCTATATATAATATTATATATTTGTTATATAGTTATAGCTAAATATAAAGCGAGTCGAAGTTTCAAAGTAATTAATCCTTAGCTTCTTCCTCTCCGCTATTAGTATTATATCTAGTATACCTAGACAGCCCTCGTACGTCTATTCCTACTAGGTATTCTAGCGCCTATATAAGGAAGTCTATAAAGCAGTTAAAGTTATTAATTAAGTCCTTATTCTTCTTTATCTATATCTTTAGTATATTAAAGGTTTGCTTAGTTAGGTTAAGATCTAGTAGGTAAGGAGGCAGATATTCGAGCGTATATCTAGCGCGAGTAATTATCTCTTCTATATTAACGCTATAGTCAATTAAGGCATTATCTGTTATAAAGATTATTTCCTTTCTAGTAGGAAGTAGTAGCACTTTATTCTCGAGCTAGTCGTTAAAGGTAACTTAATCTATAGAGCCTTAGATATAAAGAGTATAGAGTAGATACCTATTAATCGTTAGCGCCGGTAAGACTAAAGTACGTTCTTCTTATTATACGTATTAATAATCTATACAATCTACGCCTTATAAGTTATAGAGACTAACTATACTTATAGCAAGCCGTCTTCTAGTTTGTCGCTATCTTATCGAAAATACTAACTTCCGAATAGCCTACCTCTTATAATTCTTACTCTAAACGGCTTTTACTAATAGATTACGCTCCTTTACTATCTTCTGCGATACTTTCCGAATCTACTTTATTATATCGACTAGGTAGCGGTATATATTCGAGGAATATAGCTAGATATTAGACTCGTTAGATAGCGCGAGATATATCTCTTCGAGGTATACCTCTAGTCGATAGGAGAGATATTCTTTAAGCTAGTCTTGCATTTCTTTAGTAAGTACGCGCTTATAATCTAGCGGTAGGCGTAGTAGATAGTAGGCCTACTAGAGGAGATTATAGTTAGTATACTATTTATATAGTATCGACCTCGTAATACTAATTACTAGTATTATATCGCTAGTCGATCTTCTATCTCTAGGTAATAACTCTGCCTTCTTTACGGTCTTCTTAGGTATCTTCGTACTAGCGCTAGTATATACCTTAAACTTTTTACTAGGCGGCGCCTCCTTCTTATAATCTATAGGCGAATATAGTAGTTAAAATAATACCCTAACGGTCGCTATACTATTAAAATAAGGCTATATAGTCTATTAAGAGATAGGTTTAAAATACGGTATACGGCTCTATAAGAGGCTTAGTATTCTTTAGTAAAATATAAAACCTAGTAATATCTCTATATTACGTAATTCCGAATCCTAACCTACTTATATAGATATAGAACTATACTAAAGCGACTATTACTAATATATAGGTAGCTCTAAAATGTTTCTTCCTATAGATTCTAGATATAACGTAGACGGCGGCGGTCGTTTTCGAGCTTAAGGCGGATAGTAGTATACCTACTATGGATATAGCCGCGTTAGTAGCCCTATCGGCATTCTATTATAGTATAGTATTAAAAAGTCAGCGCTATATAGAATAGTAGACCTAGCAAACCTTGGCGTCCTAAGTAGTCCATATTACTGTCGCAGTAGAACATATACCTAAAGGACCCACTCTTCGATAATAGGCTTCTGCTAGGAACGTCAAATACAACGAAAGATGCTTCCTAGGAATGTGAAGTCTGCCGCACTCGTTCTCTCATACACCTGTGGCAGTCACATCTACTGGGCTCATCACTCCAATGGCCTCGATTACAGTTGGGGGTCATTGCTGCAGTACCGGTGGATGAAGCATTAACACCTACACTGTCGAAACGACAATCAACAGCATGGCAGGACGATTGCGGCAGCCCATCACCTTCCAAATATCGAGCCTTCAGTTTGCCATACTTTCAATCTCGACTGACGTTCAGCCGCGTCAAGAATGTTGCTGTCCAGTGGTAAGTACTGACAGCCGATCAGGGTACGAACGTCGTTTGGTCAGATACCACCACCACACCCCCAATCGATGTGTTAATCGCTTGAACGCGAGATTCGAGAGCTCTCAACCTTTACGGGTCACTCAGTAATCGCTCTGTGATTGTTGCTGCTGCCGTAATCCAGGGCTAACCATTAGCTTGAGGAAATTGAGGATGTCAAAAACCAGTGTATTGTATTCGATCTCCAATCCGTTGACTTCTGTTTTGTGTCATATCTGTTCTCTTTCCCAGCTTCATCCTCGCTGGCCAGTGGTACCTTTCACTTCCCCAGTCTTGTTGTGTGAGCCAGCTCCTGGCGCTAATGAAAGATCGTGACTCGAGATGTCTCCGTGCTCCTCCGCGACCTTTCCATTTCCTTCAGGGTTGTAATGCGACTCTTGCCTGTGATTCTGGTGTGCCTCGCCTTCTGCCGCAAAGCTCCTGAGATCCTTATAGCTGACTTGGCTTAGGGCTGCTTCGTGCGTTGCGGACAGGTTGACTTTGGGAACCGCTTCCTTGCTCAATTGCCCCTCTTGTGCCGCTTTCATTGCCTCTTGCCATCTTGATGCACAAAGACACCACTTTTGTCCTGGCATTACACCTACGTCTTTGAGATTGTTGCCCTTGGATGCCTGTAGAGAAGAGGTTAATACCTCTGTACACCATATCATATCGCGTCTGAGCTCACGGTGAAGTCGAGAAATTCTGAGGTCATTGTTGCTGCAATGCTGTGATTGCCAGAGTCTTCGGGCCCAGTTCTGCAGAATCCATCTCGGAAGAAGCCAGTAGGAGGGTCCTTAGAGAAAATGGCTAGACGGCCGCCAACAACTATGCAATGGTAAGCTTTGATCAGTAATGGCTTTTAGGAGATGGCATACCGTTGTTGTTCTCCATCATCGGCCTGGTCGATGTTTGTGGCTTGTGTGCCATTATTACGGTCTAACTCTCAGTAATCCTAGTGAACGCCTTAGATGTAGTTGGAGCATAAATGAATTGGCTGCTTGATGAATTTGATGATGTGAGAATACGATTGAAGATTGATCGATGAAGCTTCTGAGGTCTTGCACACCTGCAGGAACAGACATCAAAGCATCATGAACCGCCAAATCCTATGACTGACATCATCATTACAGTAATCGTAGAGGTTCGGTTGAGATCTGAGCTAATGCAGGAACATTGCCTGATTGGGAAGCATCATTGACGAAAAGTGCTAGTCAGCGATCATGTTCAGCTTATTATAAAAGAAACGTTAGAGACAGCAGGAGCTTGTAAGCAGTCGTTTCCTACGTTCGCTCGCCCTCGGATCGATACATCGGCGCTCGAAGATGTATCCAAGTAAGAGATTAGACCAGAGCACAAGGCGAACTTTCAGCATCATATGACCTGTGCGATCAAAGACGGCCATGGCCAGCACGAGTTGAGATGGTGATGTGATTCTGACTCAGCTTTCGCGTGACTTCAGGCCACTCGACTCCATGCTCAGACATTGATGAGTGTGTATCGTATCCAGAGAATACATGACTGCAAAGTGCTGTCATGCTAGCCACGCAAGTAGATGTCAACTGGAGAGTGTGGTTTATGGTAGACGATAGGCAATTCTCATTGCTGGTGCTCCTCAGCAACTTCATGGCTGCTCCTTTCTTCGACTTCTCTTTGGGCACGCTCTTCTTTCTGCCTTCGTTTGACCTTTCCAGGCTTCTTGGCACTGACTGGTCCATCCGCGTGCTTGTTCTTCCACATTCCGCCATATCTGTAGTGCGGGTACTGTCCTTCAAGCCCTTTAGCATCCTCGACGCCGCCTGACACACTTCGCCAGCAGCTTCCAGGACAGACCATGTTCCACTTTTGCGACTCGTCGATGATGCAGCGCACGAGAAGTCCACGCGGGGTGCCGCATATTGTGCACGGCTTGTTGTGGTTCTCCGACTCCGATGGAGCCATGTTTGCTTCGAAGCAGCGTTATTCGAGGTGATGCGAGCTGACTTTTGTTGTCCAGAAGTGGACGCGGAAATGATGTGTCGCTGAGCATGGTGAGATCGCTTCGAAGATTGTGGCTTGGGGGAAGAGAAATGGCTTGGTGACGTCCACGGAGCCCTAGCACGGACTCCAGACCGCCAAGGCCTCCACGATACGTGTTTCACGCATCGCGGCATTCATCTGTTCCAGCACAGCATTGCCACCGTCTCTTGAAGGGCAGACTCGCTGGGAACTATCCGGACGAAGTGTGCACAACTCCCAATGGTGATTTCCCTTTGCCATCCGGTAAGACTAGCAGACTTCTCGATGTTTAAGGCTGACGCTCATATCACACAGAATAACAAGAGTACGAAGAACAACCCTTGCGCCTACAACGTACACGCAAACAACAAAGTTATTGCCAAGTGTACTTGAAGAGGCGTTTTGACTGGGAGGATGAGCTTCCAGCGCAATCGAAACAGGAATCTCTCATCGCTCAATCTGGATGGTTACAGCACTCGGACGAAGGAGCCTCCGGACACATGGCAGGTACTCTAAAGCGCCACATAAACCACGAAGGGAGCCAACCTGCGTCCTTAGTCAACCCGGAAGTGGTCGTGCTCGACTGTCTCTAGGGAAATGCCGTCCGGGAGCTGAGCGGTTGGACGTAGCCACTGCGAAGTAAGCTTGATTCGCTTTCTTCGCTACCAAGATCTAAGCGATCGTGGTATGATCCGTCCGATTCGTAACCAAGATCCAGGCAGGATGGAGACGACTTTCCGTTTATTCGCCAAGTGTCGCCGTACGCGCTCAGGGTATGCATATTATGCACCAGAATCTGCCACCAGAGTCAATGTGATGGAGTTTCCTCTGAAAAGTCTCAGATCTTGGCCTCATGGCCACATGTATGTCTCCCACCAAAATTGACCTTTCCTGTGATGCATAAGCGCGATCGGGTTCTCAGCTGATGAAGTGGCCCAGATATTCGCCAAGACCGCTGCTCGTCTTGCCAGATTGGGACGAAACTGCTCAAGTGAACCATGGTTCTAGCAGTTCATGCGGACCCGGGGAACGATAGCTGTGGCTTAGAATGCCACAACTGCAATGCTCATTGATTCCCATCTGGAATCTCATGCAGTCTCTACTGCAAACGCTTTGTGCTCGAGCGCTTCGAGACCAGTTCACAGTAGGCTGCACGTGCCTGATGGTGAGGGCTTATACTGCGATCGCTGGTCGGGCACAAACAGCAGGGCAGACACAGCGCTTATTCTTCGTGCTGCCAAGTCTATGAGTGGGCCCAGGTTAATCATATATCAAGCCTGGTGGTGGCGAAGAAGGGCCGTGTCAGTCTGAGCTACCACCATCATTGTCACACCATGGTCCGCGCTCCACAGCACACAATCCCATCATAGTATTCCATCGCAGCCCTCACGTGGTCTTCTGGGAGCCCTGGCTCTGGAATCGGGCCCGTAGCTCAGAGGAAGACTGAAAGTCTCGGCTTCAGTGCCGTCATTCTCGGACGGAGCAAGCAATGCCCGGGGCGTATCCACCGTGTCCAGGCCCGCCTCCAAATCGACCTTTGCCGCCTATACCGTCCAAGTAGAGCCGTCGGACAGGTATACATAAGGGCCACGGAGTGCTCGACCGTTCGCTCAGGCTATCCTTTTCCACGCGAAGCAGAGCAATATCTTGAGATCAAACCTTAGTGCTTTATCAGAAGTACGACGATCCCGGGACATCCTTCCCGCACCTGGCCGCCAACAGACACCAACCATGTCCTCCCACTCAGAGTGCTGTGAATTCGACATGTCCTCGGAGGGAGTTCCGGTGCCTGATGAGTTGTTGTCGTCAGCTAAGCTCTCCCGCTCACGACACTCTTCTTACGATCCGGGATTCTGCGACGGATATGCTGGCACACCTCAGCACAGCATCCATTCTCCTCACCAACAAGAGGATGCGACCTTCTCAAACACTCCTCGCTCACCATTCCTCCGCCTCCCGGCAGACATCCGAAACATCATCTACAACTTCGCCTTTTTCGAATCCTCAGGGATCCATGTAGACTTTAATGCAGATTCTCCGTACCCGCGGCGCACCTCAATCATCTCTAACCCGGACACAACGAGCAGCATCTTCTCCCTATCCATAACGTGCAAGGAGATCTACGATGAAAGTTGCAATCTCCCTTTCTGGCTCAACACTACCAACCTCCACGTACCAATTCTGCAAGACCTGTGGACTCTGCGAAATGCCACATTCTACGCTCAGCCTAACTCAGGAAGCCCATCAAGTACCGCCTGGCCAATGTTGCCGCCAAGTCCAGCCTCGAGAAGACGAGTAATCGCGCTGCCACCCGCTAGCTTAACAGTGAAGTCGCCTCTTCTCCGACAGAAAGCTCAGGAATATGTGACGCTGGCAATGAGATTGCCGCACTTGGATGATATCGTATCCAGACTAAATTACACGATTTGTGAGCCAACCAGAATCGGAAGACTGAACAGAGTCCACATCCACCTTGGAAGTCAGACCAATAATGTTTTTATCGAGAGGTTCTTCACGGCCTGGTCGGCGGTTCTACCGAGCTTATTTGCTCTAGAGGCCGCCGTGAGGGACTTGCGGGTGTCATTTGCATTGAGGGTCTCGAGGAGAATGGTGGTCGACTATGAATTTAGTGTCAGCAACGGAGGCGTCAAATGTCTCGAGGAGATTGACCGATGTGTTGTCGTTCCTTACGCTGGAGAACTTACAATTCCTGAACTGGGCACGATCAACAGCATTCGAAGCAGGATCTGGAAAGGCTTTTTCGGCGAGGATGAGAAGCCACCGACGAGCTTCAAGGTTCGTCGAAAAACGTGTCTGCCAGCGCCGAGTTGTGTGACAAACGCCAGCGACTTGAATGAGGCGACTTTGGCTTCGATGAGTACACCTGTAGCATAGCAAAAGTTTTTGAACCCCTGTATCATTTAGCAGCACGAAATACACGGACTTACGAATGAGAAAAGTTTTGGACTGAAACATGTTACTCTCTCATTGCCGTTGCGTAAGCCAACCGGTATAATATGAGGCGACGCTCTCATGACCCGCGAGTGAACAAGCGCGATACGAGCGCTCCGCCCACATTTCGTGCTAAAGATCCCGAGTAAAGTCCTCTTTCCACCAGTCCACTCGCTTGGCTGAATTTATCGCATCGCGAAAACGCCAAAGTGTTCGTGATGGTCAACACAAGCGCAATCGCTGCTTTATGTCAGCTGTCCCTTCCGATGCATGTGTTTGATGTGCATGTGTACTCACCGACCAATGTCAACCATATAAACCTCAGCCTGACCAACGCCAGAATCGCAAGGGCGATCCATAACGCAGGCTGCACATATAATGCCATCCAAAAGAATCTCTTGTCTGTAGGCGTCACAGTCTTGCCGCCAGGCTCGTTTGGCTGCGGTGCACTTTCGAAGACCCAGTGGCTATCACCGCTCTGAGCCACCTCATTCCACCACCGTAGCCCAACAAGCCGTCGGCCAGCGATGTTCTTGAGGTAGTAGAAGTCCATCGCGAGGAGGATGATCGTTACAATGAAGATGAGGACGAAGTTCTCGGTGAATAGCATGCCGAGGAGGTAGACGAGCAGGGAGGCTATATGGGGTGTTAGCGGTATCTCCAAGTAAGATAGCTCGCTGGACATACATATGCGAAAGCCAAGGAAGGTGAGAAGTGTTAAGGGGTGCGCACTCAGTCGCCAATTGAGCTGGCCTTGTTCATGCTGTATGTCCGCCATATTGACTTGCGCTGGAAGCGCTGCTGGCCCAGGCGTAGCACAATGGTGTGGATTATGGGTTGTGTCGTTTCTGTAGGCATTCGCTTTGCTGAGCAGACGCGACGTAGCTTCGAGCTATTTGCAGGGGTTCTCGGTAGCCGGCAAAGAAACATGTGGTCCGGCTACACCGGCTAACTTGAGCATCGCATCTCAGGTCTTGTCTCTAGCTTTTCCGTGAACCTTTCGTCAACTGCATGCGGAACACATGTCGTGCTCGCTATGTCGTATCCTGGGCGCAGCTTCCCACGATGAAGCAGGCCGAGCAAATGTATGCTCGTGGCGTGGTGGAAGACGCCGCTCAGGCGCCACGGTCTCAGCTGCAGGCCGCCGCAATGCAAGTCGGACAGTGCTGCTCGTCCGCAGCCATGACGCACAAACGCTTCTGAAGGATATTTCGACCAACTCATGTCAATACTTGGTCCTAGCAGCATGCCATAGAGACGCCTAAAGCATGGCAGAGGGCACTCTAGCACTAAGCATCCCTGGCTGGTTCCTGACCGGCGTGACCTACTTCAAGCTGGTCCGGTGCGCGGGTGACTTCAAGGAAGACTTCGCTCTTCTATGGCTCAAGTTCGAAAGTGTTCAGCTACGTTTCACTCGCTGGGGCCTTGCAGCGAGAATTCCGGCAGCACCAGTTACGGAAGTCAGTACCAAGCAGTGGGCGGACGAATTCGTCACGAAGTACTCCCCGGAACAGGTCAAATGGGCCGAGTCCGTCTTGAGGCGTGTCACCAAAGCTTTCAAGCGTGTCTATGACAAAGTGGATGATGACACCGAAGAGATCGCTCTCCAGACCAAGGGACTCGCACTCGCGCTGGAAGAAGTCAATGAAGAAGAGGCCCTGGACAGAACCCCAAAGCTTGCGGCTGTGCACAGATTCTTCAAGAAGGCAAGCGAAAAGGGTCACAAATTTGTTGACTCTGGAAGGCTTCTTAAGGATCGGACGAAGTGGGCATTGCATAAGAAAGATTACCTGGTTCAGCTTGTGAACTTGATCGCGGATCTCGTTCTAGAGCTCGAAACGCAATTTCCGGACATTGCTGAAGAAGCAAAGAAATTGGCTGCAGCAGAGGTTCAGGAAGCTGCAGGCGTCTCAGAACCACGGGAAGAAGTACTAAATGGCGTTGCTCAGGTCTCAGAAGGCACTGATCCTGCGCTGACTGAAGCCATCAAAGCTGTCGTTCGGACCACAATCAGCTTTGACTTCAGTGGACTGGGGCTCTCAGAAAAGGCTGTTGGGCACTATGGCGCCAACTTCGACAGAGTTCCAGAGGGCGCAAACATTACACTCACGGCTCGTGATATCAACGCTGGCGGCGATACGAGGACTCATATTGGACACACTTTTGGGAACCAAGGTCGAGTGTTCGATACTAAGCCTGGCGCAACTGCGGAGAAGTGACATGTCGTTGAAGAATGAAATGCAATAGCTCCTCCCGAGGATATATCGTTGTCCCATTTCACCTCTTGAGTTGTTCCCATCCAGACGCCCTGCACTCTAATCTAGGAGAATCGGTTGCAAATGATGCATTGTTGCGATATTTGACCGGGCCCACCCAGCGCATAGGACCTGATGCCGCAGTAAGGACAATTTTGCTTCTGCAAATGATTATTGAAAGCCTCTGTAGCTTTGCGCTCGCTGACTTGTGCCTGATGATAGACCAGGTCCACAGCGAACTGAGGATGTGCCAGCATCGCGTCGTCGAAAATAGCAGTCGACGGGTCCGGTAGCAGTAGGCCCTTGGATTCAGCAGCAACCTTCACAACAGCCTTGCACATCTCTGTAATGATCGGCTGTGCGGTATAAGCGACTTTGATAGCTAGCACAAGGGTACTCCAATGTGGACTCAGCGAGCTGGTGAACTTCTTCGTTGCGAGCTCCCTAAGACCCCGAACATCCCACTTGTCTGCGCACACTGCCATCTGGACGTGAAATTGGACCGCCTCCTCCCGGTCACTTGGCTCCGAGTCGTCGAAGTCGTACATGTATTCGATCAAGGCTTCAATCTCGTCCGTGTCGTGGTCTTCGGACATGTCGATGGCTCGCTTTGAGGACTCCTGTGAGAGTTATACCTGTCAGTTTGCGAAGGAATCCCTGACAAGTCATATGCTCACCATGAATGGCGACACACATGCCCTTTTCAGCACCTCAGAGTGCAGTGAACGCACGAGGCGGTGCACGGGAAATTCTCGTCCATTGCAAATGATCTTGAAATCGAATAACTCAGGACAAGTGGTGAGTCTCGTCACCAGGTCCAGCTTCATAGCGTCTTCAGCCATCGGCGATATTTCTCTTCATCGCAATTGTTTTGCTGTCGTGCTGAGATACAAGGCGTGTGGGCAGAGACGAGATGCAACGATTCGTTTTGTGATGCCAAAGAAGGCTCAACTTTGCGACCGACCCGCTCCTCAGAGTAGAGATTTTCGATAAGTTTGATCACACTTGTCATGTATTCGCCAATTTCAATTGTGCGAATCATGTGAGCCTTTTCTCATCTCATTGAGAGGCACAAGTGTATCTCTCATGCTGAGATTCGCAGCAACAATGACGCCTGGCATCTGGAGGCCGTATGTTATGAGCCAGATACTCGCAAGCGCCATTCAAGACCAGCGACAGTTCAGTGCTCAAGATAATTCGCCTTCGGTGATGCTTCATGCATTCCATACTCGGTCCTGCATGGTACATGTACTTTATGTCTGCAGCTTGAGCCGCGGCGGGGCAGACATCATGAGGCTACGGGGGCGGGGTGTTTGCAGACCATGGCATCCGAATTGTCTCCCGCTAAGACAGTGGATTGAGTAAGAGAGTAACGAACTCGAGACCGCAGCCCCCAAGATGCTGTGTAATCGAGGCGGTGGTCGTAGGTCGTAATAATCGAGGACCGCGAGGAGCCCCCTGCTATCGATACCACTAGCGGCAAAATTAGAGTTTGGCAGGGGGAGGAGCGATTCTGAACTTTTTCGAGTGTCGCCTCCCCAGTCCGCCGCTCTGTTCTGCACACCGACGAGGCACGCCGCCACCGTCCCACCGCACCACCGACAAGATGAAGACGACGTGGAAGGACATCGCGCCGGTGCCGACGTCGCAGGAGTTCCTCGACATCGTGCTGTCGCGAACCCAGCGCCGGCTGCCCACACAAATTCGGGCTGGCTTCAAAATCAGCAGAATTCGAGCATTCTACATGCGGAAGGTGAAATATACCGCCGAGACCTTTTCTGAGAAGCTGAACGCCATTTTGGACGGCTTTCCGCGACTGGCGGACATTCATCCGTTCCACAAGGATCTACTCAATACCCTCTACGATGCAGACCACTTTCGAATTGCGCTTGGCCAAATGAACACCGCGAAAGGCTTGATTGAGACGGTGTCAAGAGATTACATCCGATTGCTCAAATATGGCCAGAGTCTGTTCCAATGCAAACAGCTCAAGCGCGCAGCGCTTGGTCGCATGGCTACCATTTGCAAGAGATTGAAGGATCCGCTGGTGTACCTGGAGCAAGTGAGACAGCATTTGGGCCGTCTGCCTTCGATCGATCCCAACACACGAACACTACTCATCTGTGGCTACCCAAATGTCGGAAAATCGAGCTTCTTGAAGAACATCTCCCGCGCAGATGTGGATGTGCAGCCCTACGCTTTCACGACAAAGAGCTTGTTCGTTGGTCACTTCGACTATAAGATGCTGCGGTTTCAGGCTATCGACACTCCAGGAATTCTCGATCACCCACTTGAAGAGATGAACACGATCGAGATGCAGAGTATCACAGCAATTGCACACTTGCGGAGTGCGATTTTGTACTTCATGGATCTGAGCGAGCAATGCGGATACAGTGTGCACGCACAGATGGCTCTGTTCGAGAGCATCAAGCCACTTTTCGCCAACAAGCTTGTCTTCATTGTGATCAACAAGACAGATGTGATGAAGCCAGAAGACTTGGACATGGAAACGCAAGAGAAGTTAGACAAGCTGCTGAAGAGCGCAAACGTGGAAATGCTGCAAATGTCTTGCACAACTACAGAGGGTCTCATGAATGTCAAAAACGCTGTGTGCGACAGACTGCTCGCAGAGCGGAATGCGCAGAAATTGAAGGCTGGTACGAACGCGTCAGGCGATGTCACAGGCAGACTGGGAGATGTGCTCAAGCGGATACACGTTGCTCAGCCACTTGGCGGCATCGGCTACGGCCCCGATATCCCAGAGGCGGCTCTCAGCAAGATGAAGTACGACAAGGACGACCCGAATAGACCTAAGCTCATGCGCGACATCGAAGAAGAGAACGGTGGTGCCGGTGTCTTTAACGTCAACCTCAGAGAGAAGTATCTGCTTGAAGACGACGAATGGAAAATGGACAAGATACCGGAAGTGCTCAATGGCATGAACGTATACGACTATTTCGACCCAGACATTGAATCCAAGCTCCAGGCGCTTGAAGAGGAAGAGGAACGACTAGAGGCAGAAGGCCATTATGACGATGATGAAGAGCTCGAAGATGCAGAGGAAGCTGACATCAAATACAAGGCCGAGCTGATTCGGGAAAAGCGACAGCTCATCCGGAACGAGAACAAGATGCGCAAGTCTCTCAAGAATCGTGCCGTCATTCCGAGATCGAAGAAGGCTGTGCAGATGGAGAAGATGCAGGCTGGGCTTGAGAAGGCGGGCTACGACACAAGTGCTATCGCAGAGCGGGCCAGGTCGCTTTCGAGACCACGCGGTAGAAGGCGAGCAGGCACTGAGGACGTTGACGATTCTATGGACGTGGATGAGACTCCAAAAGAGCGCCTGTCCCGAAGCATCTCCGTTGCCAGAGTCAGGAGTCAGAGTGTAAAGAACAGGAGAGAAGACGGTGTCACTGATGAGACTGCAAGAACGAATGCTGAGCGTGCTGCCAAGCTTGGTCAGAAGAAGATGAACCGCATGGCTAGGCAAGGTGAGGCAGATCGTCACCAAACTGCTAGCAAGTCGAAATGGCTTCTTGCTGGCAAGAGGGGTATGGGAAGCACGAGAAGTCGCTAATGTGGGCGTTCATGTTCATCTGGCGTTGCATTGCGTAGGGATGTCTGGAGTCAGGGTGTTCAAAAGGGCTGCAGTGTTCGGATTTTACTTGGCGGCCACACCTGGCGACATGAAGATAGAAGGACAGCTCCAACCATATCGGCCCAAGATGGTTTGCAGCTAATGGAATGCACGATACCTTCCAAATATTCATCCGCGTACCTTCATTCCCTGCTTCAACATCATTCCCATTTCAATCCCAGATCTCACCCGTTGACGTCCGCCCTCGCCTCGACTTCAGCTCTCATTCCCTCTAGTGCCAACTTGGACACTCCAATTCCTGTGAACGCTGGCTTATGATCTGGGAGGCATCTCTTTAACGCCTCTCCTGCAGGCTCCAGCTCGTGGCATAAAAGGTCAATTTGTATACTTGACTCATTCCTTTCCCACCGGCTTCACGGAAACATGGATCAATCTAATTTATATTGTCTTATAATAGTGTCGTCTATTTTGTTTCCCTATTTCACTATCTACGATTACTATTAATACCCAATACGATGTTACAACTCTATGTGGTACTACTATTTATTAGTCTTAGCTATAACTATAATTAAATTACCTCGTCTCGAAAGGGAGGGATCTATATGTAGGGACATGCCGCCTTACTGTATCTGATTCTCTGGGTCCCTTACTTATTATCCCTTTCGACATGCACTTGCTAATCTACTTGGTCCACCTGGCTGCCTTTGTTGATGCCATCCTTCCTGAGACATACCACGAACATCGCCTCAAGAAACGCGGCTCTGCTTTGATTCCCTCGGATTGCTTCTCCAGCGACCAGGCTTTGTACAAGTACTTTTCACCAAATTATCCATGGGGCGACCACCACAACGGCGCGGCACTCATGTCGCAAGCGCAGGTCAGTGCTGCTAAGGGCTTCTTGTCGCTCAGGTCGGACTACACTGGCGCTGCCAATTGGTCCTATAACTCGGGCACGGTATATGCGAATCAGCATTTTACTGTGCCGACCGGCGGTGGCCTTGACTTCGAAGCAAGCTACCAGGCCAACACAGAGCCAGTGAGTCTGCATTATATGTCCTTCTGATGATGACCTCTGATTTCAAGATAGGGCTGCTGGCCTGCTTTCTGGCTGACAGCGGTTAACGGCTGGCCTCCAGAGATCGATCTTGCCGAGTGGAAGGGTGCGTGTTCTGCTTCTATTTCTCTGTCACTCATCGGAACGATTCGTGCTCGCTGACTCAATATCCTCAATCTGTAGGCAGTGGAAAGGTCAGCTTCAACACCTTCAACACCAGCTCACACGTGGCATCACTTGATGTGCCTTACCCGAACCCTGGATCATGGCATTCGATTAGAAACGAGCTACGTGCTGAAGCTGACGGCTCCACACTCGCGATCTCTTTCTATCTTGACGGTCGCCTCATAACGAAACAATATGGCGCCAACATGGTGAATGCGCCTTTCTGGCTCATTATCGATTACCAGATGCTCGGAAGTAGCGGCAAGACTGGACCTCATGAGACAACCTATTTCAATGTACGAGGCTTGACGGTGGCGAGCTACCCATAGAGCAGGTCTTGAAACGATACTACAATGCTAAAGTTGCGCCGCGGTGGCACGGAGTGATTGCTGAGATTGCTAGAGAGTATCAGCTTCATTCATAGCATCGTCCGGGCCAGATCAATGGTCTAAAACACGCATTGCTCACGCCATGGCACGTCCGGAGACAGCTGAGGTCATCGCTTTGTGTGGGACATGCTAGTCTGCGCAAATGTACAATCGTCATCCTATGTATCTCTAACAGGACCGTCCAAAATCTCCCTCGGAAGCGGCCACTGGCATCTTCCGATTCGCACGTCAAACCGAATGTGACAGCTTCGAATATCTGGCTCAGGTTCGAAAGGATCGCCTGGCAGACTTTCATCTCTTCATGGGAAATACGTCTTGTGGCGGAACCCTGGAAGTCATACCAAAGATTGGCCTTCGCGTAATGAGCCTGGAACGAAAAGTTTTGATATGTACGTTGAGCTGATCGCGGCCTAGACTCATTGAAAAGTCTAGCGAGCTTTGGTCGACGACTCATGAAGATGAGACGCTCGCTCTCCATCCTGCTGCGAGAGGTACGTCTTGACAATTCTGTGCAACGGTGTTTCAAATGCGGAAAGAATTACAGCCAAGCTGCACAGCCTCTGTGCAGCCTCGCATTTGCAAATGCGACGGTGCGGATAGCAATGTAGTCGCTCCTCTCTTTGAGATATGGACTTCAATCCTTTAATCCGGTCATTGTAAACATCAGATTCTTCTGAAATAAATGACACATCAGCAAGATCAACGATCCTGGTTGCGCTGTGTCTGAAGATGATTGATGAGGTGATGTTCGTGTGAAGAGTTTCACATCCCATCCTTTCATGTGCTAGGCCGGGATAAGCTAGATCAAAACAAAGCGAACCTGGTCTTCAACTTGGCCAGAGCTTCAACTCCACCACATCTCGCCCGCCTTGTACGAGGCAGCAAGGCTGTGCGCACCTGTCGTCCATCACAGAGCAGGCAGCGCCGACGATGTAAACGATCTCGCCGTTGCTGGACACCTTTCACCACCCGACCGTGTCTGCTGCAAAGACAGGTCGTAACGCGACCAGCCCGTCTTTCCGCGTCGAGAGCAGAAGATGGCCATCTCACCGCCAGCGTCGCTTGCCGCATCGCAGCACTACGGCAGAACTACACACACTACTGCACAGTTCTTGCAACCGCCAAAGTCTCCCGCCACGGTCACAACCACACCTGCCTTCGCAACTGCTACAGATTACATTTCGACAGGCTCGAGGAAGAGGCAGCGACCGGACTCGGCACATGCGAACGAGCAACATCACCCGGCACAATCGACTTGGACTGAAACCCCAGCTTGGGCGCGGTGTCCTACTCCGTGCGACAAGCTCTATGAGAGCGGATTTGGGCAGCACTCGGTGAATGAGCGGTATCGGCTCGCGGGAGGATTTGACACGCCCTCTTTGCGAGCCACTTCGCCCATACAGCATTTGACCGTGAATGAGCATGAGTTTAGGCGGCGTCTGCGAGATGATGATATGGACCTTTCTATGCATAGCGGCTGCACACCAATTTCTGGGCCTCTCGCACGTGAGCGAAACGGTGTTGCTCGCTTGAATGCAGTGCCTGACAATCGATCACAGACGACATGGACACAATTCGCTTTCGAGCTGGTTGGTAAGGCGTTCAATTTCGGCACGACGGTGTTTAAAGGGTTCTATTCAGGAGGAGGTAGAGTCTATCAGATAAGCTCTTCGACTGGACCGGATCGGCTGCAGCACAACTCACTTCGAGTATCGACGCCACTACCTGGATCTTGGGATAGCGACGAGTTCCTGGGCGACTTCGAACAAGACAGCCCATACTTCGCACAGCAGACATCGCCGACACGACCACCGGCCAAGCGCCGTCAAACAGATCGAGACAGTTGGGTGCTCGTCGGCAATCCTGATGCTGAGAACCAAACCAGTCCGAAACGGAAAATATCTGGCAATAGCGTACCGCGAAGTAACCCGGCTCCTGGTAGGCCGACCGCATCTCGGGCCTCCAGTCGGCGCAGTCTGGCACCAGTATCAAGAAAGTCATCCGCCTTCGGACCCACCAATGGGAGTCCAGTGCAGTTCTCACCCGCACTGGCACCACCACAGCAGTCACAGAGCAGAATAGCATCCGTAGCAGCGACACGATCACCTCAGCAAAGGCCGAGCAGCGCAGGCGTAACAGCCTACGTCAGTCCAGACGCGGAACGCTTTGTTAAAAGACAGGCCAAGCAGGATCGCGCTGCAGACAAAACCATGACGAATATGGGAAACAGAATACAAGAAATGATGAGACAGGCGCAAGAAGCGCTAGGGACGAAATACAGCGTCGAAGGCGATGGAATGGACCTTGAAGACGAAGGATATGTTGATGATGATTGGCAATGAGAATGATACGTTGCCATAACTTTCGAGACACGACGCCACGACTCGCACGAACTACAGTACGGACGCAGATCGCAAGATCCGCAGCAAATTGATGATACCCACCTAGCGCAAGAGTTCTCGCTGTATACAGTCAACTCACGATAGATCTCCGACATCTGGAGTTTTGCAATACTGCGCAATATCTCCTGACTATTGTAGTCTCATCCTCCTTTGACCGTGCCTCGTGTAGTGTATTACCCGCACGGGATCAGGTGAGGTGGTCGGTCCCAGTGCTGCAGGCCTGTGGTTGCTGTCGTCACCAAGTCACCATATGTCTAGTTTTGCTGCTGGAGGTCGCCGGTCCGTTAATGGTACCTGTATGATGCCAACAAGCGATCTGATCCATCCCACTGCTCATAACAGACTGCGCGGAGCATATCTAGGCTTCTGCTACAGAGTTGCATCAGGAGACTACGTAGCATTCCTTCTTGCGACTTCTGCATTGATTCTGACAGAGGCCGCATTCAGCACTTGACACGGCGGCAGTCGAATCGCTCACACTCCATGGCAGCAATTACAGTGGTTGTGTGGACAGTAGGAATCAGCGGGAGCAGTGAGAAATGATGAAGTAATTCCAGACACTTGGCAGAGGGAGATTCAAGTGATTGGGTCTGAAGTCTTGGCATTTTGATATCCGGCTCGTCCTTCCACTTCCGGACGAGATGTAAACAAACCACAGAAGACATCAACAAACGCTCTGCGCTCGGCGTCTCCGCCCCCACGCGCATTCAAACAGCAGGCACTGTTGACCTCTTGGCCCTCATCGCTATCTTGTATCGTTTTCTGGTATCTGGAATGGCACCCCGCGCAAAGGCACAAGCACCTGCCGCGGATGATAGCGAAGACGATCTCGCGACTACCACAACTCGAGGCGCCGCGCAGAACAAACGCCGTCCCGCCAAAATGACCAAGGCAAAGACGGCAGCGCGCCGATTGAGCGCGACGACGCCTGCAGCGAAGCGCAAGGCCGCGACCAGGCAACCGCGACAGGCATTGAAAGACCGAACCAACATTCAAGACGGTAACGAGACAGAAGAGGTCGACGCGTTCGACGAGGAAGATATGGCCGCAAAGCCGAAGGCAAAGAAAGCAAAAACGACCGCTACGCGTAAAACAGCTGCCGCAAAGGCGCAAGCGACTGAGCATGAAGCAGAGAAAGCGCCGTCGAAGCGTGGGAGAAAGCCAAAGCGAGCACCATCGCCTGAGCCCTTGTTGACCATACCGGAGACGCAGCCAGATCTACCAGAGCAGATGGAAGATGTCGAACAATCAATCGAAGTCGACCCGGACAACATGGATATCGAGAAGGAACCAACGCCAAAGCGGGCTCCGATTTATGTTCAACGCGCACCATCTGTGCCAATACAGCCTCTGCAGCCTCGACTGAGTGGGCGTGCTGCTGTTCGAGCGGCATCAGTCCAGCCTCCTTTTGCACCTATTCGCGACCGCAGCAATAGTGCTAGCGGCACGGAAAGGCGAGGTGGCGACCCTGAGCTCAGGCGCCAGTTGAACGATTTGACCTCCAAGTACGAGAACCTGAACTTGAAGTATCAAGGTCTGCAAGACATACAGCAAGGAGGCGAAACGAACTTCGAGAAGCTGAAGCGCGCAAGTGATCAGAAGGCGAAAGATGCCAACGACCTTATCGCCTCCTTGAGAAAGGAGATATACGAATTTCGCAAGACGTCCAATTTGAGCTCTAGCGAGACGAACAACATGCAAAAGCAAGTCACTTCTCTGACGACTTCGAACGAGAAGTTGACTGTCGAGCGCAACGACTTGAAGGAAAAGCTCCAGCTTTCACAGAACGAAGTCAAGTCGTTAGAGGCGAAGCTTATGGCTGCAAGACAGCAGGTGGCTAATGCTGCACAAGAAGCCAAGACCCAAGAAGTAACGAAGAAGCAGAACAGTTCTGTGTCAGTGAACGTGGCAGAAGCTCAAAAGGAAGCCAAGATGAAGGAGAATCTTTATGCAGATCTCACTGGCTTGATCATTGCCAATGTCAAGCGTAACGAGGGCGAGGACATCTATGACTGCATCCAGACTGGTCGCAACGGAAGTAAGTGCTTGGCTCAATTCGTGTCAAATTCACCTACTAATCGCTTACAGCCCTTCACTTCCACCTCAATGTCGGAAACGATGCCACGACACCTCATCCCAAGACACCTTCTGGTATGAGCTATGAAGATGCTGAATTCTCGTATGAACCACTACTCGACGAAAGCAGAGATCGTGAACTTTTGGAGCTGCTTCCAGACTATCTCACGGAAGAGATCTGCTTCCCTCGAAATCACGCCCAGAGATTCTACAGCAAAGTCGTCGAGAGCATGACTAAGAAGTTCGTTGTCGAGGAGGATTGAGTGAAGCTCACAATGAGCGTTGTTGGATGAAGATGATTGTCACGAGCCTACTTGGAGAGCATGAAGAACAATTCCTGGGTGCATGGCGTTTCTGGCGTACCAGAGTCTTTCAGATACCTCTGTTCGTTGTTCTATTTACAGCTTCCACAGCTCCTGCTGTGTAAAGCTTCATGTCGGCGTAGCATAAACGCAATAAATTGTGCCTTTATCAGCATCTACACCTCCATTCACACATCTGGCTCAATTCAACTCTTCTTTCGGATTTTCGATCCAGGACTTGCAGAAATCCTGTGCTTGGTCGTCGAAGGTTATCCGCCATAAGGGTCAGCACCACCTGTTCGACGTCCAAAGTGCGCTCATCTAAAGCAGGAAATTGCGAATCCGGTAGATCTGACCACGGAACAGGTGACCAACAGGGCGAAAGCTTAGCGGACCTTGCAGGATTAATTTCCAATCAGCTCGACCGCTCACGTTCGTGTCGATGAGCGTCGCTATCTTGGCAGCAGAATGATAGATCCTCTTGCAGTGCCTTCATTGTCTGATTTTGGGGCTTTGCGCGACCGACCCAGATTCATGGAATGGGCGGCAAGGAAAAGAGGAATTTCCTAAGGTTTGGACCCTGGCGCCATGCCGCCGAGAGAGGGTTGGAGCCGTGTGGAGAGAAGAATGGGGAAAGCTGGAGAAAGAGATGTTGATTCGTGGATTATCCAGCGTCGTGAAGGTCGCAACGCTAGAAACGCCATCCACCACCTTCCAACTCTTCTTTAAGCTTGTAGCAAGCCACGTGAGGACGGCGAGGTCACATCGATTCCCAGACGTGCAGGAGTGTTGCACGATCCTCCCTAGTACGTCGTCGGGAAGTGGGTGTTGCAAGGAGCCCAAGCAACTACTTAAGATCTCCGCTCCCACTTGGCCAGCTTGGCCGGTAGCTTGCTTCGATCTTCTACGAACATGTCGGCGGCCGTGAACGATCCACCCAGATCTGGTTCGCTTCACGACCAGGTCGCAATCGAAGACCTGAAAGAGAAGAATGTCTTCCATTCTGAAGTCCTGGTCGACAAAGACCTCATGATCAATGCCTTCGAAGGAGAGAATCGCGAGCACGAGATGGGTGTTTGGGAGGCCACGAAGAAACACCCAATGGCATGCATTTGGGCATTCATAATGTGCTTTACAATTGTCATGGAGAGTTTCGACATGTTCCTGAATGGGTGAGTGGTTCGCGCTCAAGGTATGCGTCGAATCTCACGCACACTGACCATGATCGCTTTGCTCTCTGCAGAAACTTCGTCGCCCTTCCAAGGTTCAAGTCAAAGTATGGCGTTTTGCACAACGGCGAGTGGACAATTCCGACCAAGTGGCAGAGCTCACTTTTTCAAGCCGGTCAGTGTGGTGCATTCGTCGGCGTATTCCTTGCAGGTCCGATCACGAATCGGTTGGGCTATCGCTGGGTGACCATTCTGGCATTGATATTGATGAACGCCACGATCTTCATCTCCTTCTTTGTGAGTAGATTGCATAGCTCGCTTCGACTCATCTGACAAATGATATGCAGGCCGATTCGCTCGAAGTGCTAGTCATCGGCCAAGCATTCGAAGGCGTTCCTTGGGGTTTCTTCATCGCCAACTCGCCAGCTTATGCTTCCGAAATCGTACCGATTGCCCTGAGAGGCGCTTGCACCGCGACGCTGCAGATGTCATGGTCCATTGGTGGCATTATCGTTGCTGCAGTGTGCTACGCATTCAATCAGCGAAATGATCAGTGGGCGTGGCGCGTGCCTCTTGCTTTGCAATGGATCTTTCCGACTCCGCTTTTGATTCTCATTTTCCTCGCTCCTGAGTCGCCATGGTGGCTTATTCGTAAAGGAAGGAAAGAGCAAGCTCTGAAGTCCATCAAGCGACTTGGTAGCAAGACTGAGGCCGAGGCGCAAGAAAAGCTCGCCATGATGGAGCGCACCGTTGAGATTGAAGCGCAAATGGGCGGCACTCCTACCCTCCTCGACTTGATCAAGGGCACTGACTTGCGCCGAACGATTATTACTTGCTTGGTGTACGCCTCGCAGAACTTCGCCGGTAATCTCATTGCTAACCAGGCAACCTTCTTCTTCGAGCGTGAGTGACCTTTTCGCGGAGTTTTTGGTTGAATTGATCACTGATCGGATGTGCAGAAGCTGGAATGTCTACCGACTTCTCTTTCCAACTCAACTTGATCAACTCATGTCTTGGGTTAGTCGCCAACATCGGATCTTGGTTCCTGACCTCTTGGTTCGGTCGCCGAACCATTTACCTATGGGGAACAGCGTTTAACTTCACGTTTCTCATCATCCTTGGTATCTGCGCTTCAATCCAGCAGAACAGTGGTACCAATTATGCTCAGGCCGTGCTTGGAATCATTATTTCATTCGTGTATGCAGGAACACTCGGTCCCATCAGTTACGCCATCATTGCCGAGACGTCCTCGGTACGTCTTCGCGCTCTGAGCACCGGCGTCGGTCGTGGTGCATACTACGTCGCAGAGATCCCAATGATATACCTGGCCTCGCAAATGCTCAATCCCACCGGATGGAATCTGGCTGGCAAGTGTGGATATGTGTGGGGAGGCACAGCTCTCGTTTGCTGGGTACTCGCATACTTCTTCTTGCCCGAGCTCAAGCATCGCTCATATCGTGAGCTTGACATCCTGTTCCACCGCAGGGTGCCAGCCAGGAAATTCAAGACCACTGTCATCGATGTCAAGGACAACGACTAGAAGTCTGAAAGCAGCAGATGGCTGGCTGAGGTCCATCTGGGCGTCATCTCATGTAATCTCGGAAGCTTCGGTTGTGAGACGAAGAGCAGACTGGCAAAATAGTCTAGCAGAATGGCATCGTTTCCGTTCGCGCTTGCCTTCCCTGCATCCTGTTGATGTTGACTGTGGCCCTGTGGAAATAGACTTTGATCACGGGTGCGATTGGTGTTGAGAAAAGGATGATAGTTAATGCTGACTGCTGACTGTTGATCTCGAGATCTCGAGTGATGACCAGTCCGAAGTCGCGCCGGGCTTGGCAGCTGCATCTGATACCACTTCTTGCGCCGTCTTATCCCTCTTCTCCCATGCCAACTATGATCGCCAAACCAGTCGATTCAGCCAAGCTACTAGAAGCAAAGTACTACGAGATCGTGGCAGCACACAATGACAGGCAATTCGAACGCGACAAAGAACCATGGAAAAGTGTCACATCCAGCTTCAGGTCCGAACTGGCATATGGCGACCAGCGGGAAGTAGACCTGGATGGATACTTGGAGACGGGCAGAAAGATGTTTGGTGGAGATCCCTCTTTGAGAGTAGAGGTTCAAGACATCAGCGTAAACGTTGATGAACAGGAAGGTTTCGGCGAAGTCTTCGCAAACCAGGCGTTAGTCTCTCCCGGAGTGACTTTTCGGCGGAGTGTCGTGGTTGCAACGTTTAGGGTTGTTAGAGGTGAATGGAAGTGCTGCGGAAATAAGCACATCAAAGGACTCGACGTTGCTGGCTAAGCTTGCCATTGTCATCCTATCACCTATGTGTACAACCGGCAGCGACGACTTGATTCAAGTTGTTGTTTGTCCAACTAATACATTATGCTCAGCGAAGAAAAGGTCGTTAATCATACTTGTATCTTCATCCGTGCCCAACCCAAACGCTGTACCAGAAACGCCAAGAATGATTTTCTTTGAAGCCTTTCCATTTTCCTGTTCTGTCGCTTCATCAGCAACACCCGATGCGCCTCTACCATCCGAGTGAGTATTCGTAACATGCACAGTGATTTACCTCCAGACTGATCGAGCTTGACTCCAGCATCGCTTGACAGCTCACTTGATAGCTTTACAGAGTCGTGTCGGTCAGAGTGTGTGATCATCGTCACGTTTTGTTTTGGAATGAGTGTGCGCTTTGATGTCGGAGGATTGCCACTTTCGCCTGAGAACCACGAGCTCTTGTCCTTGCGAGGACTCCTAGCCGTAGTTTGGGGGAGAACCTGATCCGCCCGGCGCAGCCTGGCCGTGAGGTCCGCCGTGCCCATTGCCATCCTTCATGACCTCCAGAGTATGTGGAAAGTAAGGTTCGACACCCCAGTTCCGAAGATATGCTCCAGTCTTCTCGATACGCTTGATCTCGCGCTGGACACCCCAGCTGTCACCCTCCTCTCTGAAGCGACCCTTGACCACATCTACCATGGCGTCATCGAGACGGCGGTAGAAAGCTCGTCGCTCAGTGATGTCATCTTCGTCGCCATTCTCAAGACCACCGTGAGAGTTGAGGTTACCACCGAGCTTGAGAAGCAGATCGAACGCAAATCGTGGCCCGCTTGGAAGGGAAGAGAGGCGGGTGATGTCGGGCAAGAATTTCAACATGCATGCGCTGAAAGATGGGGTTGGCAGCGAATCGTTGAGATCGTCTTGTAGCCTGTGCAAGTCAAAGTTGACGATGGTGATCTTGCGATCCAGCTGTGCATTGAGCGTGGCTGCTGCGTGAGTAGGCGACGACGCGTGTGAGGCAGAGTCCATGATCTGAGCAATGCTGGGAGGCACATCTGATCAAGGAATTAGCATGCGATATGAACGAATGTGATGTGCGCCTTGCTTACCTGGCCGAAGACCACGCTTGTCAATCCATGCGTGCACTTCTGTCCGCTGCCTCTCCAGCGAATCGATGTATGCCTTTAGATCTGCAATCTCGCTCTCGAGGCCTTCTATCTTTTCGGTGTAGGGTCGGACTGCCTGATTGAAAGCCTCGACCAGAAGATTCGGCGCCGGCTCGTGCTTGTGGGATGGGCTTGCGTCGTAAGCACCACTGCTGTAGCCATTGCTCATGGTGTTGTTTCCTCTCAGGCCTGCCGACACAGGTGGACTCTGATAGTTGTTTGGCGCTCCGCCGTACTGCGACACCTCAACCGGACGATCCCGTCGCGCATACATATTGCTGTCTGCTCCCGCTCCACTGCTGACGGTCTCCTTGGCCAGCGGGTCGTTGAGCTGCGGCGCACCAGCAGTTACACTTGCGTTGCGTGCGATAGGAAGTCCTTGATCCTCGTAATCGATCGGACTACGATCAACGGGCGGCGCGCTGTGGGCGTATTTCTCGTCGTAGGCCGCGGAGCTGGTCTTACTGTCGTGGCGCGAGTCGTAAGTGTCGACGTAAGACTGCGAGTTACTGCGACTTCTGCTTCTCGAAAGGCGCTTGAAGAAGACCATGCTTCCAGGGATGAGGGGAGGGGAGGTACTAGGTAGTAAGGTCGAGCGCGCTGGCGCTGGCGCTGGCGCTGGCGGGTGAAGGAAGCGCTTATACTTTCAAGACTGCTGGAAAAGCTGGGGCGGGGCGCGGCGGGGCGGGCAGGCGAAGCGACGGTGCTGTATTGGCTGCGCGGACACGGCAAGACAAGGTCAGAGTCGTAAGATGCAGTGAGAATGAGCGAGCGGTGGGAGGCAGGTTGGGCAGAGCAGATAGCGATGGGAAGCTGTAGAAATGGCTGGACAGATGGCTGCGAGAAAAGTAGAGAAATGTGCGAGGGTGGGAGCGAGCACAAGCTCCACCCGATGCCAATGCCCGCGACGATCTCGGATCTCTGATTTCTGTGCTACAGCCTACAGGCCAGTGTTTGCTCGTTGCAATGCAATGCAGGAACAGTTTTTCTTGGTCACCACACCTCCACTCCCCTCGCTCCCTCGTCGATGATTTCTCAAGTAGCTGCGTACTGACCAGCACTAGGCATACGGCCAATCAAAGACGGCAAATATTTATACAATGGCATCCAGCATCGAACGACATTCGGTCTCCCAGCTCTGTTAGTTCACCCGGGCGCCATTCTGGAAACGGACCTCCCACGCCATCAGACAATGGAAAGCGTAGACCAAGATTTCGATATGTCCTCCTTGACACCTATGGCGAAAAACATTCCCCAGGGAGCAGCAACTCAGGTCTGGGCTGCTACGGCGAAGCACTTCAGCGCCAAAGCAGGCTGCTGTGTGGCTGATTGTGGCGAATCGACGCCCTGGAGAGAAGGTGATGCAGTTGCGTCTCCTGGGTATGCTACGCATGCCTACGATGAGGCGAAGGAAGAGAGGCTGTGTAAGTTGAGTTGTGATGCCGTGGGTGTTGCCTATGACTAGGCAATCACACAGCTCGCTTGAGTTACTCCTGGGTACATATAGTCTGTCGAAACGCGTGTTCACTCCAGTTTCCGCTCAGTCAGAAAGGAGCTGGCCCATCTCACTGAAAATACCATCTCTGTGTTGGGACAGACACACAGGGCCCGCAACGAAGTTTTAAGACTTTGAGCCAGACACGAAGATTCCGTTCGGATGTTAGCCCAAGTGACATTCAGAAACAATTACCATCTCTTCCCGCGGAAAATTAACGTGCAGCCCCACTGTCTACACTCCTCAACAAGACACATGATCATCTTGCCAACTTCGAAGAGACATTGTCCTTCTCGCCTTAAACCTTCCTGGTGAACGTGATCGTCGCATCCAATATGTTGTGAACTGCTGGTACCTTTGGAACAGACTTGGCACGTACATGGTCTTTGACGCTCGGAAATAGAACTGTTTAGCTCTGCATAAGGTAGCTGTTGCGAACCAAGGTAACGGCAGCGATATGGCTTGGTTGTTCTCGTTTGGTATGGACCCACACATCTGTTGCCTCACCCTCCAAATGAGAACAGATAGTGGAAATCCAAAGCCTCTCCTGGCACTTATACCGAGCCCCAGCTGCCCGCCCGAGCCCCAGTGGATATACTAATGTAGAATCGCGCTGAATGAGATTACGTGCTGTTTCCACCTATTATATATTATATCTATTCTTGGTTGGTGTTGTTGACAGGCGCGGAGCGCGTTACCTAGGAAGTCGCGCCTCGAATTCTACCGTAGACCTAAAATTCGTATTTCTTCCCCCTTTTGCAGTAGATTACTAGTATCTATCGAAAATGGCTGAATCTCCATCGTACGACGAGTTTCTCGATAATGTTATCGCCGGCGGTAGTAGTAACGAGGCGGCGGTAGTTGTTAAGTCGCAGGAAGAGGTAGAAATAGAGGTAGAAGGCGCGCCTTCGGCGGTAGTTGTTAAGTCGCAGGAAGAGGTAGAAATGGAGGTAGAAGGCGCGCTCTCGGCGGTGGTTGTCGAGTCGCAGAAAGAGGTTTAATTTGTCTCGGAGACACGTATTCGAGGCCGCTCGCGCTTACTATCGCTGCCGCGCGAGCGTATATCTCTACCTAAATATCGATTAGTCTCTCTAAGGCCGCAGAAGCACCTATTCTCGAAGAAAGCGCTCCCCCGTAGGCTAATGCCTCGCGAAGTCGACTTTGTATCGTATATAGCGCTTAAGAAGTATATATAGGAAGAGTTTAGAAAGGTAAAGGGATACGAGTTTAAGGAGTAGAAGCCGCGGAAGAACAGTAAAGGTATTAAATATCGCTATCTCTATGTTTGTAGGTACTTTAGTTAGCCTAATAAAAGGACGTAGAATACGACTCGAAGGAAGATAATAACTAAGAAGATAGGGTATTAGTTCTACTTCTACGCCGTTACTATCGACCCTTCTAACCCTTCTAGTAGCTAGACTATCCGCTATTCGAGTAAAGAAGCTTACTATTACTATAATTATAGACCTAACGACGTTGTTAGCCTTACTATCTATAGAAGCCGCTTAAGAACGGCTAACTTCCTCGAGCAATTAGAACGGCTTTAGTCCGTACGAATACTAACCTCTAAGATAATAGCCTATTTCCGAGGCCGTAGTATTATTATTAAACTACAAGACCTATATAATATCTCTTAGCTTCGAAACCTTAACGTACGACGAGAAGCTAATTAGGTCGAGCGGATAGTTAAATTACTCGAAGAATACGACATCTATAAGGACATTTAAACTAGACCTAATAGCGCTATTAAATCTATAGTAGCTCTTTATCTAGTCTTAATTAAGGCCTTTAAGCGGATACTATATACGCTTATTCTAGATACTACGTATTCGACTAACCTATATAACCTCGAGTTATTAGACATAGTCGCTACTAGACCGTTAAACGATACGATTAAGCTCGGTATTAGCCTTGTCCGTCCGAAGCCTAATAAGGCCGATTTTATACAACTTCTTATATCTATTAAATAAGCCTTTAAAGCCGCTAGTTACGCTATACTAATTGTTATCGGTACTAACCGTAAAGAGGCTTTAATACTAGCTTATTAAGAGATATTTCCTAGTTCTAAGAATATCGTTTGTAACTAGCTATTAGGGCTAAAGAGGCTATACGTAATTGGTATGTAACTAGGCTAAGTAAAGCTAGGGTCTTAGTGCCTTAGGTAGGGCTTAGCGCTTAGTAATAGGCTAACTTGCCTACCTTCCTCCCTCTCCTCCTAGCTCCTTATCGAATACTACCTATACCTACTACTACCCTATCTACCTGCTAATATACCCTTCTTATATAGTATTCGATCTACCCTTTAAGGGTAGTAGCTAGATAGTCCTTATTTCAAGCTTTTAGCGGTATAGCTACGAATAAGACTAATCTAACTATATTGCGCTCGAAGAACAGGACCTATACGTACTATTCTACTAAGAACAACCGTACCAATTATAAAGTATCGTTTAAGCCCTATAGTACTTATCCTAATCGAGCGGAGCGACGGCGTAGAGCCCGAGAACAATATTAGATTTACGCCTATTACTACGGTCTATATAGCTATAGTATTAGTAGCTTTATCGCTACCGCTACGAGTCGCTGCATTACTTAAATGCCTTATTACTATCGTCCTGTATCTGCGCTAAAGCTAAGTCCTTCTCCTAATAGCGACGCAATCTATCGTTAAACGCCTATTAACGCGCCTATTCTTCTATAATAGCAATCTAAATCCGAGTCTCTTTATTAATATTATCCCTAACGTCTATCTTACTACCTTGCTCTTGCTACGTGCCTTGCTCTTGCTACGTGCCTTGCTCTTACTACGTGCCTTGCTCTTACTACGTACCTTGCTCTTACTAAGTATCCTGTTCGCTATCTATAATATTACTACCGCGAAGAAGCGGCGCTTGCTAAGACTATTAAGCTTAACGATTAGCCTAAACGTTGCGCTAGAAGGTCTTATTATTAAGGAATTCGCTAGCGATATATCGATTACCGAGTCGATCTTAGTCGGTCCGCTCTATAGCTTTAATACCGCGAGGACCCTCGTAAACAAGTTTATTACGGGCCTCTATATTCTAGAGAGCATTAGTAAACGCGGTGCCCTTAAGGCGGCGGCTATAGACCTCTATAAACCTGCGAGATAGTTTACTAAATCGCACGAACCGTCCGGGCACTATTAGAGTCGGCAAAGTGCGCTTAAGGAATAGAATAGAAGTAACTAGAAGTACGGCTTTATCGGATAACTAGCCGCGAGATTCTATTTTAGCAATCTTAAGTAGGTTAGTATTAAGCTATACCTCTTCTTATTACTAGCGCTAACGACGAGCTTCCTCTTAATCCTATTCGCGTACGCGCTATTGCTAAAGGCAGGTTTCTTACTAAGCTTATACGGTCTATAGATTACGCCTAGTAGTATTAGGGTCTAGGTGCGGTAGATCTAATAAAAGTATACTACTAGGCGGTACCGTACGCTACTTCTTGTAACGGATGTAGTCTATATAGCGGTCGATATGTAATTTATATAGCTTGCCTTTAAATCGGTTATAGTTAAAAGGTTCGTCGAAAAGGATATCGTTAAGACTACGAAACCGAGAGTATGCGACGTATATTAATATAGGCGTAAAGTCCTTCTTAGAGATATCGAGGACACCCTTATCGAGAGTTATACCTTATGCCTTATAGATAGTAATAGCGTAGGCGATAGTTAACGGAAACTAAGTACGAGTGCATTAGCTATCGAAACGGTCGTTATACTTCTACTTACGGCGAGATAGCACGATCGGTACTACCTTAGGCGGCAAGCTATCGATCTCTTAGTTTAGTATCGGTCCGGAATATTAATCTAACTCTACGAGTATAGCTACTAGTAGATCGTTATCGACGACCTCTTACTCGGTACGGGTTGTATCCTTTGCCTATATAACGTTACGAATAGTACCGATTATCCTATTAACGACGCCTTTCTATACCTAAAGGTTCTCGGTAACTAATATACGGGCATTAATGCAGATCGGGAGTATCTTATACAAGTTACCGCCTATCTTATAGTCGGCTTAGACTGTATAGCGGCTAGTATGCTTAGCTTTAATAGCTTTAATAGGCTACTAATTGTCTCGCATCGATATATAGTTAAGTGTAGCGACCTGCTTCTTATAGCTAAAAAGACGAATTGCGTTTTAGAAGGCCGTAGGATATAGATGCGAGGGATCGCGGACACGAGACACTAGTATTTGCTAGTAATCGATAGTAACCTTGCCTAGTCTAGTACGTAGGCCTTCGAGTACGGCTTTAAAAGCTTAGGTAGTAGGATTAGTACCCTGCTAGCGTTAAATAACATTAAGCTAGATAGTTTTATTAAACAGATGCTATATATAGCGTCTAAGAACAACTTTAGGTATATTAGTCTAGCTTAGTCGACTAAAGAGAGGGCGACCCGCGACTAGAAGCAACTAGCTAAAGTTACTATATATATAGATCGTAAAGCCTCTAAATAGTAGGGAGGTATCGACACCCGGATTATCTTAGTCCGCCTATAGATAGCTCGGATCTTGCTGCCCTACCTGTCGCAGTCGCTTATTAATCTAGTATAGCTTAACTAGATTAATTATCGATTTCTCGTCGATTATAATATATAGGATATTAGTTATATATGCTTAGAAGGCCGACAATGTATTACCCTCGAGAGGGATATATTCTTTTATCGTAAGAGGCAACCGGAAAGTAGAATAGATAGTAGAGCCCTTTATACTAAAAGCAGCAGCACTAGTTAGAGCGATTCGTATAATCGGATTGCCGAGCTAGTATTATACAGTACTAGAGGCATCGAATTGTTCTGCTAGTCGCTTAATAGTAGAAGAGAGAAGCTCGATTATATAGGACTTACTAACGCCCGCCTTGCTATCGATGTTTAGCAAGATAGGATCCGGTATAGTTACCCTATTAATTATCTTATTAGTATAGTTATAGATACGGTCGTACTAAAGTCGCTATTCTAGAGAGAGGCCGTTAACCTTCTACTAGTAGTTAGCAATAGTGCCGATTTTCTAATAAGTACTTCTAGTACTACGCTTGTTCTTCTACTAATCCTTAATCTCTAGTCTAAGATTATAGAGCCCGACGTAAGCGGTCTAGTCGTAATCCTTATCAATTTGACGATTGCTAAGGTTGTTAAGATCCTTATCTTCTTTAGCGGGGTTTCGGTTAGGTATAGTACGTATAAGAAGCTCGCCCTCTACTTCCTCCTCTTTAGGCTTATAGTATTCCTCCTCGAACAGGTCTTTAGTTAGGGTAGGGAGGTTGATTCTAAAGTAGTTAAAAGCGTAACCGGTATAGTTGTTTGTATACTACTTATATACGTCTTACTATATATAGAATTCTTCTTCCGGATAATCGGTAAAGGTATATAGTAGGTTAGGATATCGACTATCGAAAGGGTAGTATAGGGCGACCTTAGTACGGCAGTAGTCTTCGTAGGTCCTATTATCTTCCTATAGATTGCCGTAGTACTTAGGAAAGTAGTTAATAAGACGAGCCTTCGTACAAGGTCGTAGCTTAAACGTTGCAAAGTCCTATCGAGTTAGGAACTCGAATAGGGTAAGGTTAGGCCGATTAAGGAGGTTAGACTTAGCGAATTTCGCTAGTAGGATGCTAAGACGATCGATATACTTTAGTAATAGCGATTTGCCCTATGTAACGATCTTACCGACCTGCTTATTATATCGCTTAACTTTAGACTAATGCTATAGAAGCCGACAATCGAAGCTCTATATCGTACGAGAGCCTTAGGACAAAGGTAGACCGAGTAATTAGTAGTAAGCTTCCTAAGTAGAGATATCGCGCTTACCGATAAACTTATTTATTATTTTAGCAAAGAAGGAGACTATAGGCCGATTAGAGTTCTAGAGTTGTAGACTAAGCTGTTTAGCGATGTCGAGTAGCAGTATACTACGCTTCTCGGCCTTGCTATAGTACTTAGTAAGATAGTCGATAACGGTACCTTTTAAGGTATAGGGAGCGAAGTCGGTATTCGTAAGCTACGCTATCGAGACGGTACGATTATAGCTATTTATCTACTTGTCGTTACGAGGCCCGTTATATATATAGTATCGGGGGTTAAGGTCTCTACTAATACGTAGTTTATCGTAAAGCTTTCGAGGATAGCAGAAGCGGCAAGTACGCGCCCCTATGTCCTTATTCTTCCGCTAGCAGTATTCGTAGCCGCATTTATACCGCTAAACTCGATTAAGGTTTAGTATAAGGAGGTATACCGTATTACGTACCTTATACGGCGGTATAGACAACACTATAGGTTCTCCTAGCTATAGACTAGTACGATCCGGGTCTAGCTAGAAAGCAGTAATATAACGACCCTAGAAGGTAGCGAGCGCGTTACGATCCGCTTAGGTATTAGATCTCGGAGGCGGAAGCAGCGCCTACTATATATACAGGTCTAGATTATTATCCTTAAGCTAGTATATACCGTAATTATATAAACTGCCGCGAGCCTAGAATTCAAACTAGTTCTAATAATCGATAACGCTAAATTTAGGCTTAAGGACGGTTTACTAGAGGATAGTATAGCGCCGGAAGTAGTAGTAAGCTACAATTGCTAGGTTGTCTCGTATATTATTACGAGCAATCTTACGGCGCTAGTGCTTATCGCTAGTAGGGATGTTAGGCATATGCTTCTATAAAGACTACTACTAGTTGTCGGCGGCACTAAAAGTAAGGAAGAGATACGGACTACCTAGAGCTATAACGTAGACCTTAAGTTGCTTACGCTTACTAATCTAGTAAGCGCGGGTACCTCGTAGCTTGTCGGCATGTCTTATTAGATTAGAAAGTAGCTTCTTTAACTTATTATCGTTATATAAAGCTAGTGCGGCCTTTAGATCGTTAAGGGAAATCTCCTAATATTCCGGGTTCTGCTAGACTAGGAAGTCGGCGATGCGGTTGCTCTACTTCCTTATAGAGGTATTTAAAGCAACATATCGGAAGCGGGTATATTAAGCAAAGCGTCCGTCTTAATACTTAAGCATATACTTAATGTATTTATCGTACGATATACTACGCTCTCGGCATTCTATAAAGTCGCCTACCCCTATTAGATATAGTAAAGAAAACGCGAGCAAGAGGAGGGCAATCGACTTATTAAACTTAGAAAGAGGAACTCGATCGTATAAAGGGAGAGTTAGGTAGTTCTATAGCGGATCTCCTAGGCTATCGTACTAAGCGGCCTATATACGGAGCTCGTCGTCTTTAGCCTAGCGCTACTCCTCCTACTAATTAACAACCTCCTATAACTGTTGCCGCTAATCCTTTAGTATCCGGGCTTACGGAAGGGCAGATTCGAAAGGATAGTCGGCGAAGTCCTCCTTATCTTCGGCTTGCTCTACTTGTTTAGAAGAAGGCTACGGAGCCGATATATTAGGAATCGGTAGAGGGATGTCTTCCTCGGTATAGTACTAGACATTAATGCGATCGATTACATTATTATCGACTAGAAGACTAGATAGGCGGTTCTCGTCGATAGCTATATCGGAGTAGCCCTTATAGTTAACCGTTAACTATACTAACTACTAACGAATAACGGCTTAGCGAACCCGGAAGTCGCGCTTAAATATACGCCTAGTCGTATTATCGCCTTATACTAGTTAAAGAAGAACGGTCTCTAAATGCTTAGGAAGTAAGGGAAGTTCTTACTAAAGCTTGCCTATATCGCGTAGAAAGTTAACTACGTTATTCTTATATCGGTACTACGCGCCCTTAATTAGGCGAAGCTCGACGTAGATATAGATACGTACGATAAGGATCTCCTTAATTATCGTAAGCTTTAGAAGATATACTAGGTATTCGCCGGGGTCTATTCGATTGCGGCTCGATATAAGATTAGGCTCTTTAGGTCGCTTATTGCTATCGCATATTATACGACACTTCTTATAGATATTAAAGGTAGGCGATAGTTTGCGATTGTCTAGTTGTGTGTTAAACTAACGCTCTTTATACCCCTTCTAAAGCTCTTTATTCTAGTATATCTCTATCTTCTCCTATTCTAATACCGTAAAGAAGTCGGTAACTAAATCGTAGTCGATATTAGCGAGAGCTTACTAACCGTCGAGATCGGTACGTACTTAGATAGGTAGATCGACAGGGTTATTAGTAAGGAAGTAATTACGTAGGTCTTGCTTATATTAATCGACGCGGGTATAGTCGCGCTAGCCGGGTCGAGGCGTACGATATAGTAGAGGCTCGTTATCGTTATTACGGACAATGCGGTAAGCTATATAGCAATTCTCGAGTTCCTAAGAGCTATTAGGCATATAGAAATCGCGTCGCTTTGTCTTATATCGGCGAAGGATATACTACTTATACTAATTAGGCTCGTCGTTATCTCCTTCTACGTAATAGTAGTAGATATCGATACTAGGATCGGCCTTAGGGGCATCGAACTTGCGGGCAATAGCACGTAGCTAGTTACAAATACTATACTTAAACTAGCGTCGGGCATTGCGAATTAGTAGATTATATAGATCTCTAGTAGGTAGGCTAATATTACTAAAGGCGGAGCTCGGTAAGGGAGGATCGCTACTATAATTAGTTTGCTATATTAGTCGAATAGTCTATAAGGACTAAAGAGGATGCTCTACTAATAGTTGTTTAATAGTTAGCGTAGGAGGAGGATGTCTACTAGCGCGACGCTCTTATCGGTATTAGCGAGAGATTGCGGCGACTTAGGTACGAGCAGTAGCGGTCGCTACGTCGTTACTGCTATATTAACCGCATAGACGGAGACCTGCCGTACTAGAAGACTGCGTTAGAAGCGGCGGTAGGCCTATCGAGCCTAAGCCTAAGCCTAAGCCTAACGAATATAGCGGGTTACGCTTAATTAGATCTCTAGCGGATAGATTAGATAAGGAGGGGATAGAGCTTAAGGGAATAATAGAGCTCTATATAGGGGAAGGCGAGATAGAAATTAGATTAGATATAGCGCTAGCTCGTAGTATTAGTATTAGTATCTTAAATAGACGGCCGCGCTTATTTAAAGTAAGTATATCGGTATCCTAGTCTATATCGCGAGGATGCTTTTTAGAGGCAGCTACGTTCTTTTTCTTGCTCTTTATATTCGTAAGACGATATCTAAGGCAGTACGCGGTCGCTTTAGTCGCAGTGCTAGTGCTAGTGCTAGTGCGAGTAGTACGAAGGCTCTAGAATTAGGTACGCTTCTTACGCTTGCTATATAGCGGATTTGTGCAGACTCGACTACTATTAATACTCGGATCGACCTCTTTATCGTCGAGTACTAGATTGTCGATAGCGTCTTCGTTACAATCGGGCGGAAGAGTCTTACGCGGGTTACCGTTACCGCTAGGAGGGCCTTATCCGCCTAGTGCGCTAGTAGCGGCTTGCTAACCGAAGTGCTAAACGTCGGCTATATTTAGATTAGGAGGGTAGCTAGAGTTAGCTATAGAAGGAAAGCAAAAGAGGTAGGTAGAAGTCGTAAGGGGCAAGTTAGAAGGTAGAAGATAGAAGGCGTAAGGCGGAAGGTAGAAGGCGGAAGGCGGAAGGCGCTCTCTATTTATAGAACGCTAAGCTATGCCGAATTAGGCCTAGAAGGTGAATGCGGCTTCTTATATATAACAGATTAGACTTGCTATACCTAACCGAGACTCGAGACTTGCATCGCTCTTAGTACCCTTATTACTTCGTCCGACGTTAGCGTTCCGGACGTATTAAGCGCTCGCTAAGGCTCGACTAAACCGCCCTCTACTTTAGTACCCTTATTTATCTAACGTTAGCGTTCCGGACTAGTTAAGCACTCGCTAAGGCTCGACTAAACCGCCCTCCACTTTAGTACCCTTATCTCTTTATCTAACGTTAGCGTTCCGGACGTATTAAGCACTCGCTAAGGCTCGACTAAACCGCCCTCTACTTTAATAGTCTTATTAGGTATAGGTTTAGCGACTTAATTCGGTCGGCTTCGGAGGGCAGGTTAGTATATTAGTTTAGGGCGTACCTAGTAATATTAATATCGATACTAGCTTAATATTAATAATGCGGCTTCTAGACACGGAATTAAACCCTTAACTAGTATAGTGTTCAAACCTTACCTACCTGCCTCCCCCTTCTAACTAAGCTATTACCCTAGGTAGCAGCAATAAGGGTATATAATAACACTGCAATCTACGACCTTTAACTAATAATAATCGACTAAGACGAAGCGTCGCCTAGCTATAACTAGGTAAGGAGTTATAGTAATCCTTTACGCCGAGTTATTAAGTTACGTAGGGAACCTAAGGGATTTAGGCTATTTAATAGTCTTTTCTAAGGCAGCTAGTAGCCTAATAAACTAGTAGAGGTAACTGCCTATTGTCTAAACCTAAAGAAATTAGTTCTCCGGGACAGGTTTTCTATAGCGGCGTTTCTTCGGAAGCGTATAAGGTCGAAGTCTAGTAGGTATATTTACTTAGTTGATTCGTAACGTGTCTTAAAGGGTTAAAAGCTCGAGGTCTATATCGTGTCCGTAAGAGTGACTCCGGGTATTGCCCGTCTATAGTTTTTTTGCCTTTTAGTATTCTCCGTTTTTTTTTTAACTAAGTCCTTTATGTCTCTAAGTCCTTAATTACTTATCCTTGCTCTTCCTTTATGCCTCTTTTACCGTTAAAGGTCGCTACAGATTGTGTTTGTTTTGCTATAGAAGGTCGTTGCTTCGTTAGTTGCGGAAGAGGCAGGTATAGGGGTATTATATAGTACTATTGTCGCATAGTGCTATTGTCGCATAGTGCTATTGTCGTAGGGCGGTTGTCGTATAGGGCTGTTAGCGCATAGTGCTGTTATCGCATAGTACTGTTAGCGTATAGTACTATTAGGGGATTATAGTACTATTAGCGCATTATAGTATTGCCTTTATTATAGGACCTAAGGTTAGAGGGCACGTAATAGTAACTTGAATTGTTAACTAATTATAGCGCGCGCTCGATTTTGCGGGCACATCTTTAAAATTTAGCCCCCCTACGCTAATACTACTGCTACTGCCTCCTTACTACTAATATTAGCTACGTTATTAGTAGCAATCTAATTTGTTCTCGAGCTCTACGCTAGACTAAATAGACACCTTCTATAACCTTCGTCGCAAGCTCCTTAGGTTGCTCTAGGTGCCTGTTTTTAGTCTATCGCTCCGCTCGAATTAAGTAAGGCCTTCTATACGGCCTATTATACTAAGTTAAGCATATTAGACCGATACTCGCTAATTCCGCTACATCCGTACTATAGGAGCCTATAATATATTATTAGTGCTACCCCTTATTACAATAGCCGGCTCGTTACGAAACAATAACCGTACTGCCGCTAGTAGCGCTAGCAACGACAATGCTAGTAGTACAGTACCTACTAAAGTGCCTACTAAGGTACCTACTAAAGTACCTGCCGAAGAGCCTACTACTAGGCCTACCGAAGAACCTATAATCCTAGGTAACGACCTAGAGTTGCCTGTTAACGACATTCTTAATAATATTATTAATCGACGATATAGCTAACTAGCCTTTAGCCCCTAGCTAGTAGCGAGACTTTAAGAAGCTACCTAAAACAGGCTCGCTACTCTACGTTAAGAACAATAGCTAAAGGACAACCTCCTCGAAATTCGCCGCCTTTAGAAGGCCCTAACAACTAATACTAAGCCGATAGTAGGGCCTTCCTTACTATTAGTCCTAGTCTAGAAGAAGGATGCTAAACTTAAGGACTGTACTGTATTTAACGGCTCTAGTCGAAAGCAATATAACGACTACATCCGTAACTGTAAGCTTAACTAACGAAACGCACTAAGGGCTCTACTAAATAACTATTTACTAGTCGTCTATGCTATACAGTATATTAATAGCGACCTAAAACGTACCTAGGATAACTATTTTAATTCCCTCGATAATTAGACCGCTATTTAGTAGCAAACCTATAAAACTATTATACTAGACACCCTTAGAAACCCTATACTAAGGCAATAATATGCTTAGGACCTGTATCTTCGAGCTAAACAAAAGACTAATTAATCGGCTCGTTTATTCGAGGCCTATTTAAAGACCCTCGAGGATAACCTTCCGGCTAAGACTAATTCTATATAGATCTCGGAAATACGCCTAAAACTTAGATAGGAACTTATCCTCGAATTAGACCGTCGCCGTGTATTCGAATAAGCTAACCTAATACGCATTTAATTCATAGTCGAAGTAGAAACAGCCGAACGAGCTATCTAGCTCTAATAACGACTAGAATCGAGGATCCGGCTAGCTAGTACTAACCGCGGCAATCGTAGTAGCCGCGGAGGAAACTAAGGTTCCTACTACGACAACAATACTAATAATAGGAATAGTAATAATAACCGTAGAAGAGGCCGTAGCCGCCGGCTATATAGAGGAGGCCGCGATAGGGGCCGTAGAAGGGGCTCGTATCCCTATAATACTAACCGCTCGGCTAATAATAGCAATAATAGCTACGGTAACCTACTAACCGGATTGAAGTGCTTTAATTATAACAGCACTAGCTATCTACTAGGCTAATATAACAAACCTAAGGACTAGGCCTAAATTAATCGTGCTTCCGCCGAGTATAGGAAACATCTTTTAGCCGCTAATGCTACCCTAGTCGGCTCTTTTAATTAGTCGAAAAAAGAGTAAGCGCCGCACTAACTATTAGCCTTGTACGGCGTAAGACTATCGACATTATGCTAGCTATTATACGTACCTGTCTTATATCTAGGCGCGATACTAACTATAAGGCAAAGGTTATACTAGACCCCGGAAATTCAGTTAGCGCCCTTATTAGCTATCGCCTAGCTAAGCAATTAGACCTTCGGCAATTGCCTAGAACTAACCTGCTAACCCTTGCTTGGTTTAATAACGCTCGGCACTTGACCTATAGGGCCTACTATGTTCCTATAGTTCTAAAAGACGACCTCGGAAATAAACGCCTACTAAACTTTACTACCTACGCGGTAGATATAGACAGCCTCCTATCCGACATTGTTATTAGTAACCCTATTCTTAAGTACTATGCTATAGTTATAGACTTAGGCAGTTAACAATAGCGATTTAGAATCGCTAGGAAAGAGGACATTAAATATATTAATGTTAGCGAGTGCCCTAACGATATTAGGGTCCTGTTTATTAGCAACCTAATACCTGCCTTAGCTAATCCGACTGCCGACCTGCTCGGTAGTAATAACGATAAACCTGTGCCCCCTAATAATCCTAATTAGCTTGCTCGTATACTAGAGCCTATCCGAGAGACCTATATTAACGTGTTTAAATACTACCTAGCATCGACATTGCCTATGTTTAAAGAGACGGATTATAAGATTAATATTATAGAGGGTAAGGAGGTTCCTTTTAGCCCCCTCTACAACCTTAGTAAACGAGAGCTTGCTATGCTGCGTAAGTACCTAGAGGAAAACCTAGCTAATAGTCGAATTCGATATAGCAATAGCCCTACTAGTATACCTATCCTGTTCGTACTAAAGAAGGATAGCGGCCTACGTTTATATATTAATTATAGAGGGTTTAACGCTGTTACTATTAAAGACCGCTGTCCACTCCCGCTTATTAATAAGACCCTCGACCGCCTTTCCGGTGCCTACTACTATACTATATTAGATATTAAGGACGCCTATTACCGTATCTGTATTCGTAAGGGCGATAAATAGAAGATAGCCTTCCGTACTCGCTATAGCTATTTCGAGTACTTAGTTATACTATTTAGGCTAGCTAATGCCCCTGCAATATTCTAGTCCTATATTAATCGAGCCCTTTTAGGCCTATTAGACTATCTCTGTGTAGTTTACCTAGATAACATCCTAGTTTATACCTATTTACCTAATATCGTAGAACACTAGGCCGTAGTACGTAAGGTCCTCGACCGCCTACGAGCCTATAGACTGTATTGCAAACCTTCTAAATACACCTTTGCTACTAAAGAGGTGTTATTCCTTAGCTTCCTCGTATTAACTAAGGGTGTTAAGGCTAATCCTAATCGGATTAAAACTATTACTAAATAGCCTATTCCTACGTTAATTAAGGAACTATAGTCGTTCCTCGGCTTCGCTAATTTCTATCGTCGCTTTATTAAGGGCTATTTACGGCATATAATGCCCCTAACTAAGCTTACTAAAACTAAGGCTAACCCGTCTAGAGAGTTCAAATAGACTAATAAAACACAAGCCGCTTTTAACGGTCTAAAACAACGCTTTACTAAAGTCCCCTTATTATACTATTTCGTACTAAGTAAGCAGATCCAAATTGAGACTAACGCTTTATAGTTCGCTATATTAGCTATTATGTTACAATAGGCTAATAACACCTATTAGCACCCGATTGCCTTCTTTTTACGAAAGATAATCGATATAGAGCGTCGCTACGAGACCTACGAGTAAGAGCTCCTAGCTATTATCGAGGCCTTTAAGTATTAGAGGCACTATCTCGATAGTATATAGTATACTATTTAGGTCTATATAGACTATAACAACCTCCGTAGCATTACTAAGGTTACTAGGGTTATAGGTCGATAGGCTAGATAGGCCGTCTATCTCGCCGGGTTTGATTTTAATATATTATATTAGCTAGGCGTAAGCAACCCTACTAATAGCCTATCGAGGCGACCTAATTACGATAGCGAGACCTAATATATTAATTCTTTGTTTCTAACCCTATAGTATAAGATTGCTATAGCCCGTATTATTAATAAGTAAGCGTAGGATAAGCGGACTTCCGGACCCCGCGGCGGCAACAAATACTATAGCAGAGTTGTCGTTCTTCTAGTATACGTTAGAAAGGACGTAGATCGCTCGAGCTATAATAACTCGATTAAAGACATTGCTATCTATAGTAATAGCCTATATAGCGACAGCACTATAGAAGAGGTTGTAGTAGTTCCGGCTGCTAGTACTATTAGATATATATAATACGTACCTCGTTCGATAGTACGGGTACTATTAAATAACCTTGCAAATAGGGATAGTTAATCGTTTATAGATAAGCTATTACGTACTTAGTAGAGGGACGCCTTTGCTATCGAGCGTATTAATAGGCTTGTAAGCAGACGGGCGACTCGATCTAGTAAGAGTAATAGTTAGTCGATCGACGACAAAGGTTACTTAAAGTTTAAGGGTAGATACTATGTCCCCGCTAAACAATCGATTAGATAAGAGCTTTTAAAGAGGTACTATAATAGTAAGCTCGCTAGTTACTATAGTATAGAGAGGTCGTACGAGTTACTATCGCGTATATACTACTAGCTAAATAGTAAGCGGTATATAAAGGAGTATATATAGACCTATATAGTATACTAGCGAGTAATTAGACCCCGTAGTAGTTCGGTTTCCGAACCACCAAACGTATATAGTTTAGTTTCTTAGCGGCGAACTAGCTCCCTAGTTCCGGTTTGGTTTTTTCGAACTATATAGATTCCTAGTTTAAACTAGAGACTATATTGGTTTTACTATAAGGACACTCTTATTCGACTGCCGGCTACGATTGCCGGCTATAATAGTAACTCTGTTATATTTACTACGCTCTTTTGCCGTTGCTAGGGCGTGGTTGCCGTTGCTAGGGCGTAGTTTTGCTACAAGGACACTCTTATTCGACTGCCGGCTACGATTGCCGGCTATAATAGTTACTAGGTTGTATTTACTACGCTTTATTACCGTTGCTAGGGCGTGGTTGCCGTTGCTAGGGCGTAGTTGCCGTTACTAGGGCGTAGTTGCTATTGCTAGGGCGTAGTTACTATAGTTGCGAAAGCTTACCTATATAACGTTACGTAGGCGGCAACAATTAGGGCTTCGCGACATTCTTATACTTTTAACTTCTTCCTCTATACCTATACTAATAACAACTACTATACGCTGCGCCCCCGCCCCTTTCCCTTATAATAGCAAGAGAGAAGCGCGCCGCGCGCTAAATAGAAGATAGAACTAAAGACCGCGAGTTTATTTTACCTAAGCGTCTAACCAAAAAGCGTAAGACTAAAGAGGAGTACTCTACGAAGAAGAATTCCGTACGAGACCGCGAGAGAAAGGACAAGATAGATAAAGATAAAAGAGCTAAGGATAAGAGAAGAAAGGCGCGGAATAAGGCATTCTATCGATAGCTAGCGCCTATAGAAAAAAGTAAAGGTTAGAATAAGAAGACAACCTAAGAGAAGGCTAAGAGGAGGAAAGAATTACGGCTAGTTTTCGAGCGTAAAGTTCTAGTAGCGTAAGTTAATCTAGCTAGCGGCCGTAGCTAGCAGCTATAGCCGGCAGCCGTAGCCGGTAGCTATAGCCGGCATATTTTTCTTTAACACGTTAACTAATAGCATTTAGACCTGTAGTCGCTACCTCTATCGATACGACCGATAGTAACGGAGATGTTTAGATAGCCGAGAACAACAATACTAGAGTTTAGGATACCGCGATAGAGCTTAATACTGCGAATAAAGGAACTAAAAAAAGCGAGGAGATACTATACGTCGATCTAGTAATAGGTGCAGTCTTAGGGCCTAACGCTATAGACGATAAGCGCTAGGAGTAGATCGAGCATAGTTAAAGAGACGAGATACTAGTAAAGGGCTAAGGTATAAGTCCTATTAATCTAGAAAATTATAGTTAAAGCTACTACGAAAAGCTAGTAAGGATTGGAATCGAGACTAGTCGTCTTTATATCCTCGATATAGAGTAGAAGTTTCTTTATTAGTATTAGAGCGAAGCCTTTACGTCTATAAAGGCAAAGTAGCTTACGATTAATGCGATCGGGGCTAGGTATCTAGGGACGGCAGAAGTGTTACTATAGGAGGAAGGGGTATAGGTAATTATTCTATACTCGGTATATATAGCCGGCGTTCGTAGCCGGCAGATACTAACAGTTAAATAGAAAGCGTTTCTCGAAGGCAGAGTGCTACTACTATATAAAATCTTTACTAAGGTAGAGAGGGCTTATATCCGGAATCTAAGCTACTAGTAGGATAGGTTAGCGTTAGAATTCTCTAAATCTCTATATAAGCCTCCGAAGGATTACCTATTTTAGCGATACGGCTTTATCTCGACTACTCCGTAGGTACCCGAAGAAGCTCGAGCGCTCTTTAAGGTCTTTACTAAGAAGCGGAAGGAGTTCGAGGATTAGGATTAGTTAATAGAGCTATTAGTTAGTCTTAGGTTTCGTAGTTAGACTCGGCCTAAGCATTTGCTTATCGAGTGTCTTATACCGAAAGAGGATAGATTAAGACTAAAAACGAGCTTAGATTCGTTAGGTATAGTAGCTCGGTTCCGTTAGTAGGAGAGAGCCGCCGTATAGAAGGCAAAATTCAGGTAGTTAGGGTAGCTAGGAAAGAAATTCTAGTAGTTAGGCTAGCTAGGGTAGCTAGGAAAAAAAATCTAGTAGTTAGGTAGCTAGGAAACAAAAAAAAAAGGTAGCTAGCTATTTACTGCCTAGCTATTCCTAACGATACGATGCTATAAAAGAAAGGGTGTTTCTCTATAGCTACTAGTATATATCTACTACTCCTAAGTCCTTACCTTACCGTACGAAACCTTAAAACATGCCGACCGACATTGTATATATACTAGGCGCTATACTAGGAAGGGTAACAACGAGACGACAGTCGAAACAGTCTAGTATACGAGCGAGATTGCGACAACGTCGAGAGGAGGTCGTATACTTACCTTCGAGCCTATCGAGTCCTAGACGACGATTAGGGCTAGATTCATCCTCTCCGAATCCTAGTAGTAGGAATTTATTATAGAGTACTACTACCTAGTCCTTACCTTTACGGAGTCTAAGTAGAAGGTTATTCGGAGATATAAGAACATCGAGTATTAACCCGGAAATCTTCGAAAAGGCTAGCTAGGCGTATCTTTAGAAACCCGAGTATATAGAGCAGTTCAATTAATAGGTCTATAAGATATAGTTCCCTTTATACTTACGTTCGAAGGAGTATAAACTCCGGAAGTACTCGATGCGATAGGGGAGTAAGGAGCGAACGGATATATTCTAGAAGTTCTTTATAGAGGGGGCATTATACCGTTATACGACTTCTCGACTTAAAGGTTAACTAGTAATTGTCTGCAACTTCTACGGTTTAATCTTAAAACACCCGAAACTAGGGGATAGGAACTTATCGCCTACGAACTATCTCTATTCTAAACGGTGTCGGGAATCTTAAGGAGAGAGGAGAGTTAATATAGATATAGCGTTCTAGAAAGAGGTATATCTTCTAAAATGCCGGCTATAGCTACCGGCTATAGCTGCCGGCTATAGATTCCGGCTACCTAAATCAACCGTAGAGATCTAGCTAATTATTATAGGCTACGCTTAAGGAAGCTCTAGGATTAAAGGCTACCGATTTCTCCCCCGAAGACTTTAAGCAACTAGTAAACGAAATGCTAGCTATAAACGGTCTTCCGGAAGACTTCTACGAAAGGGAGTCTATATAGAAGACATACCTATATCTTACAAACTACCCTCCCCTATTTCTCGGCGCGACAACCTAGCGTATTATGTTCGAAAAGAACAAAGAGGCTACGTTAGACGATATTCGGGAGATCCTCCGTAATACTCGCCGAGTAGCTATTACTATCGATAGCTAGTTAAGCCGGACTATAAGAGCCTCCTTCCTCTCGATTATACTATACTTTATTAATTCGGATTGGAAACTCTAGGAACTTATAATCGGATTCCCTAAAATTCTAGGTTCCTATACTAGTAAGGATATAGCGAAGCTTGTCTATACGGCAATAGATAGGGTTAGTATAACAACGAAACTAATCTCGATTACTACGGACAACGCTAGTAATAATCGAACATTATATAAGGCGTTGTATATACAATTCACTCGTATATGTCTTTAAAATCACTAATTATATCGATAGGGTCGAGTGCGTAGAGGAGATTACAAGGTCTATAATCTAGCTTAATCTTCCGAATGTTAAGCTCGCTACGATTCCGGATACGCACGACAATACGCACGATAATAACGATAAAGAGGAGCCTATTAATAGCCCTAGCCCTATTGAATCGGAGCCGACGTCGTTGCTAGTTGTATCCCTATAGAAGTTTCCCTACCTCGCTTATATAGTTTAAATCGCGATCCGAGCCCTCTTTAAGACGCTTAAAATTGTACTATTAAACGACGACTAATAGAAGATCCTAGATAAGGATAAAGCAAAGTCGAAAGTCGAGAAACTTATTACAGCAATAAGACGGGATAAGGTAGAGAGCCTCGCTCTCGTTTTATATAAGGTATAACTTTTGTCCGTAGCCGGTACCTATAGCCGGCAACCTAGTATAGTTCTAACTCTTTTTCTCTAGCTTCGTCGTCTAGCAATATATACGAACTCGAGCTTATAGAGATGTAACCGATTCGAGGCTATTTAAAAGAACCTAATCGAGCGCCCTAAAACCGATACCTAGAATATCGTATAGAATAAGCGATAGCAAAAGCGGCCTCCTTAGCGCCTACTCCGTTTTACCTAAGACGTTAAAACCCGGTTCGATTCGACTTTCTATATAGTTACGAGGGGATATACTTTATATACCGCTCTCGAGATCTATTAGAGTTCCGAGGGTATTAAGTAGCTCGGCCTTACCGCCGCCGAATAGCGCTAAGTAGAGTATCTCGTCGATATTAGTAAGCATTACGCGAAGGTTACTACTACGATTAGAAGAACCCGAGGACCGACGATCTACCTTATCTTTACGTACTATAACTAGCTCTTTAACGAGCTCGAGGAAACCGTAGCTAAGCTAGCTAAGAAGAGCGTTCCCTAGAAAGTAGCTATAACGAAAGCTATAGACACCTCCTATACTAAGTTGTATAAATATTATAGTGCTACCTTTAACTCGTTCGGGGATATCTATAGCGTTGCGTACTTGCTTAACCCGGTAGAAAAGGATATATACTAGTAGAGGCCGGAATAGAAGGCGGACGAGGTATAGCCGAAGCATTACTAGACTATTCTAGAAAAGATATTCTACGAGCGTCGGAAAGAAACTAGTCTAAATGCAGCTCCTATAAAGAAAAAGAAGGTTTAGAAGGCTCCGATATTATACCTATTTCGTAGGTAGGAAGTAGAGGCAGAAGAGGAAGCAACTACTAAAGTAAATAAGGAAGAGTTCGATCTCTATCGGCGCGTGAGTAAGTACAAACCCGTAGGCTCGGAAAGAGGGCTAATAATCTCTAGATCTTACCGGTCTTCTAGACGAATTCGGAGACGATATTCTCGCTATATAGTAGCGGTTAGAGCCTAAGTTTCTAACGATAGCGTCGGTCGCTCGGGACGTCCTCGCTATCCCGAGCGTAGGTATAGGCTATAAGAGGTCTTTTAGTATCGCTCGTTACTAGGGCCGCTTTAATCGAATATACTCGCCTACTACCTTCGAATCTATTATAGTATTCCGATACTATCTCCTCTACTAGAATCGCTAAGGCAGGTTACTAAAGATTATGCTAAAGGAGTTAATTAAGGAATTAGAAAACCTTAAGATCGAAGAAACCTAGGAGCGCGAAGAGAATGCGAAATTTAGTCTAAGCGAAACCCTAATTAGCGATAACGAAGAGGAGGAGGGCGGAGGTAGAAGGCGATACCGGGTCGAGAAGCGGAAACGTATACAGGCTTAGAGTAGCTTTAAGGAGACGAAGCGTTTACGTATAAGGTAATATAGCCGGCGTATATAGCCGGTATATATCCGAAATGTGTTTCGAATTCCTAGGACCCAAATAGACTAGTTGCTATAGCAACCGACCCCGCTTACCTACGGACTATTTCTAATTCTCTATTCGCTCTTCCTCTCCTTCTTCCCTTTCCCTATATTCTTAAAGACAAATATGCCTTAAGGATTCGGCTCTTCGGGCCTTCCTAAGCCGGCTACCTCCCCTTCCTTAAGCTACTATCCTTTATTCGAATCTAACGATAACCTAATAAGGCGGTTTAATAGAAGACTATTTGTTCTAGAAGGCAAGAAGCATTAATGTCTCCCTACGATTATATGCTTATTAATTTTCTAGGTCCTACCGATATACCCTCGTCGCCTAAACGCGTAGATGAATATCTTTAGAGGCTAAAGGGTAAGGGTAAAGTAAGCTAAGTATAGGGAGACCGTAGCGAGAACGAGATATCGGAAGAGTAAGGCTCTCCGTAGTATATACGAAGGAAGGGGGTTCTTCGGAAAACAGTACCGAAAAACAAGAAGGCTATAGGTAGATAGGAGAAGGCTAAAAAGAGTAGGCGGACGAAGACTGTCGCGAAGAAAAGTTATCTTTCTATTAAAAGAAAGGGAATAAGGCAGGACTCGACGATAAAGAAGCGGCGCTTTAAACTAGGTACTATTGCCCTTCGCTAGATCCGGCTTTTCTAAAACAAAAGAGGGACCGAGCTTTTAATCCCTAAGACTCCCTTCTAGCGACTCGTCCGAGAAATTATATTAGATTTTCGGTCTAGTATGCGATTTACGGCTAAGGCGATTAGTGCTCTTTAGGAAGCTATAGAGGCATTTCTCGTAACCGAGCTTAAGCTTTCAAACCTCCTTACTATCTATACGAAGCGGGTTACTCTTTAAAATAAAGATATGCAGCTTCTAGCTAAAATTCGGCGTCGGTTTATAGCGGATTAGTTAGAAATTGTATTTAGTCGTTAGATTAACCTAGGAGGAGGCCCATTTTCGCATCCTTTTGCCGGCTATAGGTACCGGCTACATTTCTGATTTTATCTCCGCGCCGTCCCTAAATCTAAGGTACGAAGTAGAAACCTAGCGCTCTATATTCACCCGGCTCTTATAGAGACGAGCTACATTTAGATTAGTTTCTTCGTATATCGCGACCTAGCGGGTAGTAAGCGAAAGGGCGATAGAACGTTTATAATACGTCTCTATTTAGACCTAAAATACAAAGGTCCTAAGGAGCCCTAGCATCCTAACTATAAGGAGATTCTTTAGTATTAGCACTTTGATCCTCTATACTACGAGGTAGATAGCAAGCCTACGAGAGAGAAACTTTAACGAGAAATTCTCTATAATACGTAGCGCTATTATATAGCTACAGATACGCACTAAGTCCGGCAACTCGAAGAAGAATTAAGATAGCGTATTAGCGACCGAGGAGGAGATCGATAGTATACTAGTAGAGTCGAGGTCTTACAAGCGAAGTACAAGATAATATAGGCTCTTAGTCGTATAGAGTAACGTACTATATAAATAACTAGGCGTACTACTCTTATTCACTTACGACCTATATCCTAGGATGCTCTTATCGTACTTTTTATACTCTTTTCTAATACCTTACCTATAATCGCTCCGCGACAACCGAGTGAATATAAGCTATAGGATTTCCGCTCGGTACCTTAGCCTTCGAGATACGGCGGAGTTGATTCTCTATAATACGTAGCGCTATTGCATAGCTACAGATGCGCACTAAGTCCGGCAACTCGAAGAAGATTTAAGACAGCGACCGAGTAGGAGAATAATAGTATATTAGTAGAGTCGAGGTCTTATAAGCGAAGCACGAGATAATATAGGCTCTTAGTCGTATAGAGTAACGTACTATATAAATAACTAGGCGTGCTACTCTTATTCACTTACGACCTATATCCTAGGATACTCTTCTCGTACTTTTTATACTCTTTTCTAATACCTTACCTATAAGCGCTCCGCGACAACCGAGTGAATATAAGCTATAGGGTTTCCGCTCGGTACCTTAGCCTCCGAGATAGGGCAGAGTTGAATTTAGAGCGATAGCCGGCACTCGTAGCCGGCTATCGTAGCCGGCATATAGAGACGGTAGTAGGCCTTTTCCTACTAAATGACTAGCTTGTTTAGTATAGCCTACCTGATATTTCTTATATTTACTAGCAATAGGCCTAGGTTACTTATAAGATTACTATAGCTAGTAAAGGCATTACTAAAGAATATCTATACTATAGTAGGATACTATTATTACGCCGGCTATTTATTAAAAGGAGGCTTTCGCCTATTACTATACCGGCTATATATGCCGGCTATATTTCAAAGTCTGCCGTACCTGCCTTTTTTAGCCGTGCCTGCCTTTTTTAGCCGTGCCTACCTTCTTTCCTTGCTCTAACGTTACTATAATATAGGCTTACGCGAAGCTTACTCTATTGCCTAGCGATACCGCGATACTACCGCTATATTCAACCTTCGTATCGATACCTATACCTCTACGCTCTACATCTACTACCTCCGTAATACCCTCGCTCCGCGCGCGCCTTCGTATACCTTCGTAACGCACTTTTTTCCTTAATTCGACGACTTTTACAATAGCGAGTCTACTTAACTAAGTTACGACGCCTCGTAAGAAGGGACCTACTACTTCTGCGGGTCGTAACAAGATCGGAAATAGTAGAACGAGTATAGTACATTAACGTAAGATAGCTACTGCTACTACCGCTAGCTCCGGTGCTAGAAAGGGCGTCGCGAGCAAGGCTCCGCGTAAGACAACGGCGGGCAAGGCTCCGCGCAAGACAACGGCGGGCAAGGCTCTACGTAAGACGATAACTAGCGCTTCTACTACTAGTAGCAATCGTACGAAGCGTCGATAGCGCCTAGGAAGTAAGTCCTATTTATAGCCGGCAGCATAGCCGGTAGCGTAGCCGGTAGCGTAGCCGGCATTCTTACTGTCTTTTTACTAATCCTTCTTTAGCCGTAGCCCTCCGTAAGATTCGGCAGTATTAGAAGAGTTCTTAGCTTCTAATCCGCAAAACTCCTTTCTAACGACTTATTCGCGAAATTGCCTAGGATTATAGAACGGACCTTCGCTTCTAAGCCTCCGCGATAGGCGCCCTTTAAGAGGCTATAGAAGCCTACCTAGTTCGTATCTTCGAATATATGTTTCTCTTCTACCTCTTTTCGGACTATACTAATACTATTTTAGCGGTCAACCTTATAGCTATCTACGCGAAGCGTATAACGATTATAGATAAGGATTTTAAAGCACTCGATTAGATTCTAAAAGGCTAGAATGTCTATATTCGAGACGGTGCTAGGTAGGATGGATATTCTAGTAGAAAGGATGTTCGTAGTGTTATCTATAAGCTTTTCTATATACGAAATGAGCCGCTATTATACGGCGCTATATACCGCGCTCTAAATACTCTCTAAGTATATATATATAGTACAGTATACTTTATTGGCCGTACGGAATAGAAGTCTCCCAAAATCCCGTTAGTACTAAGGAGTAAAAAGGCCGGCTACGCTGCCGGCTACGCTGCCGGCTACGCTACTAGCTACGCTGCTAGGTTTTTTAAAGAACTAAAAGAAGATAGACATTCCGGTTGATTTGTATTAGTTTAGATTTTTATAAAAAGAAAACAGGGAAAAATAAGGAAGGTTGAAGAGCCTAATAGTTATAGTTATAGGCACTATCCCTGTTTTCTAGAGTATATTATATACCTGCCTTCGCAACTCTACCTAATACTCCCTCTAAATATCCTTATACTCTACCTACTGAAAATTCAACTAGGTACCTAGACCTGCAGCTGCCTCTATATCTTTTACTATCTTCTATAGGTTAAAGGCCTCTTCTATAGCAGCCTCTACCTCCTTATATAATACGAAGTTACTACCTACCCTACCCTTTATATCTCCTAAATAACTAAGAGTTCTAAGGAACGAACTAGCATTCGGCCTTAGTATAGCGAGTAACTAGTAGAACGTTCTATAGAGCTGCCTTATAGCTCTTTTATATACTGTACCGATACCGAGGGAGGAGCTATCCTAGTACTTAATGTTGTCGAATAGTTCGGTAGGAAAGTGTATAAACTTCTTAAGGAGGAGGACTTCTAGGGAAATCGATGAGTTCTACCTAGATCTAGATAAAGACATTCTACTAAGCAGTTAGGGAATTGAACCGTAAACGAAAGGATGAAATTCATACCTAAGGAGTGCAGTTTCCGAACTGAACTATAATGCCTTATATATATATGTATATACTTTTGATTAGTTAGTGCCCTTAGCTGATTGTCTATAGATTTAAGGTTATATAAGTACCTTTATATAACTACGTAGCCTAAGTAGGATTCGAAAATTCTATAAGTACTAAGGACTAAAAATGCCGGCTACGCTGCCGGCTATACTACTGAGTCTTACAAAGGGCTTGCTTGAAGCTACGTATACATTCGTATACTTCTTAAAAACCGATAAATT